GTCATCATAATTATCAATGCTCAGCAATATATCCGCCACATATTTATCCCCATGCTTTATTGATATCAGGTCAATCATAAGTGCTACCAGGCTCTTGTTTTCAACTCTAAGCAACATATATGCTATTTCCTTAAGATCAACCGATGCTTCTTTCAGTGCATTCATCAGCTTAATAAACATACTTATATCTAAAACATTTAAATCATATATAATTCCATCATCAATAGTATCATTCAGCAATTCTTTCCTGCGTTTATCTTCAATTGCATTAAATATTCTTTTCACATCGTCCTTCTTATGCGCGTTAAAATAGATCAAGACATCGATTTCGTGCTTACGCCCCAGCTGCTTCAGCACCATCTTTATTTCTTGGTCACTCATGCTCAGCAGCAAGTCATAAATGCTATTACCTACATACACTCGCCATACTTTGTTTATTATTTCTTGTACATGGTTCATATATGCTGTATTAGCTTCATTAGGCTCAGGCATAGACATCGCCATTGAGTTGCTTAGTGTAATCAAAACCGATTTCTCTCCATTGAAAAAGCGGTTTATCATTACTCCTGCTACATTATCATAAAGATGTTCAAACAGCATCACAGTCATACCACGCCTACTCTCCTTAAACACCCTCTTCAGCTCCTTTATATTATCTGCCCCTATCTCATTTAATCTTCTTGCAAGCTTTATATCTTCCATCATATTGTCTATTGCATCTTTATGTTGCTTTTCGATGTATTCCAGTATTTCTGTTGCTAATTCAGGTTCATGGTTCAGTATTTCTGTTGCTTTATGGTATGTAAGACAGCCCACTATTTTTGCTGCATATTTGTGCGGAAAATCGCGCAGTACCGATGCTACATCTTGGTGCGTAAAAATTCTCAGCTTCTTTCTCAGCTTCTGCTCTTGATCATGATCCATTGTAAGGGCGTTGCTATTACACCATAAACTGCTGCTTGCTATTTATTTTATTGTTATTAATTCACTCCGTTCGTGTATTCTCATTCAAAAACTCATATCTCATCATTACTGCTTATTAATGCAGCACTTCATTACTCACATCCACATTTACTCCCATACTCTGCATCATCCATCCTGTCATTGCTATTACACACACACTCAGCACAGCAATCTCTATCACCAAACAGCACTTGCTACTATTCAATAACTAATCGCTTCTTTTCCTGCTTCATACAATAATTCAATCAATCGCATCGTCCTCATTATGACTTGCCCTGTTAAATATCATTCACTTAGTATTCCTACTACAATCACCATCATCCAAAACATACAATATATGCCAACACTTATATAAACCATTTTAATCACTTCATTGCTTATCACGCACTTCCATCTCCTCCATCACACAGCTAAACTCCTTTAGCTCAATATCATATTCCTCCTCACCATACTTTCATTCATAATCCACTGTCTCCTATACGCATTCACCGCTTGATATTCCACACTCATTTGCCTTTAAATCAATACTTTTTTTGTGGCTAGATGAAATAAACACCATCACAAAAAATATCGCCAATATCTTCCAAACCATTGGGTCCTTACCTTTAAACTCTTTCTCTATTCGTGTTTTCAACTCTTTCTCTATTCGTGTTTTCAACTCTTTCTCTATTTGTGTCTTCAACTTTGCCTCTATTTGTGTCTTCAACTCTTCATTATGGCCTTCTACAGTCGTATTATTTTGCGGCAATCCTAAATGCATCTCCAGGCATTCATTAATCACTTTGTTGTATTCATCCTCAGGAATACTTTCCAGATCCAGCATTATCTTGCACACTGAAAATGCTATTTGTCGTGCTATTTCATAATTAATCTTTACAGTTACTTTTACATTCGGATTCGCTTTACAGATAGAGTTAATTTCAGCATTTAAAAGAGACTCAGCTTTATTAATTGCTGATTTATACATTGCCTTTATTAATTCCTCCTTTAATATAGGTATAAGTTTTTTGATATAAGATAGTATGTCCAAAAGCTTCTTTTTTTTCTCATTATCTTTAACATTTTGATTAATACCTTTCTCAGCTCGTTTTAGCTTATTCTCTATTTTATTTATCTCTTTCTTAAGCTCACTTATATCATTATTTAGATTTTTAAGATTATTAATCCCACTTATCATGCTCTTCATTAAATCATATGTCTCATCCTTGCTAATAATATCTTCACTTTTATTGCCATCCTCACTTTTATTGCCTTCTGATTTTGTAGTCGTATCAGTTTTGCTTTTACGTTTACTACTTTTTTTTGAAAGTATGCCTAATAGCTCACGAAGATTATAATCTTTGTTAATATTATCTATTAAATACTTCTTTACTGGCTCCTTCTTATCGCCAGAACTACTAGGTCCAAGTCCATTCTTTATCATATTATATTCTGTTTGCACTATCATCCTGGCCTCATACATTATTTGTGCATACATTATGCAACTGTTTTTCAATTCTTCAAGTGCTTCATCCATGACTAGCTTCTTTGCTGCCAAGTCATTTACTTGTGCAGCTTTATTTTTATTGGCTTGTTCTATGTTATAATTCATCTCCTCAGCTAAATTGGCATGAGACATAACCATTATGCTGTTTTTATCGTTCTGAGCTACGTAAGCTCTATTATTATGTTCTTGCTTTATAGCTTGCCTAACTGCAAGAATCGCAGCATTTACCCCATTATTATTCATCACTACAGCATCCATCGCTTTCGATCTTCTATTTGCTGCTTCTTTATTCTGTCTATCTTCTTCATTCTTCTTTCTTCTTGTTTCTTCTTCTTGTTCCATCTTTCTTCTTGTTTCTTCTTCTTTCATCAGCCTCTTTTCCTCGATCTTCAGCCTCTTTTCCTCGATCTTCAGTCTCCTCATCATCTTTTCCTCGATCTTCAGCATCTCATCCTCGACCCTCAGATTCTCATCCTCAATCATTAGTCTCCTCAGCATCTCATCCTCGACCCTCAGATTCTCATCCTCAATCATTAGTCTCCTCAGCATCTCATCCTCGACCCTCAGATTCCCTTTCTTGATCTTGATCTTCAGATTCTCATCCTCGATCCTCAGTCTCACAGCCTCGATCATCTTCCTATCATCCTCGATCTCCTTTATAGCATTGGCATCTTTAATTACATGCTCAAATACCTCTTCCACATTCCTAAAATCAGGTGTATTTTTTATGTATGTCTCTAAATCCTTCACACCAGCAATACGTTTCTCGATTTGTTTATCAAACCAAATAAGAAGCTCCTGCATATTGTCCATATTCCCCTCTTGCCCTCCACACTTCTTCATTAATATAAGAATGTGGTTCACATCCAATATCTTGATCCTGTATCCGTCCTTCACACTCACATGCTTTATAATGCTTGCTAATATTCTTTCAAGTAAGCCTACTTCATTACAGTATATTTGTTTCTTGTGGCTCCGGCTTTTTATAAGCCCAAAAATATCTTCATAAATATCCTTTTCAGGGTTTATCATCATCACAACATTCTCCACCAGCCAATCCTTGCCATATACCATAAAGCCTACACTCAGCTCATTATCCTTCCTTGCTTTCTCAATAGTGTCATGTGGCAAATACAATTCCAGCCAGTCATAAATATGCCTCATTATTCTAGTATCGATGTGCTCAATACTCTTTTCTGCTTCTTGTGCTTCCAATGCAATCCCAAGCAGAAACTTCAGCGGCTCATCCGCCATCTCCTTAATTACTTTCTTTTTCATTCCATTCAGGCATTTTGTATCCACATCATTATTAATAATATCAATAATACTAGTAATATCTACTCCACTAGCTTCATAGTTCTTAATAAGACCTTCCAGCTCAATCCCTTCGCCAGTCTCTTTCAATAATCTTTCTATCAATATCTTGATGCATATCCATAGCTTGACTTTATGCAAACTCGTGCCATATAAAAACGTCATCATTTTGTATATCATTTCTATTAACTTATCTTTCTTCTCAGTTCTCAATTCAATTATTCTTAAAGCCATATCAATCGTTTTTGCATCAATATCTTTGGCTTTGTACCTACTTACACATTCAGATACCCACTTGTTCGCCAAATCGTCGTCAGCTTCCAGCAATTCAACCTTCAGACCTTTGATTCCTTCTTTTTCAAAATCATTGCATTCGTTTGTTATGTACTTTAAGCAAGGGCCAATCGTTTTCAATTTATCTGCTGCATAGACACTATTTATCATAATGCATATATCTGGATCCAGGCTCTTAAGCCTGCGGTGAATTTTAATCATATCAGGTAAAATGCGTTCATAAAGTACATCGTATACTATTGAAGCCATTTCATCACTATCGAATTTCTTTGTTTTTATGAATGAATACTTATCTTCAAATGCAACTCCTATAAATTGATTAAATTGATCAACAAAATCACAAAAATTGTCAAAATACTCAACCTTATCTCTATCGTCTTTGTTTTCAATTATATTATCCACATCTTTCGCATAATGGATGATCTCAGTAAGCCAAACATCAAATTCTGCAATCATAAATCTTATATCATAAAAATTTAGTACCGCTTTTTCTTCTTTGCTATGCATTATTGCTTTACTATATTCATTGCAATTTAAAATCGGTCCTACAGGTCTTTCGATATCTATGTAATCACTGATAATTTTTTCATGTCTTTCTATATCATTTGCATCGAATGCTGCTGTATTTTCAACCTTTTCCAGTTTGTTTTGTGCATTGCCTCCATGCACATCGTTTGTTAATTCATTATCTAGATAATCCTTTAGCTTCTTTAAAAGTTTGGGTTGGATAAGATTGCTTTCGTTCGAGATATTGGCTTGAATCAGCTTCCATTTATCATGTAAATCATTCAACCCTATATATAGCATAATAATTTCGTTTTTCAAGCTTGTCATGCTTTTATCCAGCAAAATATTGTAAACACATCGAGAAATCACCATACCAATCCTCGCATTCCCCAGAAACCACAGCAATTCAGTATTTTTTTCCAAATCATTTTTGTCGAAAGATTTTTTCAATGTATTAGTATACAATATTAATAATCTAATTGCATATTTCATCGCTTCTTTTTCATCAGTACTCGACTCAATAATACTACTCATGCTACTAATAATCATGTCAATACTACTCATGCTACTAATAATCATGTCAATATTACTCATGTCAATACTACTGATGTCAATATTATTCATGCCAATATTACTCATGTCAATATTAACCATGCAAAAAACGTTTGATATTAACATACACTTGCGATTCCGTATACCGTGTAGTCTTGATTCAATTCTCTTCTTTTTATCTTCATCAAGTAGATTCGCTTTTTCTAATAGAAATGTAATATCAGATGTCGTAAGATCTATTGATTTAGAATATCTCTCCATACGCAAAAATAAAAGATAATATGCTTCTAACAATTCTTGGTATTTAGCAACCGTATAATTGTTGGTTGCTATATAATACTCACTTATACTTACGATAGCATTCATAAGCTTTTCACAATCATCCAAGGATGTTTCAATACTCGAAATAACTGATTCTGCATATTTCACAAGCTCCAATTGGTTAACATTGTACTTCATGCTTATATTCTTATTGTGCTCATTTAAAATCGTAGCAAACGCTTCAGGATCGTTATTTTTCCTTAATTCATAAAATTTAATAAAAGCTTCCTCTTGATGGTTAAAATTCATTTGGGGCACATCTGCATTTAGATTTTGTGCACAATTTCTATATCTGTATCTACGGCCGCTCCACAACAACGCAAGCACCATGCTAAACCTCCACATCACACATATAGCCATGCCGCAAGCACGATCTCGAGATATATACAATCATACTATGTGCTAGCAACCATGCCATGACACGAAACCCAATCCAGTGCAGATCAAAGTACATTCAACTCAAGAAATGCGCACAGCAACACTCTCAATAAACGAATACTATTCAATATCCTCATCCGTTCGCTATAAAAATTCCATCCATTCTTCTCTGCTGCATCCGCTTTCCATCTGATGCTCATTGACGGCTCCACCTACTCCTTCATGAACGACTTCACCAGCTCATCAATCCGCTCATTCTCGCACAGAATGCCGCCTCGCTTCTGCACAAACCCAATCAGCCTTTCTCGAAACTCATAGCTCAGACTCTTTCCCTTGCCTTTGATCGCTGCCTTTCTGTGCGAAAGCATCGTCTCAACTCGGCTGCTTGCCAGCAATCCGCAGGTTGCAAGACATCGAGCCAATCTTGCTTCAAGACATGCAAAAAATTACCCTACGTATGGCTGAGCTTCTAACAGACGAGCTAGGCCAAGCATTCGAAATAGCGGACCAAGACGGCTCATACTGCATAAAAGGACACGAATGCATCTCTGCAAATATTGCCGTTGTAAAGGCAATTGCTTCGTTCCTGTCAACATCGCTCGGGCCAACAGGAATGGACAAGATCCTGCAAAGCGAGGACGATGACATAGTCGTCACAAACGATGGGGCAACAATCCTGAAAAGCATGGGCATGCAGGAAAACCCCGTTTCAAGGATGATCTGCCAGCTGAGCGAGTCGCAGGACGAGGAGATTGGTGATGGAACAACAAGCGTTGTAATAATTGCAGCAGCACTACTGAGGGAGGCTCAGGTGCTTCTTGCGCACGGAATGCATCCAATAAAAATCTCTGAAGCATTTGAGCTGGCGCTGTGCCATGCCGTGCAGCACCTGGCAGACATATCTGACGAAATAACAGATACTAGGGAAACAATGCTCAAGGCTGCAAAAACAAGCCTTGGAAGTAAGATTGTAAGCAAGGCACTCGATATGTTTGCAGAAATATGCACAGATGCAGTAATGATGGTTGCAGACATAGACAGGAAGGACGTTGACTTCGAGCTGATCAGCATTCAGGGCAAGGTCGGGAGAGACGTATCTGATAGCATGCTTGTAAGGGGAGTGGTGATCAGCAAGGAGTTCAGCCATCCACAGATGGCCAAGCATGTTGCTGATGCAAGGATAGCATTGCTGAGCTGTCCATTTGAGCCTCCAAAGCTCAAGACAAAGCATAGCCTTGTGATATCAAGCACGGAGGAGTACAGGCAGCTGGAGGAATACGAAAAGAGCAAGTTTGTGGAAATGATCGACAAGGTCAAGCATAGCGGGGCAAACCTCGTGATGTGCCAGTGGGGATTTGACGACGAGGCAAACTCGATGCTGATGGAAAGCAACCTGCCAGCCGTAAGATGGGTTGGAGGGCACGAGCTTGAGCTTCTGGCAGTTCATACAGGGGCTTCGATAATTGCAAGGTTTGAAGATCTGCAGGAAGGCGACCTTGGAAGAGCAAATGTTAGGGAGGAGTGCCTGGGAACAGAGAGCGACAAGATCATAGTGGTTGAGAACAACAAGTGCAGCAAGGCAGTGACTGTGCTTGTACGAGGTGCAAACGACCTTATTATCGAGGAGGCAAAGAGATCTGTTAGAGACGCGCTGTGTGCAGCCAGGAATGTGATTACAAACACAAGGGTGGTGTATGGAGGAGGGTCTTGCGAGATGGCATGCTCGCTATCGCTCGAAAGGTATGCTGAGATGCATGCAGGAGGGGATCGTCTCGGCATCCTTGGGTTTGGGAAAGCGCTTGAGGAGATTCCGCTGTGCCTTGCAAGGAACAGTGGGCATGATGCGATCCGAAGCATAATGGGCCTGAGAAAGACACAAGTCGATGGCAAGAACCACAGGATTGGAGTTGACTGCGTGGGAAGCGGAGAGAACGACATGAAGAGTCTTGGGATTTTTGATACGCTGAACAGCAAGGTAAGGCAGCTGCAAATGGCAACGCAGCTCGTTACGATGATCCTGAAGATCGATAATGTTGTTTCTGAGTCGCTGTGCTAATTATTTATTGGCAAGAGCAAAGCAGATTGAGAATATTAAATGGTTTTGGAAAGTGTGAGATGTTGCTTGGGTGTCTGTATAAGCTGGTTGTTGATGTGCATGATGCACGTGTAATATGCATGAAATGAATTGTAAGGAGCACGAAATGATTTGCCGATTTCACAAGCCCATTGTCATGGAGAATGCAGAGGCGTATGTGAAGAGCATGCTTGAGAAGCATCGGATCAAGATTGACATACATGCAAAGATCGAGGAGCTGACTGTTTCTAACAAGATAAACGAGTTTATGCCGCTGGAGACAATATACAACGTTGTTCTTCTGAATCTTGCAAAGGAAAGCGAGATGTACAAATCCGTTCTTAACGGAGCACATGTGTTTGATATAGAAGTGGATGTTAGGGACACAAGACGAGTATACAGCACTGATGGGCTGAGGAAGGCGGTGGAAGACATATTTGGAGAACGAGCAAGATACGTATATACATGCTCCCTGGGCAAGAAAACACACTTTGTTGGGATCAAGCTTGGAGATGATGCATACACGCCGGTTGATTTGTACGACGGCCCTGAGGAGGCCATTCCTTACTTCTTGCTGGTAAACGGCCTGCGGATGGACTTCAATGTGAGTGACTTTCGGTGGAATGAGATAGTGTTTGGGCATCCTGCAACGGAGGATGAGCATGCGAAGTATGTTGAGATTACTGAGCATGTGAAGAAGATCCGGATCCCTGTTGCAATAATTGACGACGAAGTGGGATGTCTTGAGACATCAGTCACAAACATGCATGTGTGCTATCTGCACTGCGGATCGCATGAGAATTGGCCCGAGAGCAATGATGCACTGAGATGTGCAAAGACGGCACTGTACTGCCTGATATACAAGAAAAGCAAGTACAGGTGTGCAATAGGATACGACTATGTGCTTTTGAAGTACAGAGGCTCGTTCTTCAAATTCCACATTGTGGTCAAGAAAGACAAGAACACCGAGTTCAGAATCAACAGAAGAATAGCTGATGTGGTCAACGAGCAGACACATGTATTTAAGAAAAACGTTGTGAGCGTAAAGAGGTTTATGGATAGCCATGGATACTTCCCTGTCTACTTTGATGAGAGGCTTGTCGAGCTTTTGTGCCTGATGATTGGTAAGGAAATAGCGTCGTTTGGAAGATTCTTCAGTGAGTTTCTTGCGCACAAGGTCAGGCTTGATGGATGCACATTTGACCTGGAGACATTCAAGATCACAGAGAACATGGCAAAAAGGTTTGAGGTCACGTATAAGAACGATGTGCTGTCGATTGGCACTCCTCCAGAAAAGGTTGTGCAGCGACTGAATGCATTGAAGAAAATAATAGCGCTGAATAAGCCGGTGCTGTTTGACAATGACTTCCGGCTACTGACAAAGAGCCTGCTGATGCCATCGTTCAATGATTATGACTTTGTGCTGAGTTTGTTTGCAAGGCCAGAGTTCAGCGAGATCAAAAGTGCAGCGGAGATGCCGTTTGTGCTTGGAACGCCTGTTGTCAGCGAGTTTCTGCATGCAAGCCTTAAGAAGAAGGCATACCTGTTTTACTCGCAACGGCATTCGGTTCTGATGGTGAAGGCAATTGATGGAGTAGATCCTTCCGAGCTACTCTGTGTGCTGGTGGCGAAGACTGCATTCAAATACTGCCTGAAGAGGTTCTGAAGATACTGAGTCATGTTGAATAAATTCGTAGCGTAATTGCGTGTCCCAGTGTTTGCAGATGCAGATCGAATACAACGTGTTTTCGTATAGGAATGATGACAAGATCGCCTGTGCTGGGTTTTGCACAGGGCGCATTTTTGCATCGCTTCCACACAAGATTGTTGAGTGGAGTCGAACAGAAAGGGCAGTTGCCTGTGTGCATGAAATAAGCGAGGAGGTGGTTGGCATGGCAAGCATGAGTGATGGATGTATTGCATTGCTGTCGAAGAGCTCTGTATGGCTGTTGCTTGGGAGTGAGATCAGGTACGTGATGGAAAAGCCTCCTTTGTGCGGAGTAGTTGTGTATCGTGAAAGGCTGCTGCTTATTGATGAGCAAAGCATCACGAGTATGTGTGTGCAGGAAAGAAGCACCAAGATCAGCCGAGCCAAGATGAGGAACAGAAGCGGAATGTGCACATGTGGAGCGGAGTCTGAAAACGGATTGCTTCTAGCATTTGAGAATGGAGATGTGGTGGAGATCAGCGCACAGGCGATGGCAGACATACTTGATGGAAGAGCAGCAGAGGTGGATACCGAGTGCCTCAGAACCATGATTCGCTTGAGAGAGCCTGTTATCTCGGTTGGGGTTCTGAACCACCTACTGGTTGTGGCGCTGTTCAACAGAAAGATGCTGACAATTAATCTCAAGTCGGGCGAGGTATCATACACAGAGCTTGCATATGAAGTAAAATTTTCGGCGCTGTGGAACGGCATGATCGTTGTAAGCGACAGCAGGGAAAACATCATACTGATGGATGAGCATCTAAAGATTGCATATAGCAAGCGCATGAGAGATGAAGTGTGCAGTCTTGTCTCCAGCGGCACCGATTTGATTGTTGGATTCTCAACAGGCACGGTGAAAGAGTGCAGGCTGAGCCGTTTTGATTGCACAAGCATTCCGGCTGACACGGGCATCCAAAGGATCAGTGCGAATGCCGGCATCCAGGCAGAAGCAGACGGCTGCTTACGTATGCTCTGCAGCGCAATAAAGTACCTTTAGATGCCTAGATGCATTTATTATATGGGGATTAGTTCGTTAATTTACAATATATCCAAAAGCGGAATATCGGTTACGCTGGGAGGGTAGCAATAACAATATAAAATGCAGTCAAAGCACGACTTAGCTCAAGCTGGCTAATGTAGACTGGATTAATTGCAAGCTGTGGAAATTGGAATTGCATGAATTATTGACCCGCATAAATACAATAAACGGTACAGCTATGCATCGCCCATGGCAAACACCGATTGCTGGCTGGCATTAAGGTTTACATGGCACATCATCCGATCGCGCCTGATGTCAGCGCTTGGAGTGGCCATGATAGTGGCTGAACCGATACTTGCGATTGGATCTGTGTGCTGCAGCTTCAATCTTGAGGTATACAACTGCCTGAGATGGGCGCTTTTTGACAGAAGACGATGGGAAGTGGATGTCTCGGCCGTACCTGAAGTCAAGACAGCACAGAAAGGCCTTGAAAGACTGCATGGAGACAGGTTTTATTACGGAAAGTACGTTCCACAGGGCATCGATAAGAGGTTTCTGCAGAGCCATCTTGCATTGGTTGTGACGGATATTGCAGACAGCACCGATCTGTGGAACCATTGGCCAGATGCAATGTACCGGACAATCGAATTGCACGACGAAATGGCTAGGAATCTGTGTGCAATGCATGGCGGGTGCGAGATCAGGAACGAGGGAGACTCTTTCCTGTTTGCATTTACAGACACCAATGATGCACTGAAGTTCTGTAAGGAGTTCCACAGAAGTGTGTTTGCTGCATTTAGAAACTGGGTGCCGTTCGGTATAATAAGGCGCAGGGTGCTCCCAATTAAGGTTCGGATTGCAGTGTGCCAGGGCCCTGTTGCGCTGAGCCGTGACAGTATCCTGAGCGTGCACGGAGAGGCAGTGTCCAGGATATATGCAATGAAAGCACATCCAGACAAAATATGCATACACAACAGCTGTGTTCACTCCGCAATGGCTGCAATAAGAAAAATGCCTTTGCTCTGTGTGCATGGCACATTGTGAATAAAGTGCTTGTAATTTACTTTAACAGTGTGCACTTCTGTATTTTAATGAGTTCGCAGTATACAATTACAATGTTTGATGCTTTATTGCTGCGAATCTAATTGCGCAAGCTGTCTAAGGCACCGGCCACTTACATGTTCGTTGATGTAAGTGTGCTGATTGATAATGCAGCAACAATCGAAAACGCAGCAATAACATACCAAACACCACAAAACGACACAAATCCTAGTGCAATCCAAATATTGAGAACCTTTGCAAACGAATCGCCGAAGCCAAGCGTAATACTTGCAAGCATTGCACAGATGTAAGCCATGCTTGCGAACACATGGTCAGCATTCGCATCCATGCCGCTAAAACGCCTCATTATGCTTACTCCATACTTCATATAAAGCACATGATTCGCAATAAGCACTAGTACAAAGGAAATAGATGCTGTATATACTGCAAAATCAAGTAGCACACCGCTGCCAATCGAGTGGACAACATTCTTCGACAATACAGCAGTATAGTATCTCCTGAGTGCACTCCACGCATTTCCAGAAAGCTGATGGTTGAATAAAGATTTCATATGATGCTCAACAGTCTTTGCAAAGAATCCTTTGGCTGGGAAATACAGAACAGACTGCTTTGGGCGACCATCGGGAAACTTTGTCCTAAAGAATTCGTGGTTTCTGTTATCGCTTATGTAGAACAATCTAGAGTCCTGGCTACTGTGCAGTGATGCGTTTGCAGACTTCAGTGACTCGCTTTCGTGGGTTTCATGACTGTTGTGGCTGTTGCCATCGTTGCTTGCCCAGAGATTCCTGACACAAAGCTCGGTAGATGTCTTGTAGTGCTTGAGCCTGACAAGAGACGTCCTGGAAAGGATGTATGCATCTCCAATTACCTGCCAGATGTCATCCTCGTCTGCTTGGCTCTCTGCCTGTGCAAATCCAACAACATTCTTGAACTTGTCGTCCTTGTCCGGCGATGCAACTCTCAGGCACATTGCTGTGTCTGTGTTGACCACCTTAATAAGATCCCCGTTCTGAATATATCTGTCTTCTTCAGTACTTGGCCCCTTATTGCTCATCAAGTGAAGCTTGATTATTGTCCACATGGAGCTGCTGTCTTTGTCTGCAGAGCATACGAGTACACTATCTTTCATGGCGAGATACGAGCGGTGCTTCTGGTTTAGAATGGCCACCGTGCTTCTGTCCATGAGATACCTGTCCGACAGCGTGCTTGTGCTGCCATGCAATGTTGCCTGGAACTCTATTGAAAACCCTTTTGCATGTTCTGAGTGCATGCTCTGGATTGCATATTGAGCATAGAAGGATAGCAGATATATTGACATGGGGATTGCAACGAATGCCATGATTCTCCTAAGCATCATTCCTGCTGCCGTACACAATGCATTTCTGGAATCAGTCACAAATGAAAACATGCTAATCAGGTATAGCATCACCATAGGTAGCATGATCAGCAGGACACCCCATCCAGATGATAGTGAAAGCCCCAGAAGAACCCCAGATGCAAGAATGCGTTGCCTTTTGAGTTGAACTAATCCCAGCAGTGCGAAGTATACCGAAAGCAAATCAGATGCAATAAATGTAGATCTATCGCGTGCCAGCAGCAGCGAGTGGGATAACGCAATGATCCATGATATCTTGCTGCTGTATGTTTCTCTGGACAGCTCTTGCACCTTTACCATCGATATTGAAAACAGAACCTGGCTGACCAATCTGTATGTGTGGATCGATGACAAATCCCATGGAATGCCCACCGAGGAGCATATCAAATGCATTGCATACAAAAGCAATCCCGGAAGAGGCATACCTCCAGATGGCTCAAATCTTCTTGCAGCATATGCCATCTGACTATTCATAAGCTCTGCTTCATCCGGTGTAGTCGCTCCAAGTCTGTGCCTTGATGATATAGCCATCGACACGGCAAATACCACAAGCATATGCATCCAGCTCTTTATGTTTGCTCTCATTGTGTTTATTCTGGATGCATTTGAGACAACCTCTCGATCCTTTATGCTTCTAGTTGCTGTGCCATTGCCTGCATCCATCTATGCTTCAGTAAACAAACAATGTATTTTCAAATACACTTCTCTGCACAGCTCATGCATCGGCCCAAGCATAGAATGCATACAAATATAAATCAAAGCAGCTTTATTCAAATCATCAACAGCCTCGGTAACATCAGTGCTCTTTTTTCAGCTCATCAACTCTCTTCAGCTCATCCTGGAGCTCTGCAAAGTCATTCCTTCGCATTGAATCGCACAGCTGTGCTCCGTCATCAAACATATCGGAAACATCGCTTTCAGACTCAGTTGAGCTTTCCATGCCAATATCAAAGAAAATCTCAGCATCGTGCTTGTTCATCAGGGGACATAAACAAAAATTGTTACCTCGACACAGTTTATTCACACTTAATCTACAGTAGCACCAATCCTCACAGCATACATCATAGGCCACATATAAACAATCTACCTGCATGCTACCACCATTTCCTGCTTCCATCCATCACTTACGATTCTATATTCTTCTTTACTGTCGAAAACATCTTTAGGATTCCAAAGTCTGCAAGCAGCGTCCCCGAAAGAACAAACAGACTGGCTAGGTAGAAAACAGGCATTGAGAATAGATTCATGGCTGCATTGTTAGCCGTAGAATCAATCTCCTGGATATAAAACAGCGTCACAAAGTTAAGAAAGATGCTCAATGCAATCGCAATCCACGAATACACCACAAAATAGGAAATCTCTCGTATCTGTGTGGCAAGAACAACCCAGAAGACTACGATCGAAAAGTAGTTCGTCAGCAGAATATAGCCGCCAACTAGCCCGCTTGCTCCAATCAGATCTTTTATATACACCACGCCCATCGACAGCCCAAACACAACACATCCCATCACAATCGTATACACCGATCCAGACACAAATGCATGCTTTCCAAAGTGCTTTCTTGCATCACTGTATCGTTTTGGATTCGCCATCAGATACTCCTCGGGCTTGTCTTTATCAAAAAGACCTATTGATAGCGGAACAAGCGACGTAAACAGCACATTGTAGTAGTTCAGGAAGAAGTTGTTGTATATCGGCATTCCAGAGTATCCATTGAAAAAGTTGTACATAAACTGTATTGAAATAAAAAATATGTTCTTGAAAAACGCATTCAGGGTTATCTTTGAAAACCGAATCAGGTTGTACCTTCCGTGCACAAGCATCAGCCTCTTCAGAAACCTAAACTCAGGAATCGCAAAGTCTGCCGACAGACTTGCTTGCGTGCCTTCCTTGCCCATGATCCCAATGCCTATATGCGAGCTCTTGATCATCGGAACATCATTATTGCCATCGCCAATCGCCAATGTGTTTTTTCCAAAGCCCACAATACGTTCAGCAATCTTTCCCTTCTGGCTAGGAGTTGCACGATAGATCACAATCGACCTGTAACTGAACACATCCTCGTCAACAAACTTCTTCAGAAATTCCTCTCCTTTGATCACAAGCGACTGAGCCTCTTGCCCCTTTGGAACAATTCCGCAATCCTCTGCACAGCTCATTGCTGTCTCCTTCTTGTCCCCAGTAATCATCCATATCTTGATTCCTGCGTCCTTAAGCGAGACAATCGTTTCCCTAGCATCCTTTTGCAGTTCATCCTCAATAAATGTTGTACCAAGATACTTCATTGCATCCTCAGCATTGTCAAAAATCCTCTCCTGCTCCATATGTCTTCCCTTCAACGAAATCTCGTTGTGCCTGCTCTTCATTTCGCTCAGCATCTCCTCTCCAATTTCCTTGCATCCAACAACAAGCGATCTGTATTCAGAGTTTGTGTTGATCAGTGTTCTGATAAACTCAGGGTCTCCGCCATCAAAACTCATGTTCTTGTCTCGTAGCAGCATCTGATCTGCTCCCTTGCAAAACAGCATGCATTTCCCAAGTATCCTGACTATTACCGACATCCTCTGCCTACTTGAGCTGAACTCCAACGCCATCTCTATTTCTGCCTTGGTTCGCCTTCCGTTCATCTCAAGCACGACATGCCTTGCATCACGCTCAACAAGCACGCATCCTTGGTTCTTCAGCTCCTCAACAATGCACAGCTCATCCTGTGAAACTCCCTCAAACTTGCCATTGAGAGGCTCTATAGAGTTGCAACACAAAAGTGCTGCAACAAACATCGTGTGCCAATACTCATCATTCAAATCCCCGTTCATACTGCATGAGCCTTGATCACCAAGCACATCAATGTCCAGCATATCTCCTCCAAGCCTGTCAGTGGGTACAATCCCCGGCAATCCGTGCCAGTGACAATGCTTCAGAACCATTGAGTTCTTGGTCAATGTCCCTGTCTTGTCAGTCAGCACATAGTCAACAATCCCAATGTCTTCCGTGACATTTGAATTCCTGCACACAGACCTGTACTCTCCAGAAGCCAGATGGCCATCATGGAACACAAACATCGAGTGTATCATCCTGGACACCTCAAGCGTAACAAAAAGAGACAGCGGAATCAGGTAGCTAAACAGAATATAGTTCGTGCCTGTCTGCTTTAGTGCATCCTCCGCAGGATACTCGTTCGGATACAGATACCCCATGCCTTCCCTCCTCAGAAACCCTGCACCTAGCACCGACGTCAGGATCAGCACAGCCAGATACACAAGAAACACCCCATATATGAAACTGCCAAGGCTTCTTTCAAACAGCGAAATCTTCGGCTTTGCCTTGATGTGGCTCTTTCCAAGCTTCGTCTGCCTCCCCACACTCACAATCATCCCAAACACACTCTCTGTGTTCTTGACTCTCGACCCCCTCAGTAGAACATTCTTCTCGTTGTACAGAACCTTCGTTCCATAAATATCAAGCTGGCACTCAAAATTATCAAAAAGATCTCCGGTGTCTTCAACCACAAATCCTGCAATCTTGTCTATATAGTACATGTCACAATCACAAATACAAACTCCTTTGTTGCATCGTTGCTCGCCGTCGCTATATTCATGTGCTGCATCTTCACAAGAACCGCACCCAGTATTGCCAGGCACTGTTTTCTTCTTCAAATTAGACTCTCCATCAAGATTGCTCGTCTCAACAAAGCAATGCGACTTGCATCTTACCCCGTTCCTAGTCTCAGCCTTGCTATTCAGCAGCACCACATCCCCAGGCACCTCCTGATCCTTCATAATCAAAATAAAGTCCCCAGCCGTCAAATCCTCAACATGTATCTCCTCAACACACACCCCTGCCGAGCCCTTTCTTATCACATTTGCAGGCTTCTGGTTCATGGCCCTGTCATGCTGATGCCTTCTGTAGTCCTCCACTCCGTCCTTCACCATAGATGCCCCAACTACAATTGCAAACGCCAGCAAATACGTAAATGGCGAAAATGGCGATATCGAGGGAATCGATAGCAGAATAAGAGTCAGCAAGAAAAACAGATTCGATGGTCTTGAAAGCTGGTGGTACATGTTCAGTGGAAAAAACGTGAATGCTGTGTACTTAGACGTCACTATTTTGTTTTCCTTACCCTTCATTTGCATACATACAATCACAACTTTAATTCGCTTCAGGCAATCACATTAAACACTTGCATTGCCATCTGTCAACTCACAGCCAATCGCATCAAACCCTGTGCAGCAGTCACTCACAACATAGCAAGCCCTGCTCCTCCACTCAACCTTATACATCCCAGGAGACTCTACCTTGAGGATTTCATATTCATTAGACCCAGAAAACAGAAAGAAAACCACAAATCCAACAGGCGCATCAGGCATCGACGCCACATCAATAACAACACTATTTTCAACAAGCTTCAGCTTGTAAAACTTGTCCTGTGCCGCACAGGTCTTCTTGGTAATACTCTGCAGCCCAAACATCACGTTGAATGCCGTTTTCAGGCACGCCTTTTCTATTGAGACTTCAAGTAGACACAGATACATCTTGTAAATAATCGGCAAAACATCATCAAGGTAGTACTGCAATATGTCGGGACACTCAGATTCGTTTACAAAGTCATGGCTTGCGAGCCCATATGCCTTCCCCCTGCTAATGTCAACTCCATTGCTGCTCAATACCTTGTACTCGTCATGATCCATGCAGAATACAAGCTCCTCTGCTCTGCAAACAAGCAAAAGAATGTTTTTCAGCCCCATCTTGTCCTTCACACTGCCTACAAACATCCTAATCGTGTCAATACACATCCCGTATCTACAGAGAATCCGCCCATACCTGGTCAGTCCATTCTCATCAACAAGCAAGGATGTGCATGCCACATGCTTGTTCAGGTTGCATCCTATCCAGTAAGAATACACATCCAGCTCGCCTCTTCCAGACGACCGGTAATGCAGTGGAATCCTACCTTGATTCAAATACAGCAATGCCTTGCTTCGCTTTGTGTATATAAACACACGTGAGCCAAGCATCGAATACCTGCACACATCAGCCACCCTGTAGTCTGCATACATTTGGGACTCATGATCATAATACACAGTTCCAATAACATGGACCTGTTCCACGCATGGATTCCACCCTGCATCAATCCACATGTCAATGCTTCTTCGTGTAGCAAAGTGCACTCCTTTTCCAATGCAACCAAACTCAGCCGCAATCCTTGCATCCCTGAATCGGCTGGCAAAGTGTCTGCATGCACTCTGCACAGGAAGAATCACAAGGCATGATCCATCTACACTCATCCTGCTTATATTCAGCTCAAACTCATTCAGGTAGTCATGCATTTCGCCATGATGTGTAAGGCTGCATGATCCATACATCGAGATTCTAGTCTTTTCTTTCATTTCGTATTCCATATGATGCTTTTCCTTGCATTCATTACAGCCACTCTTACTCCTATCCGCTTCTCCAGGCTGCTCAATGTCGCCAAGATGCTCAATATCTGCACCATCAACAAATGGAAGCCCAACAAGAACCATTCTGATATCTTGAACTATGCACTGTGCTATACATGCCTCAATAAGGTAATTCGAAAATATATTGTGGACATCCATAATTGTGACTGACTCACAGGTAACTCGTCCTGAAACAAACTCATCATGCACATACGCCTCGTATCCCATCATTCTCAGCCTCCGTCTTTCTCGATAGCCTGCTACAATCACAGTTTTGGTGCATATCGCTCCATCCACCAGGCCCAGCCTTACTACATTTCCACGGCTTCTGCTCAGCACATCAATCATAAACTCCCTCCATACACTACTGAACATCGAGCGTTCAGCATTACCTGCCTCTACAAGACTAAGAACACTCGGGTCTTCAGGACACAAATAATTCGCAGAAAGCACATATGTATTCAGAAACGGCGACTTCGTGTTTATTGCGTAGTTCTGGCTTGAATGCATTCCGTCTCCAAACACGACTGTGTCACAAACAGCCAGCTCCTTGTCTCTTGAATCCGTTATCAAAACATAATACCTGTCGTCACTGCACTTGCTATCATCAAATGCCTTTTCAATCCCAATATTTATCACGTAATACTCATCACTGCACATATACACACATGAAGAGATACAGAACCTCGGAACATATTTCAGGCTATCCATCACTTCCGCACAGATCCCCATCTCTGCAAGCCCGTCTCTTCCCAGCATCTCCAGCATTGAAAACGGAATCTCCTTCATCTCAAGCATCCTGAGTGCATCATGGTTCGTGCAGAAATGCCTCAGTGGTGTTTGGTACGGAAATATCCTGTGCACAGCTGCCTTGTACCACCGAATAACCCTTCTACAAACGCCTAGCCCTTTCCTTACACTGACATCAAACAATGCTGCAAACATCCTTGGTAGGTTCTGCGACAGCACCGTCAGTTCAACCCTGTTGGCAACATGGCATTGAACAAGAATCCCAAAAGTAGACTCCGTTGGAACAGGAACCATATTCACCGCATCGCCAGCTTCAAATTCTTCTTTACGTATGCCGATTCCCTTGAACTCGCTCATCTCTGCAATCATCGAAAACATCGACGAATCAGTCATCAAGCTGCACAAGTCTGCAAACATCCTTGATGAATCTCGGTATTGCAGGCAATATCTAGACGCAACAGCTCCTACACATGTCGAATGCACAAACGGTTCAAAAACAATCAGTCCTGCTGCCTCAAGATGCTTCAGCGCACTGTACACAATTTCCCTGGCAGCCTTCCCTGACTCTCTATTCATCACCACAAGCCTTGCATAGTAAAATGTATGCTTAAACCAATCCACAGCCTGGCCAAACTCTTTCATCCCGCCTGCAATCTCTGCATTCAAAAAGTCGCACAGCCTTGGAAGCAGTCTCGATTCAATGCACCTCTCAACCAGAAACTCGGTCTGCTTGCTTGAAACAAGAACCCCCTTGCATCTTTCATCTCCAAATCGCCCTGCCCTACCAAACATCTGGAGTATCTCGGCCTGCTTAATTGACTTCCACTCACACGTATATGTATCATACACATCTGCTCCTTTGATAACAACAGTTCGTCCCGGTAGATTCACACCCCAAGCAAGTGTTGCTGTACATACCATCACATCAATACGGCCACTCTTATACAGCTCCTCCATAGCAGTTCTTACCTTTCGGCTCAGCCCTGCATGGTGGACTCCAATCCCATGCCTTGCTATCTCCCTAATCGATTTTTCTGCATCTGCCAGCAGCTTGTCGTCATCGTTATCTCTGCACTCATGTCGTCCTAGATACCTTGCGAGCTCACGTGCCATCTCCATCACATCTCTCCTTGAATGGACAAACACAATCACCGGGCCACCTATATCCATATTCTCCAGAACCTTCTCAACAGCAACAATCATCTCCATCTCCCTCATGCCAACATTGATCAGTTCATAGTCCATCGCACATCTCCGAAACTCACTGCCAAATGCAAACACACTTTCCTGCTTGCACCCGAGAAACCGCCCAACATCCATATGATTTGGAAGCGTTGCACTCAATCCAATAATCCTGCATCCCTTCCTTACAGACATCCGTGCAACAAGCGCTTCTATCGTTGCGCCTCGATCCTCATCAAGCATATGGATCTCATCAATCACCATCACTGAAAACCCAAACCCCGTATTTCTTGTCAGTGCATCGAGCTTCTCAGGTGTGCAAACTATCACATCTGCTTTCTCCAGATGCTTGTATCCAACATCCGTGTCAGATGTATGCTCCACCACCGCCATGCCATGCCTGGAAAACATCTGGCCAAGAGTCATCGACACCTCTCTTGCAAGCGCCCTCATCGGCACCACATATGCAATCTTCTTCCCTCCATCCGCTCCAGCATTCTTCGCATCACCCATCTTCCCTTGTTGAGCCACTACCTTCAATATCGACAATGCCCCAATCACCGTCTTTCCACTGCCAGTAGGCGCACATACAAGAACATTTCCAGAGTCATTAAACACTGCATCATAAACAGCACTCTGCACATAGTTAAACTTAAATCCATTGCCAAAAAGCAGCTCAGCATCCCCAGGCACATCAGCATCAAAGTCAATATCTTTTTTGCATCCATGAACATACACAGTCTCAATCCCATCCGCATACCTCACCTCTGCATCTGCAGGATACTCCCTCTTCTTCATATGCGTGCTTGCATTCGACGATGTTCTTTCAAGATCAACTATTTTGCATCCACTCATCAGGCTCAGCATGTCGTGCTCAATGTACTTTGTAAACGCCACTGCGCCCTCTGTCCTTAGCATTTCTTTCGCCTTCATGCTGTCTTCAGGCTCCAGCTGGTACACAAGAAAATACTCAAATGCCTTGCTGTTGCACAGGATTCGATTCAAAAAATACATCTTCCATCCCCTCAACAGCACACAAAGCCTATCAAGCACTCCGCCTCTAATCACCTCAAGAAGCATTCTCTTCTCATCGCTTGCAAACAGCGCATCAAAAAGCTCGACATCCTCAAACAAGACACTGCTCCGGTCATTTCCACAGAAGCTCTGTGTAAGTCTGGCTAAGCCATCAACCACATCAGGCGCAATCCGCTTTCCAATCGCTTCCTCAACCTTTCGGCACAGCTGTTCGCCAGATGCATCACATGAAAGTAGAGCACCAACCATTCTTTCCAGCTTGCCCTCATCACCCTCCCCAACCATATTTGCAATCATGTTCACATACTCAGCATAACTAATATACATCAGCTTGAATCAATAGGGATTTGCCGCTGCCACTTTTACATCACACAAAATGCAAAACGCAAAACGCAAAACATCTAATACTTTATTCACTACTCTATTCTTTCCAGAAAAATAACATATGTGTCGTCCTTGCTCACACCATTCGCCTCACTAATCCTCTGATCATTGCACAGGTACCACCTGTCCTTCCTTACATAGCTTACATAATGCCCAGTGGCTGTGGAGTATTCCGAGTCATGGTTGCACACCCCAATTGTTTTGTAGCGCATGCCTCCTACAACCATCTCCTCCGTTGAATACGCAACAGGCGTGGATATCTTCATTATTGCTCCATTTACATACTCAAACCGCTTCAATTGGATAATCAGATATACAGGATGGCTTCCAAAGTCTATCTTCTTTGAAAACCTCTGCTTTCCTCCACATCCCTCGCACTCAAGAAGCTCAAGACACCCAAACTCCTCTTTCTCAAGAAACACATCCAAACAGTCCTCAATCGTAGTCAATCCATCCCTCCTGTCTGTGATAATGCAAGGAATGCTGCATGGCCCATCAAACACCCTACTTCCTCGATAGCTCTTACTGATCACAGTTACAATAGGTATACCTAACAGCCCTCCATCTGCATTCGAGGCATACTCCAACTTCAGATACGAGGACACCGCTCGATCATCAAGCATCCACTTGTTTTCTCGATCAACAACATGAAGAAGCGCATCGCACACCGCTCTATACGTACAAGACTCATCGGCCAGCTTTCCATGCCCCAATAATCCAATGCCTAGTGCCTTCTCCATAAGCATTCCCCTGCTCTTCAGGGATATCCAGAAGTATGACCCAATCTTCTCTTCAAAGTATTCGTAACAAAACAACTTACGGCCAATGTCTTTCAGAATTCCATCCTTGACTTCCTCTGCGCCCCCCTTTCTGTCATAGACCACACAGATAATCATACCTCTCACTCCGTAATCCTTTCGCATCATTGCCTTCATTTCTTCTACTTCGAGCTTCTCATTCACACGTATGCTCACAGGTCTTCTATCCACCGATTCGTAGAACAACAACACATCGCTTCTGCGCCTTAGAGGAATCGGTAGTGACAAGTACATGCAAGGATCGATGCAAATCTTCTCCTTGCTGCATCTCAAACACCCTAGTGTTGATTTCAGATCAAAGAAAAACAGATTTGTCACAATCGACTTGTTGCAGCTCCACCACCCACCATCATTATTGCCTGGCATGCTTACCATTCCCTCATGGAGCGAGTAGAGAAGCTTGCCAACAAACTCAATAACATCCTGCTCCTCGTTATAATCATATTCAATGTACAAGTCACCCATCCTCTTCTTCATCTCACCCGGCGTGATCACACGAGTCTTTCCATCATGCATCTGTTGAACAAGTCTGTAGTATGCATCAACAAGCATAGCCTTCTTCGGCAGGCTTGTGTTCAGCACCAGTTCATGCTCTTTATGTATAAAGTACTCAGAAAACTTCCAGCAATTCATCAAGCACTGCAGTCCGCTGTTCATAAAACACGTGTTTCCTTGATTCCTCAGCCCACACACCGCATTCCTCATCATTGCCCAATCATGAATGGACAGTATTCTGCCATCATTTGCATGTGCAATCCGAACAATCGCAACAGTACTTCCATTTTCAAGATCGCCAAGCTCAGTCAATGGATGTACCGCCCTATCCTTGCATACCAGCCTGTATCTCCTCATAAGCTCATCGATCTCCACATTACACCCCAGAATGCCTGGCACTACATCAATCAGCTTGGAACTGCATGCAACAGCCATGCTTATTCTTCTACCTCCTCCGCTTCTTCTAGCACTTTCACTATTCATAAACATCTCAAATTCTTTAACATTAACAATCGACGTCAACATCGACCTCATCCATCCAACTCTAACAACCGCACGGCTGTTCCTGTCAGCCAATGCATTCACGCCTGCAAAGTCATCAATCACAAATGTCACATTAATTGTTTTGTTGGTCGCTCCGGATGAGTTCTGCTCTCCTTGGCTGCTCTGCATTGCATAACCCATGTGAACACCAACCCTGCTACACCATAAATCCAAATCATTGCACAGCGTTTGCAATCAACACAACACAGCAGCCTTGCAAACTAGCAAAAGCCACACGCCATGTGTTGTGCTACAGCAAAACATTATGACGACACCAGGACTCGAACCCAGAACCTTCGGGACTGGAATCCGACGCGCTACCATTGCGCCATGTCGTCACACCCCTCTATGCGCAACGCTGTTCCTCCCCTGCATCGCATCCTTACTCCCCTCCCTTGCTCACAGCCATTCAAAAATAATAAAAACGAAGACCTCTTTATTCATCTCCAGCTTTCCCAAGCTTTGCCTCAACCATCATCCTCCTCTCCTCACGCGTAAGTCGTGCCTGCTTGTACTTCTTCAGTCCAGAATAGTCCTTCTTGTCCTTGGGCTCTTTCACTGGATCAGCCGCTATCTTCTCAAACGCACTCTTGTAGATCCCATATATGTTCTCCGGCTCAATTCCCTTCTTGATATAATCAGAAAACTGCACCTTGTACTTCTCCGGATCAGATTCCCTCAGCTCAATCATGTACTTCGACACACTCTGCCCAAATATCCTGTCATGCAACTCCTTCACGTTAAACTGCTTCCCCTTGTTGTATCCATAAAACTTCACCTCACTGTGCGGAATGTTCAGCCCTGCATCAGATGCTCCCTTCATTGCCCCAAACACATTTGCTCCCTTGCTCGACCTTGCAAGCCCAATGTCGAGATACACCTTCAGCGCCTTCCTGTCTTCGTCAATGTCCTCCGTAACACTGTATGTCCCGTCGATCTCCTTCGGGAGATACACTTTGTCCATCGAAAGCGCATTCAGTGCTCGTCTTCCAATCAAAAACCCCGTTGCATATGCTGCTGAGTAGTTCGTCAGCCCAAAGTCAACTCCATACTTCTTCAGCTCGCTCGAGTCTGCATATGCCATCACACGGTCTCCATCCATGTATGCTCCCATGATCTGGCATATCACCTTGCTGTTTGTTATCCTGACAGCTAGCCTGTACTTAGACACCCCGCTCGCATTTGCATCTTGCCTGATCATGTTTATCCTGTGCTTGTAGTCAGTCTTTCCCTCTCTCCTCCTCCTTCTCTTCACTTGGAAGTTGGTGCTGTACGATCGTGTTCCCTTTGCGCTACTCTTCAAATTATCTCAGCAATACACTTACCATTTTGCAGGGCTACAAATTTTTCAACATATCCACACACATCGCATCTATTTACCCATGCGCGTTATTGTGCAGTTGTAACTCCATGCGCCGCTTTAACGCCTATTCAGATCCCCATGCATGCCAGCCGCCTCACCGCTTGCATCAAGAATATCAAAGTTGCAGGATGCCGGGATGTTCTGCACCATAGACATCGATAGGCTCGGGTACGGCTCATTCACAGTCTTGATGGCTGCAGATCTCAATCCCGCAGTGAAGAGTGCAAAAAAACTCAGATCAAGCATCGACTTGCTCATGGCCGAGTCAAGGTCAGACGGGATCAAGGCACACATCGAAATCATCATGCTGTATACAAAAGGATACATGGAGGAAAGTAAGACAAGCAGTGCAGTGCATACAATCAAGATGTGGAAAGGCCTCGCAAAGTACGTTTCGTCAGTCATCGAGATGCTTGGCGATGACGATGTTGTCGGATTCATCAAGCTTGTACTCTTCAACATCAGGTTCCATTATATGTTTCTAGAGGCTTCGCTGATCATCAAACAGAGCCACAAAGGCATAAACCACGAAGGAACACTACTCTACTTTCTCAACGAATACACAGGCATGCACGAGATGCTTTCTTCTGCAGGATCACTGCAGCTTGCTGTTGTTCAGCTTTGTGATCTCGAAGAGCTGATGAGAAACAAAATAAATTCAATATAATCAGCAAGTAAATACAAAAAGCATAGGCCATTGCATTCAATTGCATCAATAGCCACGCAATGCACCGTGACATTCAGCATATCTGTATACAGTGGGTCGTTCCAAGCCTTGCATTCTGATATTTATGTATGAACAGCAATACCCAGAATGGAGTCCCCAGAGTTTCACAAGCTTGAGGGCTTGACATTGAAGCTTTTGAGAGACCACAAGGCATTCAGCTCTGAAGACTTCATGCACATACACAACATTGTGTACAACCACTGCACAGAAGTGTGCACAACCTTCCAGACAAGAGGATTGAAGGTATACGAGTGCCTGAAGAAGGTGCTTTCTGCACATGTAGACCATCTCAGATGCTTTACATCTCTCAAAACGCTCCACCACCAGATGGACGAGTTCTCAAGTGCATTGGCGATTGCGTCGAAGGCATACTCGTACCTCGAGCGGTATTTTGTGCGCATCAGCATTGAGAAGCGAGACGGACACGTCATGGACATACGCACACTGGGATACGTTGTGTTCTACAGGCAATACATGGAAAGGATGATGGATAGAGCGAAGGAGATTGTTTTTTTCGAAATAAGCGTTTCAAGGAGCTCGAAGGACTATGTGTTTGCAATGCTTGCGGAGACCGTCAGACACCTGAGGATGCTGTACTTCTGCAACGATGAGAGCGAGAAGTACAATGAGATGGTCAAGCAGTATGTGGAAGTGTTCCGCAGCTCGATGAACTTTGATGCAGAGATTGGCAAGGTTCTGAAGAGGGTGTACCTGGAGATATACATTGCATCAAGGGTTTTTGAGCCTGAGAGCAACAGGCTGTACAAGGAGGTGATATTTGGGCTACGGCATAGGTTTGGAGAGATTCTGAAGGCAATGCACAGCAAGATGGAGAGGCAGGAGCGATTGAAGCTGTATGTAAAGATAGTGCAGTTTATGGATTCTGAATGCATGGATGAGGTTTTTGATCAATATAAGAGCGTGGTATGCAGGAAGGCGAATGCAGTTGACGGACTGAGTGCGCTTGTTGCACTGTACATGAATGTGCGCATGCATGTGGCTGAGAACTTCATCAAGACGGATGAGCTGTGCAGGCATCTCGATGAGGAGGCAGCAAGGTGCCTTGGTAGGCTCGGCACGAATGCTGAGGATGATGTATGCCGATTCATTGAGGATTTGCTGAGGACGAATGCAAAAGCAAATAGCACATGCAATAGCAATAATTGTTTATGCAGGCACATAACTGGGATGTGCAATGGATTGCAGATGGAGAGCAGCATAGACGAAGTGATTGATGCAGTGGCCATACTTGTTGGATTGATGGGCAGCAGGGATGCAGTGATTGAGAAGATCAATGGTGTTGTACAGCGGATGCTACTGGGATACTGCGCTGAGCCAACGAAAGTAAAAAAGCTGATGTATGCAGTGAAGAAGCACCTAGGTACGAATATGAGTAGGAAGATCTATGTGATGTATGCAGATTATATGGGAAGCACCAGGAACGAGCTTGATATGCATGCACGGGACGAAGGATTTGTTGTTGAGGCACGGTTTCTGACACGAGGGTTTTATGATGTGAGTGCAAGCGGAGAAAGTCTTCCAGAAGCATTACGAGATGCAGAGGAGGCTGTTGCGCGACTAAAGCTTGCAAATTATCCGCGAGCAGTGTATGAAGGATGCTACAGCCTGTCGCCTGTGGTATTTGAGATAAATGGATTCAACTTCCGGATGGGAACAGACAAAGTGGCGATTCTAATGTGGCTGGACACTGATAGAAGCAAGGATGAGCTGAAAGAGTGTGTTGGAGGAAGGGGATTTGAGAGGAATCTTGAGTATCTTCTTTCGCATGGGTTTGCTGTGCTTGTGGATGGGAATGTTTCTCTGAATAGGATATTTTCGAGTGGAGAGTATGAGTATGTTAAGAGCAGATGCAAGAGGGTTTGCGTGATGGGGCCTGATTGTGAGCTTAAGGATGCACTGTGCAGCAATGAATTTGATGCATGCAGCGAAGAGGTGTTGGATCTGTTTGAGATTGAGGATGAGGAAGGAGTGGCGACTGATGAGCATTTGGAGGATGAGCATTGTGGGGCAGTGGTAGAAGCAAAGGTGATGAGGATATTGAAGAGGGAGAAGAAGAAGAATGTAGAGGAGATTATTGCCAAGGTGTGTAGCGAGACTAGATGTGATGGCCAAGCAGTAAAGGATGCGATATGCAAGCTTGAAGAGAAGGAATACTGTAGGATGAATGGAGACGATGCAGAGTATCTGCCGTAGTGTAGTGAATGCGGGGTGATGCAGCTTTGCCTGCGAGTTTTCCTGCTTATGCATAAGACGGAGTATGGAATGGAGTTGGGAGAGCCTTGACCTGAAGAGCATATGCAGAGATATTCTTTTGAATAATGATGAATGCTTAATGAGCATTTTGATATAGTATTTGAAGATATTAAATTTTTGTTTTTTTGTGGATCAACAAAGGCCCTTTATGTCGTATGATTATGAATATGATGAGTCTGGGCTTGCATCGAGCTACCTGATGCTTTCTGCTCTTGCACCAGTTGCGCTGTTCTTCAGCTTTAGACTGGTTGGTAGGAAGAAGGTAAAGAGGGTGTGGTGCAGATGTGCAGGATGCCGAGAGAAGGTGGAGAATAGGAATGGGCTGAGGAAGGTGGTTGCGGTAGTGCTTTGGATAGCGGTGGCGTATCTTGTGAGGAATGTGAAGACGCTGAGGATGGAGTACAAGAAGGGATTTAATCCATTGGATGTGCTGGGGATAACGGAGGAAGCAAGTGCTGGGGAGATTAAGAAGAGGCTGCGAGTGCTTTTGGTGAAGTACAACCCGGGAAAGGTAGTGGGGGAGATGAAGAAGGAGTATGAGGAGAAGATGAAGAATGTGAACCGGGCATATGGGCTTGTGATGAACAAGAAGAAGTATGAGGCATGGCTGAACAATGATTCGAAGATAGGGGAGATTGTAGCGATTCCTGGGATTGTAGTTAGGAACGGAGTGTATGCTTTTGTGCTGTATTGCATAGCACTCGGGGTGTTTGTTCCGAGATGGGCATACAGAAAGTGGAGGGAGATGCGGGATATGAATAGGCTTGGGGTGAGTTTTGTGACGATGGAGAAGTTTTTTGAAAGGATTGATGAGAAGATGAACGAAATGAAGGGACTTGAGGGAATTTATGCGCTGATTTGGGCAATGGGCGAGTCTGAAGAGTTTGCAATGCATGAATGGAAGAGTGAGGTGAGTGGGCTGAAGGTACGGATTGAGAATGAGTATGGCCTTCCGATGAAGGAGACGATGGATGATAGCAAAGGATGTATTGTGCTGATTGACCACTTATTTAGGACTGGGATGGCAAGGAAAGAGGAGGCTGAGTATGTGCAGAGAGCATCGCTGAGGCTGATAGAGGGGATGAGAGTGATTGCGCTTGCAAAGCGATATGGTAATTTGATGAAGAATCTCGTTGTTTTAGAGGGGATGGTGGTGCAAGCGGTGTTTGATCCGAGGTTTTGCCTGCTGCAGATACCGTTTGTGAGGTTTGAGCCATTATTTATTTGGGAGAAGCGAGGCAAGGAGAAGAGAAGGGGCGAGGAATATTTACGAATGCATTTATCTGGGGAGCACTATGATTCTGCAATGATGGTGAGCAGGGAGATTCCAAGTGTTGAGGTGAGCGAGTTTAGTGCGTCTGTGATCAATACTGGGAATGATGGAGATGGAGAGGATGTTGCGCTTGAGGATTCTGACGACGTTATTATGCGTAGGGAGATTGAAGAGGAAGGAGTGAAGAGCATGAAGAGGGACCAGAATGTTTATGTGGTGAGCAATGGGTCTGTGGTGACGGTGATGGTGAAACTCAGTAAGGTCTCGAGTTTCCGGGGAGGATCTGATGGAAGGAGGATGGTTGTGCATGCGCCATTTATAAAAGAGCAGCTGTTTTGTAGGTGGGCCGTGATGCTGACGATTGATGGCCGGGTGTATGGGAAGATGGAGGTGGTTGATGATTTTGAAGGCAGCCGGAGGGTGAAGTTTAGGATTGGGACGGAAGATCTGCGAAGGGTGAATGAGTGCAAGGTGTTTGTTGGGTGTGGAGAGTATCTGGATAGAAATGTGGAGAAGAGTATTGTAATCAAGGTTGAATAAATTTGGTGTGTTTGAGTGTTGTAGAGAAGGGAAGGCGGCGTGTAAATGATTGCGGAATGTTTGTTGCCCTTAAGCTGATGAATGAGAAGTACAAGTTGCAGTCGTTAGGAAGCGAGGAGGAGGTTAAGAGTGTGGTGTTTACGAATGAGCCTGAGGTGAGTATAGGCAGTGGAATTGATGCAGGTGTGCGTTTGCAGCAGCCGTCGATCAAGGAGAGGCATGTGCTTGTGTATTTTGAGCACATGAAGATGCGAGTGATTGGGGAGAATGTGTTTTTGAATGAGGATGCTGTTGAGAAGGGATCTGTGTGTGAGTTTAGGTTTGGGGATGTGGTGCGGATATGCAGGTACAGGTTTGTTTTTTCGCAGACCGAGCCAGGAGATTTTGTTGATGACAGCAAAGTGATCCGAAGGCCAAGGATGGAGATGAGCTACCTGAATAGTGAGGGGATTGGCAATGCGGAAGAGAGTGAAGAGCCGACGAATGTGACTGAGAGTAAGAAGATGCAGGTTGTGGAGAAGAGTGGCGAAGGAGTGATGGGGGAAGCAGTAGTATCTATTGCATTGAACAAGGTGTCTGGAGTGTATGTATCGCTTGGCGGGGACGAGCATGCAAATGTGTCATGCATAAAGCAGGTGCTTGAGGAGCAAAAGGAGGTGCTTGAGAAGGAGATTGAGGAGTCTATTGAGCATGGGGCGGTAGATACGCCGGTGATTGCATCGCTTGCAAAGAAGCATGGGCGTGATCTTGGGGAGGTGATGATAGAGAAGGAGATTTTGAACAGTGCAGAAAAGATAGTTGAGGAGAAGATGAGGAATGAGCACGATGCGATTGAGCTGGGGCTTGATGAGCTGAAGCAGAGTGTGAAGGACAGTATCAAGGAGGAGCTGCGAGAAGACCTGAAGAGGGATTTTATGATGGAAGTGAAGGAGGAGATCAGGGATGAAGTAAAGGAGGTTTTGATGTCGAGCGAGATGAAGGATGCGATTGCCACGGATATGATGGGGCATATTGATATTGATGCGTCTCAGGAGCAAGCGAATGGGGAAGATGAAAAGAATGAGAGGGGCGCAGGTATGGCTGAAGGCATGAAAGACAAGAAGGATGAAGGTGAAGATGTGGATATGGGAGATAAGAAAGAAATGAATAATGAGAAAGCATCAAAGCCTAGACGACGTGCAAGCTCTATAGGAGTAAGAGTTGACGGCGAAGAAGGATCAGAAGCACCACCTACAAGAAAAAGCTCGATCAAAAGCAAACGACAGAACGCTGGAGAAGATGAGGGAGTGAAGAGGAAGAAAGATGGGAAGGGGAATGAAAGCAAGCCTAAGGGGCGTAAGAAGTAGGAATAAAGTGTTAAATGATATTGAAGTGTTTTGGATGCCCTATGAATAGATTGTATAAGGAGGTAAGTGAAGAGTTTCTTGGTGGGCTGAGAGAGTATGTTGATGGGAAGATTGGATATGAGGAGATTGAGAGGCTTTGTGATAGAGAGTCTTTGGCGTATAGCAGGGAGAGATGGGAGAGTGTGATTGAAGAGGGAGCGAATGAGATTCTGGAGATTAAGCGAAGGATATATGAGGGGATACTGAAGATTGAGGAGAAGGTGAGGATGCTGGAAAGGATGGGGAATGGAAGGGAATTTGAGGCTGATGTTGAAGCGGTAGCGATGCATTCGGAAATTGTTGGAAGGAATGCGGTGCCGCCTGTTGGATATGAGAATGCAGGAGTGTATTTGCCACCGTTTCCATCGATCAGCATGGTAAGAAGCCTGAATTCTGATGATGCCGCATGAGAGTAGGCGGAGTATGGGAGGAAGCAGGACTCGATACAGATAGTGAGTTTGGCAATGCCCTTGATGAGGCTTGCAGTGAGCTGTGCAATGAATCAGAATAGAAGCATGCAAGCACATGACCTGTTGATGAAGAAGGGGATTGCAGTGAGGTCGTTTGGAACAAACTCTGTGATCAGGCTGCCTGGGGAGACGATTGATGCTGCGAATGTGTATGAGTTTGGAACAACATACAAGGAGATACATGAAGATCTGTGTAGGAAGAATGAGGAGTACTATCGGGAAGCTGGGATTCTGTACTTGCTCGAGAGGAATATGAGAGTGAAGGAGAAGCCCGAGAATTTTTTTGAGAAGAGAGAAGAATTTGACCTTGTGATAACTTGCGAGGAGAAGGTGTTTACAGGCATATATGAGCACTATGCAGCGAAGGAGGTGGGATCTGGAAGGTTTGTGATGGTGAACTTTGATATTAAGGACACGCCGTCGGATGCGGTTACTGGAGCACTTGAGATTCTTGAGTTTGTTGAGGAAGTGATTAGATTAGAGGAGGAGGGGCTTGAGTATGCTGTCCGGACGGCGCTTGAGAAGCATTTTGAGAGGAAGGCAAGCATGCTTCTGTTTAGTGTTGTGAGCCTGTGAATGTAATGAAATGCAGATTGGTGAGGAAGTGATGGCAATGAAAATGAACACCCCTGGAGGATGAAGAGTGGCTGTAAGATATGCCATGGAGGAGAGTGTGCAGACGATGAGCTGTTTAGCCCGTGTAAGTGTGCAGGGACAATAAAGTATATACACAAAGGATGTTTGCTGTCGTGGATGGCGTTTACGAAAACAAATAGATGCAATATCTGCCACTATCAGTACAGGTTTAAGGAAGTTTATAGGGAGGATGTTCCGGAGCGACTGCCTGCGTGGATGATTGCGAAGGGTGTAGCAAAAGCAGGATGGCGAGTGATTGCAGTGCTGATATGGAGTTTGCTAAGCCTTTGCAAGTGGATAGGAATATTCTACGTAAATGGAGGTTTGTTTATGCTGCTTACGGGGATATGCAATGGGATAGATGCGATGTCGATAGGGCAAGTGGGGATGTTTGTTGGGATAGGAATTCCGTTGACATGGCTAGCGCAGATGAACCAGGCGCTATTCTTACAGATACGCAGCAGGGTTGATACAGATGCCCGAAGACGAGGAGTGCCTAGTGCAGTGGTGGCAATGAGGGAGGAGGATGCGAGTGTGGAACCTGGTGCAGAAGGAATTACGAGGAGAAGGAATGTGAGTGCTGGAGAATCAGATCATATAGCGAATGAGATTAACTATATAGATGCACCAGTAAGTGATGTATCTGTGCGATTGAATGAAAGGCAGAATGAATTGGCTGTAGCACCTGAAGTGAGCATGAGCTTGAGTACGAACAGGAATGCAACAGAGATGGATGGTGGAATTTCTGAGGCACCTGGAGCATCTAGGGAATTTGCCAGTACGTATATCGAATGTGTTAGTGTAGTAAAGAAAGCAGTGTATGAGATTTCAGGACTAACGGTGCCTGTGCTGTTTCTTCCTGCGATATATGGGGTTAGCAGGATGGTGTATGTGCCTGCAGTGCATTGCTCTTTTGCAGATTTTGTGAGTGATGTATGGTTAGGCCGAGTGTGCAGCATGATGGCAGTATTTGGAGTAGTTTTTTGGATAGTGATAGAATGCATGGAGCGGATGCAGACAGTGATGAAGGGAAGGACGATGAGGAGCACCACGCTCTTTATGAAAACATACTACATACTTCTGATTAACACGATCTGCATAAACATGATGCTTGGATTGGCTATTCACTACATGTTTGTATATATATTGAATCGAGGAGTGAGCATATTGGAGATTGGAGACGATTATGGAATGGCAGTGCAAGGGATGATTTCGTTTGGATTGCATGTATTTGTTGGCCATTCATTTGGAATGGGCATAAGGAATGCTCTATTGGCGTTCAAGAAGTGCTTCCGAGCAGGTGTACTTCACTTTGTTCCTGACGAGGACGAATCCAGGATGGATGAGCTTTATGAGGCATCTAAGATGCCGATAGGCAAGATCCATCTGAGGATTGCAATGCTGCTGGTCTTTATTTTGTTTTTGTATGGCTTTGGATTCAAGGCGATTTGGTGTGTGTGTGGAGAAATTGCCAGGCCGGTGGTTATTGATGGCTATTTGAAGATGTGTGTTATGTACAAGATGTTTTCTGTGGCGATGTACTCAAGCAGAATACTGTGCGAGTATGTTGTTTATGGAGTCAACAGGATGGTAATGCTTGAGTCGAAGATCCTGAGGATGGACAATTTTTTATACAATGTGTGTATCAAGAGATATGAAAAGGAAAGGCTAGCTTGGTGTGCAAACAGGAACAGGATATTTAGAAGGCAGCACATACATGCCAGGGGCAGAAGACGAGTAAGTGATGAGGAGATTGAAAAGCATTTTGGAAAGAAATGCAGCTCTGACTTTTCAATATTTTATGTGCCTAGGATGTTTGCAGGCAGATGCATATGCATAGGCGCTTCTGTGATCATTTTTCTGTATGGGATCTGTGCAGGATACTGCAAAGGAGCAAAAGCGGTTATTGAATGGATGGATGTATCTGCTTATGTAGGAGATAATGTAGATATTGTGTTTATAAGCATTCTTGTGATCTTGCTGCGAGCCACCTGGACGATTGCTTTTATAGTGTATGAAAGAGTGAACAAGAAGAGGCGAGTGATAGGGCTGTGCATGGCATTATGTAAGCATGGAGTTGCAAATGTGTACATGAACCTGGTGTATCCTGTGTTTGGCAGCATGATGGTGATGATGCTGTTGAGCGACGAGTACGAAAGAGATGGGGCGTATTTGTTGAGGCTGCTTGTGTTTTTTTTCAGCTCAACGTCTGTTGTCAAGGGCATTTTTCACTCATCTCCGGAAAGCTACTCCTTTAAGGCGCTTATACGCGAATTGTGCAAAATCAATGCGCTTGTGTCGATTGTTCTTGGGGCGTGGTATATATACAATGCAACCAGGATGTTGTTTGGGCTGAGCAATGCTGAGTTTGTTGCGATGTGTGTGCTTGTTGGATATTTGCTTTTTGTGAGCAAGAAGATTGGGGAGAGGATTAGCGGAAGCAAAGGATTCTATATGAGGCTGGTTGAGGAAAATTACCTGATAGAGAGAAGGATCATGGGTGTGGATGAATAAAGTGTTAATTGAGTACTGGATTATGTGTAAGATGCATTGAAGCTTTATGTTTTTGCAGAAGTAACAGGGTTGTGATGGGAGGAGAGAAGATGGTGCGAATGGAAGATGAATTGAATGAAAGGCCGGAATGTGTGCGGACTGAAATAAAGGTGTATGTGAATGAGAATGGAAGGATAACGTTGCGGCCGTCTAGTAAGAGACTGTCTGTTGAGTTAAGCAAGCTGGAGGGAAGTGTGTATGACGTTGGGAGCAACGAATGGACGATACGCGAAGACGAGTACATGGCGATTAGAAAGATTTTGAGAAGCCATGGGTTTGTGTTTGGAGACATTCCGAGAGGTGTGCTTGATGCAAGTAGAAGGAGGCATGAAGGCAGTGGGTTTGAGCTTATAGGATCTGTTTATGATATGCTACTTCCATTTCAGCGAGAAGGAGTTCTACGTGTGCTGGAGATGGGAGGGCGAGCGATTCTTGCGGATGACATGGGGCTGGGTAAGACTATTCAAGCATTGGCTGTCTCATACTACTATAGGTCTGAGTGGCCTTTGCTGATTATTGCGCCTGCATCATTGCTTGAAGATTGGGTTGATGCATGCAAAAGGTTTCTTCATGTGAATGCAAAGATTATCAAGAAGAGCGGGGAGGAGGAGGGAGAGGCATGGATAGCAAGCTATGAAACTGTTACTGCTGGTGTACAGATGATGAGTGGGATCAAAGTGGTGGTGGTTGATGAATGCCATTACCTGAAAGGAATGGACTCTAAAAGAACAAAGGCAATAGTTCCACTGCTTCAGAAGGCAAGCAGAGCACTGATGCTGTCAGGAACACCAGCAGTTAGCAGGCCATTGGAGCTGTATCCGATTTTGTTGGCGCTTGACAAGACAATGTTTCCACGTTTCAATGAGTATGGCGTAAGGTATTGCAATGGAAGAAAGGTTGGCAACTGGTACGATTATAAAGGATGCAGCAATGCAGAGGAGTTGAATTATGTGCTGAAGAAGTGTTTTATGATAAGAAGAACGAAAGACGAGGTGCTGAGCCAGCTACCGGCAAAGTCCAGAAGGCAAGTGTATCTACAATGCTGTAGAATGCAGCATGAGCAACAGAAGGAGTTGCTAAGTGACGATGTTGACTCAAGCGTTGTAGTGCAGTATCGAGAGGCAGTTGGATTGAAGATGAATCAAGTGAAAGAGTACTTGGGGACGGTGGTGAAGAGTGGAGTTAAGTTTGTTGTTTTCTGCCACCATATAGAGATGATAGATGGGCTGAATGTGTTTTTTGAGTCGTTGGGTGTTGTCATGATTAGGATTGATGGAGCAACGCCAAGCAGCAGCAGGCATTTGCTGGTGAAGAAGTATCAGGAGGATGACGAAGTGCGAGTGGCGCTGCTGAGCATTACTGCATGCAGTACGGGACTTACGCTTACTGCAGGAAAGCTCGTAGTGTTTGCAGAGCTGTATTGGAATCCTGGTGTGCTTCTGCAGGCAGAGGATAGGATACATAGGATTGGGCAGAAGAGCAATGTTGATGTTGTTTATCTTGTTGCGAAAGGAACAATCGATGAGTATGTGTGGCCGAAGCTTTTGTCGAAGCTGAATGTTCTTGAGTCCTTGGGAATAGGAAGGAATCAGTTTAGGAGCATTGGAATGGTCAAGAAGATTGCGGGGCAAACGAGCTTGTATGAGTTTGACATTAAAAAGGCAAGAAGATTGTAACTGTGTAGATTCTAGTGATATTCTGCTGATATTTTTGGCCATGCCCAAGGGCACTAGCATGGCGTTTTATGGCATGATGGATGATGTAGCAGGCATGAAGTTTAGAGCAGAAATAGTGGTTCTTGAGAGGGTGGTGTACAAGTCGAGGAACGGACACAAGTCATCAAGGATGTTCAAAAAGCTTGTGCATGTGCTGAGGCTTTGTAGGATGTTCCTGGCAGCCAGAACGAAAAGCAAGGTGCATTTGGTACGCAAAGCGTGTGAAGACTTGTACATAATGGCGACTTCAAACATTCCGGATGGATACTTTATTGGATATACATTGGTAGTGCTTGGAATAAGCTCAAGGATACACTATCTGATAGCAAAGACTAGGTACAAGGACGACCAGACAGATGACATAGATGACATGTTTGCGGAGATCAGTAATGTGCATACGGATCATTAGTGCAATAGAATATTGTTAAAAGCAGATAGACACAATCTAATGTTTAATATGAATGCATCACTTATCATAAGAAGGTAATGTGTTAAGCCTAGCAATGAATTTATCAGAAATTTTTTTAGATATATGTTTGCTAAATATTTCTGCCTTCATTATGATAGCCAGAATGCCAAACACAAGAGCTATAATGCATAGAACATTGAGTATCTGGAACTGCTCGTCTGTTGTTTCTTCAAAAAGCGCATCTACTTCGCACAAAAAATTTTGAATCAGCGGAAATGCAAGCAATAGGAATATTGTAGTCATGTGGAACCCATTGGAATACGACTCTAACTTTAGATACCAGGCAGCATTCTCTGATGTTATTGCTCTTTTTTCATAGTATGCATCTAGTACTACACTTACTATACGCAGAATCCAGTCGATGGTTATGAACGCGGCACCAATTATAATAAAATAGTCTACGTAGTTTCTGTCTTTCTGCTTCCTGAACTCTACAAATTCGTTTGAAACCACCATGCTAAAGAAAGCCATAATTGATATGCCTATAGGCACTGCTTTTCTATCAAACTTAAGTTTTCCTGATATAATTAGCAATAGCATCAACAGCAGTGTCAGTAAGTATAGTGACATTACGATGAACTTTCCTGTAGATACCTGCTTGAATCCAAATGCACTCAGGTGTTTCTTCATCAGATATATGATTTTCAGCAGCATGAGCACAATTGGAATGCATATGAATGCTTTTACAACATTGTCTGTGTTTAGTACTTCCAGGAGCCTCCCTTCGCTCATAAACTCAGTGAAGACCGATATGAGAGTGTACAAGCCGCCCAGCACAAAGAATATAAGAGAAGAAATGCCATCTACTCTTTTGAATGTGTGATTGACAAACTTCTTCGCCATTCCTATGCTCAGTGCTTCTTCGATCTTTGTCTGATCGTCCAACTCCAGGTTTCTAACTGTGATGGGAGATTTTCCAACTGTGATGGGAGATGTCATTGAGATACTGGTGCTGAAAATGTATTTATATTTTGAACTCCTTTAAAATGCCTTATAAGGCTAGATTGAATACCAAGTATTTTGTGCGAAACTATACAAATAGTTCTGTATGGTTAATGGCATGCACGATCATGATAATTGGCTAATCAAAAAGGTACAGAGCATGCACATGCATCAATGGTAAGATTGGTGGGCTTGGAGCCAAGTGATGCAGGCAGCTTGTATTCCATGCGCACAGATGGCACTTGGTGCACGTATATGCATTGATAGTTCATCATGGAATTAGATGAAGGCTATGCAAAATGGAGCCCTGTATGGAAGACAAGATTTCTGGAATGTCAATAAACAGCAAGAATGAGTGTGGAAGAATTGTTGAAATCAAGGAGCTGGACGAGAGCTTTGATGGAAGAACTGTTATTGTGAGAGGATTTGTGCTCAAGTGTTCTTGTACTGGCAGGTATGTTTTTGTTGTTCTTAGAGATGACGGATGCACTCTTCAGTGCATGGCCGAGAAGCCTACAGATGGTGCAGATGGAAAGCTATTGGATGAGTTTAAGAGCCTGAAGAAGGTAACGCACGAGTCTTATGTTGAGATTCGGGGAGTTATTGCCAGGCAGGAGGTGGAGATCTCTGGGTGCAGCAAGAAGAGCATTGAGCTCCGTGTTGCCGGCATCTTTGTGCTTAGTGCTGCAGACAAAAGCTTGCCGTTCAGCATGAAGGACGTGCAGGCAACGATTGAGGAGCGAGAAAGGAACCCTGCGCTGCCTACTGTTGCATATCACATCCGGCTGGACAACAGGGCAATGGACCTCCGAGTGATGCAAACAAGGGCGGTTTTCCGCGTGATTGATGGAATCATGTTTTTTTTCAGGATGCATCTTCGTAGGAATGGGTTTGTTGAGATCAAGACGCCAAAGCTGATAGAGAGCTCGAGCGAAGGTGGGGCTAATCTGTTCAGTGTTGATTACTTCAAGCAAAAGGCATACATGGCGCAGAGCCCGCAACTGTACAAGCAGATGGCGATTATTGGAGGAATGAAGAAGGTATATGAGATAGGGCATGTGTACAGGGCGGAAGAGTCGAATATCAATAGGTATCTGAGCGAGTTTGTAGGGCTGGATATGGAGATGGAGATATCTACGGATTACAACGACGTGATTAAGCTGATATACTCAATGCTTGTTGATATATTCGACGGACTGAAAAACGACTATGGAGACGATCTCGAGACCATTAGAATGTTCCATGTGTATGAAGACATCAATTATGGGCATGAGCCGGTGGTGCTAACACACAGGGAGTGCACTGATCTTTTGGTAGCTGAAGGAGTGGATATCAAATATGGAGAGGATTTCAACAATGAGAATGAGAAGAGACTTGGAGGAATAGTCAAGAGTCTGCATGGTGTGGATATCTTTGTGATAAAGGACTATCCGGTGTCGATAAGGCCGTTCTATACGTATCGTAACAAAGAGGAGGGAACAACAAGATCCTATGATTTTATTTTGCGAGGAGAGGAGATTCTTTCGGGTGCACAGAGGGTTGACTGCTATAGCGATCTGCTTGGATATGTCAAAGAGCATGGAATTGCGCCTGAGTCTCTTGGTGGCTATCTTGAGTCATTCAAGTACGGAGCACCACCGCATGGAGGATGTGGGATTGGCCTTGAAAGGCTTGCAAAGGCATATTTTGGAATGGCAGACATAAGATGCTTTTCTCTGTTTCCTAGAGATCCTAACAGGCTCTATCCTTGATTAAATTGATGAATGGAAGTGTTTTGTGCAAGTGTTTGAATCTCGATATTTTATGTGTGGATATTTATGGAATGCCTGAGCAGGGCTTGGCGATGGATAGCATTAGACAGTATCTGGCTGAACGATGGAGTGAGGAGGGCCTGACTGTGCTGCTTTTCTACATGAAGAGCATGGATGCAATGGAGATGATGTATTTTTTGAGCATGATTACAAGGATGCTTGACAGGAATACAGCGGTGATTATGCTTGCATATCTTTCGCAAGCACAAGCCAAAGGATTGAGATGTCCGAGATATGCACAGAGGGCGTTGAGTTACCACATACATGTGCTGAGCAAGGGGATATGCAAGAAGGTGCCAGGGATGCTTGGCCGATATGTGCCAGGCATGAAGGCCATTAGTATGAACGAAGGCAATGCGAAGGGGCGAGTAGAGCGGAGCATGAAGGAGTTTGAGCCCGGGGATTTTCTTATTGACTTGGTATTTGAGACACTTGTGAAGGCAAGCAATGCAGAAATTGAAAACAGCATACAAGCGCATTTCAGTGATGAGCACAAGAGAGTGGAGATTAATTCAATCAGGGAGTCACTTGGGATTTTGTGTAAGATTAAGGAAGCAGAAGCAGTGGATGCAAGCATTGCAAGAATAGTTAAGATAATAGGGCCTGAAGACTGTGCAGAGATTGTGAGATTTATCAGCAGCAATGAGAAATATGCGCATACTTTTTTTTTGTATGCATACCTGATGAATGCAGAAGCATATGAGTCAATGGTAGAGGTGGTTCTTGAGAATGTAGAATACTTTAGGCCTGAGATTGTTAGTGGTCTTGTCAGTATTGATTTGGAGCGGGTTGTCCGGAAGGTGGATGATGGGTCTGTGAAGATTTTGGATGACATCATAAGGGGCAGGGATGTGTGTGTTGAGAAGATAGCAGAGCTGGTGTCGAGAGGGCTTGTGGGTATTGGACGAGAAAGCGTTGTTGGTGTGTTCAAGAACAACTATGGAATACTTGGAAAGTATGCTGCAGAATTTGAGTTGAATGTAAAGGAGATGATTGAAATATCCAAGGCAAACGATGCAGCACTTGGGCCAACTCTTGCGATGGTTGAGACAGTGGATGAAATGAACGGATTTGTTGATCTATTGAAGGACAAAGGCGATGCAGTTGTGATTGATGTGATTGAAGGAGTTAGCGATGAAGCGATGAGAGAGCGGCTCATAAACACGATCATCAAGAAAAGAATGATGAAGAGCCAATTAAGAACGTACTTGGTGAGAAAGTATCTGGATGATGGTAGGTTTGTATATGGGCTTCTTCCGTATCTTGAGAAAGCTGATGTTTACCGGCACATTTCTGACTATGTGGTCGATAGCGAAAGCTTGAATGTGTTTCTGAAGGTTATTGAGTGCTCGGAATTGCTTATTTTTGCACACAAGATCAATGATGTGAAGAAAGCAGGCAGGATACTTGACCTGTGCTTTAAATCGTCGAGGTTTGGCGAGAGTGACTTTCTTTTTACGTTGAAGACTCTTGAGAACGAGCCATCGGCGCTTGTTATACAAACACTAATACAGGCACTGACGATGCATCCTGGACTGAAGAACTTTGTGATTTCGTTTCTGTCGAGGCTGGGCAGGAGGGATGTCTGGAGAAATGAAGGATTGGTCGTGGAGATGGTTAGATGCTTAAAGATGCTTGACAATGTGTGTGTTGATATAATCATGTGCATGAATGAAGAAGCGATGTACAAAGTGTTGAGCAGGAGTAATAAGCTTAGGATGCAGTGTAGTGACTATCTTGCAAAGCAACGACCTGGCAGATCTACCAGACATGCGCAGCAGTATGCAATGCTGAAAGCAGCCCTGAAAAGGACGTCTGATAAATGATTAGTATAAATAGTTTTTGTGTCTGCAGCCCTTGAAGGATGATGATGTTTGCCGCCCCAGACTGAGTGTTTGATGAAACAGCAAATTCTGACTTCGCATGCTCAACGATGGTTCTACACCTCCTCGTGGTGTTGAGTGGAAGGACACCTAAATGATGGGTGTCACCAAGATAGAGCCTTGAATGATTGATATAAAGTTGGATATTTATTTTGTTTGTGAGATTGTACTCAGCACTCGCCTTGTACTCCTTATTACGACTTGGTTGGCAGAATGTGTTGCGTATGCCGCCGATCCAAGGATAGAAAATGCAAATAAGCCATTGCCAACTTCGAATGCATGCCTTTTGTTAGCTAGTAGATGTAGATGCTTGGCATTGCATGTCTGTAATGTAATTGAATCGCGTTGTGCAGCAAAGCTTTTGACAAAGTCATCCTTGGTACAGCTGAATGGCTTCATAAAAAGGCTTACATCAAGAAGCACATCGTAAATCGACTTTCCTATTGTCAGCCTGAAATTCGAGTTGATGGCACACGAGTCTATCTTGAGAAGGGGATATGTGCCTTCCTGTGCGATTCGTTTTCTGCTTGGCCATCCTCTGCATTCGTAATAAATAGATATTTTTGACTCAAGAACATCCACCTGTAGAGATATTTCGTTATTGGCGATGCACAGCGCACCTTTCAATCCGTTTGTGTCAATCAACCTAATTATGCCATTCTCTGCCGTGTAAGTTTCTTGAGTGTCTGGGAGATCTGCATGTGGCTGGCACTCTGCAAACCTAGCCCAAGTGTTCTCTTCGTCCCGATGGGCTGTGAATAGCGGAGACATACTCCGTGAGCAAGCATCTTGTGGATCAGCAATACTTTGCTGTATAGTAGAAGATCTATCGTACAGTTCTCTATTTGAAGTAGAGTTATGAATATGTGTATTTGCACTAGCACAAGCATTGTCTTGCTCATAGCAGGTTTCTTGGCCTCTGCCCACGAATTCACTTTCGATAAAGCTTTCGCCACGAACCAAGCACTTCCTAATGTTCATTTGTCTTTCGCAATCATCATGAGGTTTCCCTATGCCTGAATCATCATATCCATAATAAGGTTTAACATCAAGTATTGACTTTGCAACCGGATGCAAGTATTCAGAATGCTGTGCTTCATGTATGCTGTCGTTTCTCTTCAAACTGCAGAACACCCTAAAACCACACAATCCTTGCGCTTTCAATGTAGATACAACCATCCTTATTTTTTCTTTACTTGTGGAGTGTTTCTGAATATTAATCAAACTCTCAATAGTTATGCCGATGCCGTGTATACCTCTTCTGTACATGTTGAGATAGAACCTGATAAGCTCATCTGTAAGGTGTACACTGCTCTGGCGTTGAATCAAGATAATCTCTGCCGGAACGGTATGGCAATAGATTCCGCACAAGTAGATGTACTTCTGCTTCTCATTGATGCCAGATATACTGTTCAGAAACTGATTGAGCAAAACCCCCCACTTCGCAGACAAAACATCTGCCTTGTACAATATCCGAATTGCCTCATCTATACTCCCTGTTCTTTGGAAAAGATCCTCAATTGGATAGTCCGCACGGATCGACTCTGCCAAAATAGTGCCAGTCAATCTCAAGTTATTGCACTGCCTCTTGACCTCTGCAATCGAAACATCGTCCAACTTGTTGAACAACAGCCTGATTTTTTTGATCTTGTTGTGAATACTGTCGTTATCGAATATTGCAAAGCATGAGCTGTCATACTGCACATGTTCAACAAGTAGCTCTGCATACTCAAGTACAAAATACAGCTCATCATCATTTGTCGAAAGGAATCCTCGAAGATGGTCAAAAACTGGCTGTCGGAGCGAAGGATCAATCATAATCGCCAATGATGATCCTAAGTAGAATACTCTGAAGTCACATGATGCCATGCAGCACCCAAGCAGCGCAGTGTCGTTAAACTCACTGGCTCTGTTCTTCATCACCTCCAAAAGACATCCAAGCGCGTCTCTGCTTCTACATCTAGAATACTTCTCAAAAAGCCTGTTGATGTCTGCAACAGACAAAACCCTGGCGTGCTCCTTCACAGCAAAGGCTTCCTCTACAGCACGAACAGTATTCATTGCGCATGCACTTACTGCATGATTACCATCAAAAACCAGGTACCTTAGCAAATCGCACAGCCCTTCGTCACGAAACAATTGAGGATCCTTTGCAAAGTAATTCTTCAATGAGCATGCTACTTTCTGTCTTGTATCAGCACATTTGCTTGATGCATGCACCCTCAACGCACTGATGTAGTTTTTTATGACTGTTCCATCGCCAAGCAGCCCACTGTATTCAATTGCACTATGCCTTATATCTTGCGACTCATCTCCAAAGTCCTTGAGCAGAGTGTTAATGCACATCAGCTGCTTTGCAGGCCATTCCTGAGTATACTTCACAAGATAATGGTTTAGCAAAATCTTGAACTCAACATTCCGCGTGTCAATCGCCCTCATTACGTCATTGCACAACACCGACATATCTTCTCCACGCTGCATCCTGCACACCAAGCTGCGCATTCCCTCAATATGCTTCTTCTTGTCCATTGAGGAAATGAATCTTGCAATCACCGCTTTCTCCAAAGGCTCAGAAACAAACGAGCAGTTCTCAAACAGTCTGCTTATATCCTTCATCTCAAATGCATCCTTGATTCCCATTGTTTATTTACCTCTGCACAGAGTTATCATCCTCATGAAACCAATTCACAAACTAAGCTCAAATGCAGAGAACTTGCACATGCAAAACACTTTATTAATACTTCAATCATCGTTGGCAAAGACATCTGATGGTAATCTTGCTGCAATCAGCTTCTCAGTCTCCAATGCTTCACTCCTCAGCCCCTTCATTCCCAGCATTACCATCGCATCCAGATCTCCTAGCAACAAATACTCTCCCTTATATCCGTCCAAAAACTCCACAAACCTTCGTATTTCTCTGAATGCCTCAACCGCTTCATTATATCTAGACTGCAACACCTTGATCTTGTACAGATATCTAATCCTAGACACAAGTATTTCAATAAAGTTGTAGGATCGGATCCTTCTTACAAAATGCACCTTTTTCTGCATAACAAGTCCCTTTGGCTTGTTGTTGCTCAAGTTCACCTGCGGTACACTCATCCATCTTTTTGCCTCCATCGTGCCTCTTTCTTTCCTCATCTGAGCTGTGCACTCCAGTATCTCCTTCCTTTCCCTCCGAATGTATTCTCCAACAGAAACCACACTCCCGTGGCACTTGGCTATTCTCCTCAGCACGGCCGGATGCTTCATCGCCAGCTCAGACATCTGAAAAAACTTAAATCTTGCCGTATCAATATCATCGTTCTCCTCATATCCATACTCACAGAGATTCAGGTTCAGCAGCGACATGTTGTAGACATACACCTTATCAACAATGCTCATGATGAAGAAGTACGTGATCGCTGACACATTCACTGTAAAAAACTCCTTTGGTACTCTCCATGGAACCGCACTCGCCATCTCAGTCAATATGCGCATCCGTGCCAGCAATGCTAGTGCCCTTAATCCTATGCTTCCAATCCCTACAACACTAACCACAAGCACTATACTGGCTGCATATAATTGCATCACTTCACCCGTCACTAGCCCGATCGACGACCAGATATAAACAAACAATCCGCGAACGCGTGTGTGATTCCTTTCCATCATCAAGACATCCATTCCAAAAACCCGCAGCAACGACGAAAATATTAGAAAGAGCACATAGAACAATGAAAGCATGCCAAAGATGCCTGGCTCAGCCACCCAGCAGCCTCCAGCAAAGTATCTCACAAACAACAATTGGGAAACAACTGCATGCAGAAAAACAACTACTCGGGACACTCTCTTGCCACTGCATGATGTTTTGCACGAAAGATGCAAGTGCATTGCAATCCACAGCATTGGCATCCTAGTAGATCTCATGCTAGATGCCAAGCTCCAGAACGGATCAATAATAATTCGCAATGGATCACTAACAGCCTGTGCAGCTATTGAAACAATTAACATTCCTTCAACTCCACTAAGCACCCATGCAAACATCCTGTGCCGATTCATTTCCTTTTCAATGGATGCCATCTATCAAACACTCTAAGGGGTTACCAACTAAACACACAATCCAGCTTAACATTACAGGACAAATTTTTCTTTGTTCATATCATATAAACCACTCCAAGCATACCCATCTTCTCTACAGTTGTTCTTGTTATCCAAGATACAGATTCCAGGGAAGTACAACAATCAAATACAGGGTGAGTTTCAGGTAATCCTCAAACTCAAATGGCTTTGGACATTTTTACATAACGTATTCTTGGTTTTGCAGGTATTTATTCAAACGCCACATTGTCTCTATGCGCATAGTACACCGAATACACTCAGTGTCGGTTCTCGCTTCATGCACTGCAATATGCATCGCTTTAAATCGATCATTGCATTAATATGCTAGCATTCATTGCTACCAACAAATGCATTCTTTTCTATTTATTGCCCTAGCAGTGCTGATATACAACCTCATGCATTCCCTCCAAAAAAAAATATATAAGCACCACGAAGTCTTCCTTGTGGATGGCAACAAATGCAGAAGAAAAGCAAATGAGCAATAAGGTTGAAATGTTACTTGATCCAGAAGAAGAGCGGTTTGTGCTGTTTCCCATCAGGTACCACGATGTATGGGAAATGTACAAGAAGGCAGTGAGCTCGTTCTGGACAGTGGAAGAAGTAGACCTTACAGGGGATATCAAGGACTGGAATAATCTGAATGCAAATGAAAGGCACTTTATATCACACATCATTGCGTTTTTTGCAGCATCTGACGGAATAGTGAATCTAAATCTTGTGGAAAGATTCTCCAACGAGGTAAAGATGCTTGAAGCAAGGCTTTTCTATGGATTCCAGGTGGCGATAGAAAATATTCACAGTGAGATGTACAGCTTATTGATTGACACGTATATCAGTGATCCAACCGAAAAGGAGTTCCTGTTTGATGCAATAAAAACCATTCCTGCAATCAAGCTGAAAGCAGAGTGGGCAATGAGGTGGATATCCGACAAGGACTCCACATTTGCAACACGGCTTGTTGCGTTTGCATGTGTTGAGGGAATCTTCTTTTCTGGAGCATTTGCATCGATATTCTGGCTGAAGAAGAAAGGACTGATGCCGGGCCTGACTTTTTCAAACGAGCTGATCAGTAGGGATGAAGGGCTGCACTGTGACTTTGCATGCATGCTGCGCACGTATCTCAATTCAAAATGTAAATGCATTGCAGATATAGTGAAGGAGGCAGTGGACATAGAAAAGACGTTTTTGGGAAACTGCTTGCCTGTGAGCTTGATAGGAATGAACTGCAACCTGATGTGCGAGTATATAGAGTTTGTGGCAGATAGGCTTCTTGTGAATCTTGGAGAGCCAAAGATATACAACACAGCAAATCCATTTGACTTTATGGAAAACATCTCGCTTGTTGGAAAGACAAACTTCTTTGATAAGCGCGAGTCACAGTATCAAAAGGCATTTGTTGGCATACGAAACGGAAATGACTCGTTCAGCATTCATTCTGATTTTTAGTTTAATAAAGCGTTTCTTGTGAATATCTTTTCTGCTGTAGACAGGCACCATAAATGAAATGCTGTGTTACGACGTCTCGTCTTAGGACATGGTCGTCATACATCCTGATCATTCCTCTGTTAATGACTGCCCAGTCCTTCCCCGTGATGCTTTTGAGGATCTGGGATGCTCCTCCAAGTTTATTGGCTACTGCTTCCTGATAGCATCCTCTTCTGCCGAATCTGTGGAGCTCGTTAAATTCGTTAAATTCGTTAAACTGGAGCTTTTGATTGGCAAGCTCGGATGACCCAAATAGAAATGGAAGAAACTGGTAGTCGTCGAGTCCCCACACACCGTGACTGCCAGCAGGCTCTAGATTGAATTTCTTAACAAACTCTCGAACGACTTCAAAATACTTGACTAGAGTAGTGAATATGCACTCAATCTCTATCTCATTGCGGAAGTACTTTGTGTACAAGTAACAAAGGTAGTTCAGTTCGTGCCCTGTTCCGTAGTCAAGCCTTGTGGAGTTTCCAAACGAGTTCTGCAAATATTTGTCTTCATATTTCATGCATATTGTATTGAGCACTGTCTTTGCAGCCAGGTTTGCATATCTATGGGGTTCCTGGCTCTTTTCGGTCTCGTTTATTACCCCGGATATATCTCTGAGTATTTGCATCTGTGCCTCATCTGTCTTCTGCGTGGAGTTCTTAATGCATTCATCGACCGACAGAATGAATTCGTAGATCTTTGAATATGCATCTGTTTCTGGAAAGGATATATCGCTCATCGGTAGGGTATACTGCATTAGATTTGTTAGGCATTATTCCACAATTCCATTGTGTTGCAGCATTCATCCATCATACAATGCGCTGCGTATGATCGATATGCTTTACATTGTATTCATGCATTCGATCACTTATCAGATTGCTTTATACGGGTAATCGGCACTTCGCCAGGCTTAATGCCCTGACTAGTTGAGAATCAAGCCCTTTAGATTGATCCAAAATGTCTCATGCCCATCAAACATTTCTCTGATGTGGCCGAAGTGTGAGTAGAATGTCTCTCGGGACACCATCCAGACAAAAAGAAAAGTCAACTCGTCACAAATGTTGTTCTCGATAAGAAACATGAGGATTGATGTCTTGTTGCGTTTTACATGGCATACATGCGGCACTTTTACTGTCTGCTGCTGATGGCCAATGCCATGCATGACCTGCAATATTTCAATTGCAGACCAGTCTCCGCTGCATCTTCCGACCAGGTATGGTGCAATAAGTCTTGGATGTGTCTCCACACAATACCTTATAAACAGCATGTGTTCGTTTGTGTTCTGTATGTTTTTGATGACAGAATCGATTATTTGTGCCTTGATGCTCGATGATCCTGTATTCTGCAAGATTTGTATGTACGTGCTGATTGAGTGAATGTATGGAAACTTAAGCAAGCCCAGGATATCACATGGCTGCAGCAATCCCTCGTTTTGCACAAATGTATGAAGAATGGGGCTTGCTGCTGATTTATGGCACGTGTATTTCGCATGGCATACTTTGATGCATGACCTGATGCCTGATGCTGCATTCATCCTGCTATGCATGTCCATTTCCTTCTTTGAGTAGTACGAAATAAATTGCAGAAGTGATGCATACAGTGGAGCATACGCATCGAAGCGGTCATCAGTGTATATTTCGTTTGCTTTCGCAACTACAGTCTCGATGAAGTGAATGGGTCTGAGCATGTCGTATACGTCTTTGCAGGAGACCATGTACACAATGCATGCTCTGGCATGCTCACCTGAAGTGCCGCTACTGAAAAAGAATCTGAGGATGTAATTGATTAGCACATGTCTTGGCTTGAGCCCAAAAACCACTGCTCGCTCACAATACACCAATGCCAGTGGCAGCTCATCGGATGTCCTGGATGTAAAAAGCATGTCGAAGAAACTTTGCAACCTCATGAACTGGTCATATGAAATCAACAGCATGATCTTTGCCAGAAAGTCAATTGCTACGTGCTTATGCTCAACACTTCCGAGCTTGTACACAAAATAAAGTATGTTATTGTCTATGATGTACTCAAGACATCTGTAATGCCTGTTCCTGGCTTGCTCGTTTTTGAGGCATTCATGTATAGTTGTGATGCTATTCTGTATGTTGCGACCTTCTTTCAGCTCAAACCACGCTTCTACAAAGATGTCGTATATGGAGTCTTGCTTGCTAACAAACGAGGATATGAGTTCGACCAGAGGCATGATATACGTGCATTGCATGTGTTTCTCTGTATTTATGTGTGTTTCAGATGTGAAAGGACTGTATGCTTCAATGTACAGTAAGCATTGATTTTAGATTGCATAGGCACTATGCATTGGTACTTAGCTTTTATAATGTGCGATTGAATCCATGATTCGTTGCACTAGATTTGCAACAAACTTCTTGTTTTAACTGATTTTTGAATCCCAGACTGGATGGATACTTATGAAGTAATGCTGGGATTATCGAAAAATCCAAGAAACTATACAGAGGAGTATCGCAAGCAGCTAGATATGTTTGTTTCGCTCGTGAATCTTCCTAATCAGCCTGATAAGCCAATCAGGCAAGTCCTTGCGCTTCTACTGACGCATGTGAAGATTGACAGCAGACTTCCAGATGCACTCATCAGCAGCATAAAGACAATCAAGTGCCACAAGATAAGACACATGGTGATTGAGAGCTTGTTTTTATTGAAAAGAAACAAGCTGATAGATGCAGACCGGCTGTTGAGGAATCTTCTTGAGTATCACCCAGATCTGAAGTCGATACTGAATCGAACCCGGCGGGATGTGAGTGGAGATGCTATTCCATGCCTCCTTGAGTACTATGCAAAGGGAAACGATAAACAAAAGTGCTTCTGCTACTACATGATTGTGTACCTGTTCTCTGGTGGCCATTCGGAGCTTGAGAAGGATGTATGCGAGGGGATGTTTGCAGAAGGAAGGGTTGGAAAGATGTGCATGCTGTATTTTCTGGACCAGATAGATTTTGAGGATGAAGGAAGCAAGGCAATGGATCTGCTGAGCGATGAGGGAGCAGGCGTGGGGAAGAGGTTGTTCAAGAGTATCCAACAAGAAGCAGTAGACAGAGAAGTAAAGATAATGAAGATGAAAGTGTATTCGCTGTTTAAAAGCAGGTATGGGCTGAGGGCATCTATAGTGCCTCTTGCATTGGATTTGCTGAATCCCGACAAGAGCGATATCAAGGATGTGATGAGGCTGGTAGTTGGCGGGACTACCGAAGGTGATGTGATGAAGGTGATTGGGGTGGTGAATGAGATGCTGTGCTCGGAGTTCCGTGATGATGATTACATTGCATATGGACTGAATGTGCTGAGAGAGCTGTATTGCAAATTTGATGAAGAGGCAAGGAAGCTTAAGCAAAGAGACATGGATATGGGTGAAGAAGGCGCATTTGAGAGTGAAGAAGAGTTTGAAAGTGAAGATGCGTCAATATGTACAAATGAAGAGCACACGGAAGAAAGCGGCAGCAAAGAGAACGAGCTGCGCATGAACGAGCTTATTGATAGCATGAAGGATAAGATTACCAATGCAGTGTCATGCTTCAAGGAATCGAAGTCTAAGTGTGTATACTATGCATACATGTCTGTTGTGAATGTGATGAACCACAGGAAGTATTCTGGAAAGCGCCCTGAGTATGTCAAGAAGAAAGCAAGCAAGGAGGAGCGAATAGCAGTGAAAAGGGCAGGCCTGAAGGATAAGAAAGAGATGATGAAGGAAAGGAAAAGGGGTGGAGGAAAGTATTCGAAGCGAAGAAGAATAAACAGCATGAAGAAGGCTGCGAAATAAATTTGTCTGATCTTGATATTTGTTATTGCATATGAGCGAGAGTAAAAAATTGCATGAATGATCCCTGGAGCACGAGCAATGAAGATGCCCAGGAAGAAGATCACATTTAAAACGCCTAGAAAAGGAGCAAAGACACCCACCAGGCAGGTAATATCTGAGGAATTGAAAGAAAACACGGAATTGTCTGAACAGAGGCCAAGCGAAGGGATAAAAAACACAGAAATGCCAAAGCCACAGGATACCGCGCTACGATACAAGCAGATTCTTGAGGAGATAAAGGTAAAGGAAGAGGAGCTGATAGGAAGTTATAAAAAGGAGAATGAGTATTTAAGGTCGCTGAAGACAGATGCGCTTCTCTACAAGAGGTTTGTTGGGTTTGACATTGTCGAATCCGATGGGTCGTATGAAGTGACACATGAAGTTGTATCAAACAACATCACAAAGTCAATCAGATTTGTTCTACTTCCTGAAGATGGCGCATATGTGTACAAGCTGGTGGAATCAAGAAACATCGAACTGCCGGACTTCCTCAGCGAGGAGATAACATTTGACGAGTGCCAAGTAAAGACATTCTTCTTCAAGGTCATGGAGGCAGTCATCACGAAGAAGAGTTAACATAAGCATGCAAGAAACTTCATAGATTTTGTAATAAAAATCATCTTTTTAATTCAAAAGGGTTTGTGCAGCCGCTTCTGGGATGCCTTTTTATATTCGGCCTGTATCATGCCTACTTTACTTGCGAGAGCTATGGATATTACCGTTCCGTGAGACTTCATTCTTCGACTTCTCAGAAACTTCAGCAATCCTGGACACCCAATACTCCTTCACATCCTTCTCGTCAAATGACAAAATAAACGAATCCGTGTCAACTGTTACCACAAGCCTGTACGGATGACGATCACCAGATGCAAGATCATAGTGCCTGATTTCCTTAGTTTCCTTGATGTCCCAATTTCCCTTTGCATACTTCATCCCATTAACCTTGTAGTACTTCAATATCCCATCCTTCGTGAGAACAAAGTACTTTTGATGCCAGAAGCAACTGAAAAACCTTCTTTTCTTCCAGATCCATCCTTCGGCTACAACATTTCCATCTTCTCTTTGCTTGAATATCTCGGAGTTGGTGTTGATATCGTTCAAAAGCAACACCGGCGGCATAAACATCTCCTCTCCTTTTCTTGCTTCTGTACTTTCTTCTGCTGCTTCTTTTCCTACATACTTTGTCTTTCCATCTGATGGCATTTCTGGTCCCAAGTGATCAGACCTTTCCCCATCCTTTGGAACAGTGTACTCTTTGTTATGCTGCTCATTAATCACCGCTTTCTTGCCCACACTATCCCCCTTATTGCCATCATGATTCTCCTGTTGCTTATCTTCGTTCTTCGGCATACTTGCTTCTGTGCTTTTTTCACCCACGTCTTTGCCGCTACTCATTACACCAACATCCTTCTGATCATAAACTACACTCCCTGCATTGCTCATTATTTCATTTTCCTTGTCATTTGCCATACCATTTTTCACACTGCCTACTGCGTTGCTTTCACCCCCACTCACTGCATTTGTATCCTCCACTCCTTCAACATCTCTTGACTTCTTCTCAAGATTCTCCGCTTCTCCCTTTCCGTTTATCACCATAATACTCCTCTTCCTCCTAACTTTCTTTTCACTCATTGCTATCCACTCACATTTTCTATTTAAACTACAGGTTCTCCTTTTGCTGCATTCCACGAATAAAATCATTCATCTCTTCATCACGTGAACCACTCAGCTTCTCCCCTGCATCCCAATCACTACACTAAAATAACCAAATAAATCACAGAAAGCATTCGTTCACCACCATCATTGTCTTTTTATAGTCTTCCTTCGGCACATCCTTGACATTCTCTACAATGCATTCGTACAAATACAGTCGGTATCTGTTACGCACACTCTCCTCAATCCCTATTCCTTTTCGAAGTACTCTGCATATCTCCATCCTGAGCACATCTCCATCCTTCAATGCCTTCCTTATTCTCATCACATCATAAAACCTCATCAGAACCTTCCTCTCCTCTTCAAAATACACAGAGTTCACTTCTAGTCCTGCAATCTCAAGAAAACTCGCATGCCTCTCATAAACACGCCTACACAAAACAAGCTGCTTAAGGCCACTACTCGCACTGCAGGATATCCTTCCAAGACGATACCGGCATTCATCCTCAATCACGCAATGCACCTCACTACTAAACACATCCTTATGTATTCCAGACCCCAGCTCATCCAATCTCATATACAGCCTGCACATCCTTTCAAATATCCCCTCAATGTCTCCCTTTCCTTTCCCCATATACCTTCTCAGGTTCTTCCCAAACACCGCTGCCACATGCACTGCACATTCAACCAACGCCTTGTCAAGAACAGATATCCTAACAGGAACCATCTTGCATATGTCACGGAGAATCGTACACAGTGGAACAACCTCATTACTCTTCGGATTTTTCTCCCCGATAATACAAGCAATCATTTTGCCAACCTCCTCATCACTCACACATTCAATCAATCCCCTTGTGTATATTCGCCTCAAGCCTGCATACAGTGACGATAGCTTCTTGAACATCAACGATCGTCTGTGCTCATGGCTCACTTCAACTCGCTTCAGGTAATCAGCCAGGCACTTTCCAATTGAGCTATGCACAATCAGTTCGTCTCCTGCTCGTTCCGGTTTGCACTCCACACTCCATTTATCATCGCACACTCGAACAAGCTTGTGCACTCCTGAGTCTTTCATATATACAGAAGCAGTACAGAAGCCTTTCAGACAGCTTCCAAGCATCCACCTGCATGGCTCATCTCTGCTCACACTCTCACACAGCCCATCAAGCCGGATCACACTTGGCATTCGCCTTCCAAACCTAGACTCCATCAATAGAACTCTATTCACAAAGATACATGTGCCGTGCAAAAACAACAGTCTTTCAGCACGACTTCGGCACACACACAGCGTCCCAATCACATCCTCTATGTATTCTATCATCTTATTCACAATCCGCGAAAGCGCTTCTCCTCCAAACCTCCGCAGATAAAATAACACAGAACGCCCTATCACTTCCAGAGACACATCAGCTTCGCCAAAAAGCAGGCTTGCCTTCGACTCCACAAATCTCAAACAATTCTTCTCAAGATCAATGCGCCCCGACACACATGCAATCTCATCAAACATCTCATCCAACGACACATTCTTATGCTCCATATACCACTCCATCAAGTCCTCTCTGCCTCCTGCAATCAGAATCCGATGATACTCAAACCTTACATCAAAATCATCTCTACGATACATCGAATCCAGCCTTACATTCTGCACTTGCATCCCAGACCCGCTTAGTCCACTCAAGCATACAGAAAACGATCCATTCACTCCACATGCAATCTCTCCGCTATAAAGCCCAACACTAACATCGTTTGTGGGTATATGAAGATTCATAATTGATGCCCCAATCACTACCACCCCAGTAAATCCTCCGCCACAAATCTCATTATAAATCATCTTAAGCACACCCCTATGCCTCTCTAACAGCATGCATTCTTTTCTCATAAGCACTGCATCCGTCTGGTCTGATCCATACATCCAACTATCGTCCCTACTTCTTGCTACAGGTACGCCTCTACTAACACATTCATAAAAACAACTGTCAGCAAACACAATTCTCATTTCACGATTTCCATTATGCATCTTATGCTTCACATCGTCCGTCTTGATTTCATTCATTTCGATATTATCTTCGTCGGGAGCTGCATCGCATAACTCCTCAGTCATCCGAGGCCCAAGCATCATGTTGAGCCTCTTGCAGATCAAAAATCTCGCAAGTCTACAATCGCTTGGCCTAATCACGTCGGAATACTCCCTGCAATGCGCAGATCCAATCTCCACTTCCTTCCTTCCTCCAGAAAACACACAGCAATCCAATGTCTCATCATCTAATCCATTGCATATTGCACATGCTGCTCCTCCATCCAGCCACCTGCTTCTGTGGTCCAGCGCGAGAATTCTATCAATGTACTTCATAAACTTCATGTCATCATCACCACCATCAGACACACCATTCATCTCTCTGCACTCAAAGTGGGCTTTATTCATCTTTGTTTTCCTCCTTAAAAAAAGGATCCATAAGTAGATTCTCATACCACACAACTCAAACTGTTTAATTCATCCGTTCAATCGCCTTGCACACCTCAGAGAAGACTGCGCTACACTCCATACACCCATAAATCTCAACCAGCTTTCCCCTTGCCTTGTAATACTCAATAATCGGCTCGGTTTCTTTCCTGTAAACATCATACCGCCTCCTTCCTATCTCCTCGTTGTCGTCGTTCCTTCCCTCATTTCTCCCACATATGCGCCGGATGCACGTCTCCCGATCAACATTTATAAACACTGCCATGCCAACCTCGCCCAGCATCTCCGCCTGCTCAATCTTCCTTGGATACCCATCAAGAATGTATCCTTCCATGCTTCTGATCTTGCCAAGAACGACTTCGTTCATAACACGTTCGGGCACAAGCCCTCCTGTCTTTATCACGTTTCTTATCTCTTCAGCCATCGCCGTTTCTAAAATTATTTGCTGCCACTTACCTTTCTTTGCCTCATCCCTCAAAATATCCCCAGAGCTGACATGTGGAATTGCATACTTCTCGGAAAGGAGCTTCGACTGCGTTCCCTTGCCGCATCCAGGTGGCCCCAACATCACCAGCTTCGGAGTATTCATCAGGGCAACTACCTGGCACACCAAATAATTCTGCTATTATTAACCTTAATAACTAATCACTACAAAATATATACAAAGGTAATTTATTCCTTCAAACAATACAAGAAATAGCACTGCGTCACACCCCATTCACACATCAATGAATATGCATAATGCAGTAATAAAATAAGCTGACGCAAATGCTACTCCCAAACATCATATACAATCATTCAGCTCCTAGGCATTGCTATTCTCATCCGACATCCCAAGAAGCTTTGCATCATTGGCGTCTGGATTAGAGCCCATGCCTATAAACCCAGCTGTGCCGTCATCACCACTTTCCTCACTATCAACGGCTCTTGCTGCATCCTCCTCACTCGAAAAAAACTTTGCTGATGTATTTTGATTATCGCTAGACATAAACCAGCACCTAGCAACACCAGATAATGACAATATAATACCAAATACAGCTGCAGAAAACTTCATAAAGTCAACACATCGCAGAATATTTATAGGTTTATCCACCAATAACAGCAGTTGATCCACCTAAATGTTGTATTCACCAATGCTCCTGTATTCCCTCCATCTGCTTTATAACACTTCATTGGTTACTTTTTATTCATACGCAAATCTTCTGTATCTGCCTCCTTATGCATTATTGTTGATAGGCAAGTCACAATGTGGTTTGCCCATGAGAGAGGAAAGTCCAATAGATGCTTGCTTCTTACCAAGAGCCTGATTGGGCTCGTCATTAATGCTCAGCAACTTCTTAACTGATTTGTTATGCTGCCAGTATACATTCTTGTTATCAATCACATTGCTTATTTGAACGTCAATACTTCTGCTTATAAAGTACGGCCGGGCACTATCCATATACATGCCTGCTCTATTCCTGTACAGCAGTGTCTTCTCAATCTTAGACAGTACATCAATATAGAAGCGTGTGCCTCTTTGCGCCCTAGACACACATCCTCCATATGCTGTGGATTCACACACAAACAGCTTTTCAACAATTCCTTTAAACCCACTGCCCACAACTATCCTCCTTATTCCACTAATCTTTACACTATGCATCTTCTCATCAAATCCAAACACAAGCTTCGATGACTTGTACCACGACCTGAAAATCATATTGATCTTTGGCCTACTATCCTCTCCAAGCAGGCTCTGTTCGCTAGCACCTCCTGCACTCCTCCTCAAAAACAGCTTTCCATTCGTCCTTCCTATTGCCACCCTTGCATCTCTGCCATCAAACTCCACAAATACCTGCTCACCATCCTCCTCGCATTGCAAAAAAGAAAGCTCAAAGCCAAACCTGTCGAAAGGCATCTCGAATGCAATGAACGACTCTTTGCAAAACACCATCCCCTCACACACCCTGCTTGATATCTCAAGTCGTTTTATCAATGCATCCATCACCTCGGCACGCTTCTTGCTTTCAATCTCAGCCACAAGACATCTCAGCCTTACCATGTCATCAGCAATATTCAAGCACTCCAGAGGATTACTGCATTCAACTGCATGGACATCAGCACCTACAAGCTCTTCACAGCTGAAGTTCGACTCCGAATGGATCAGACTGTTTCTAAGCGAGTACAGCCTATTATTCTTGCGATTGCTCATATCGGCTCCATTACTGGAATGCCTAGTTGCATTCCAAAATTGCCTGAGGCTCAGTGCCTTCACCACACATACCTCCCAGTATCCAGTCATTTTGAATAAATCCATTCGAACTATGTCACTCCGGATGCTGTTAAATCGTCCAGAAACATCTCTCAGCACAATATTCATGCATTGGATGAAAAAACAGTCATATCTGACTTCCTGAACAACCTTTCTACCAAAAATCTCAGCATCAATCAACGAAAGAGTATACAACATCTTCGTTGGAATAGTGCTGCCCCTCAGAGCATCAAGGATGCTGTATACAATTGCCAGCATCTGTGCCTGAACAGCCTTGTCCACGGGGTGGCTGAGATTGTCCACAGATTGTAATGAAAGCTTTTGGATCCTTTTCCCAATGCATTGCGCACACCTATCCATGTGCCTGTGCATTCTCTTTATGACAGATGCAATCGCTTCAAGCACCTCCGCTCTTTTGTCAGAAACCTCCCGCGCAACAAATAGAATTTTCTTCAGGCTATCGAGAGACACAGGCATGCTGCTGCTTATAAATCCATACTGCTTCTTGAGAGAAATCTGCCTACTCATCAGCAGCTTCATTAAGACAGCAAAGCTTTCATACTCATGAGTAATGTATGGCCAATATTGCGAGTCTACAAGCTTCCGAGCACATTCGTTGCTGATCAAATCCACATTCTGAATGCAAACAGCAAGAGCCTCGACATAATCTCCATCCACATCACTGCAACGCTCGTAAAACAGACTGCTGAGCATGCTTGTCTTTGTCTTTTTGATGAATCCTTTGAGCAGCCTTTCTCCGTTGCTTGTGCTTTCGAAAAACGCCTTACTGAATATACGAGAGGTGTATTCTGTATCTGACTCGCTGTAGCTTTGAGCCAGGATGTCGAGCAGCTCGTATGATGGAAACATCATGCCTAGTTTTACAAAAAGAAAGTCGTATAGCCTATGCGACTTTTGCTGGACCAATATCTCTCGTAACAGCATTGGATTGTTTATGTACCTCAACTCTGTGTACAGGAAGTCTGGGTAGTTTTCAATGTAGAGCAGAGTCCAATCGTTCATCACACTTGCATTTTTTGCCCACCGAAGTAGAATCCTTGGATCACACCTGAAAACATACTCAATCAGATAGAAGATATCATCAGGGCCCTCATATGATTGCTGTAGAGCACTCATCATTTCAAGCACACAGTATCCAAGAATGTCGACCTTGGTGCAGATAGGCTGTCTATGCAGCATGAACTGCATGCATATGCCAAGCGATTCCCTCATGATGTTTGGAGGCAATGCCTCATGACGGTTGCTGTGCATTCTGAATCTGTGCTTTTCATGAATGCGTAGCGCCATCAGTTTGCTTCTCCAGCTATTGCCGAAGTCATACATCTTGAGTACCAGTTCAAACATGCGCTGGTAGAACCATGCTTCACGGTGTTTTTCATGGGCTCTACTAAGAAGAAGATCGATCCTGAGCATCTGGTCGATGTTGTATTGCCCAGAGACACACAGCATGTTATCTATGTGCATGCATAGGTCTTGCCCGCTGAGTCGCTCCATTTCGTCGATCAATGCATCTAATGAGCGGTGGCTCTCGACTACGGGAGCAGGAACGATGTATTTTCTATCAAGCATGGCACGCATGTGACGCAATCATTTATAAGAGTATGAAACAATCATGCAACCACAAGCATCATATGCATGCAAAAGAATTGTAAAACAGAGATGAAACCTGCCCCAGAATGTCTGGGCTGAAGACACCAAAGGGAACCGCTGATGAGCTTCCAAGAGAAGCGTTTCTGTATGAGGAAATCATTGAGAAGATCAGAAAGGTGTTTGTTGTGCATGGAGCATCGCCAATATCAACGCCTACGTTTGAGATGAGAAGCATCCTTGTGAACAAGTACGGTGACGACTCAAAGCTTATATATGACCTTTCTGACCAAGGAGGAGAGATATGCTCGCTAAGATATGACCTGACTGTTCCATTTGCAAGATTCCTGGCATCGAAGAAGATAAGGAGGATGAAGAGATACCAGATAGGAAAGGTGTACCGGCGAGACCAGCCATCTGCTGCAAAGGGGAGGCTGAGAGAGTTTGTCCAGGCCGACTTTGACATTGCTGGCGAATGCATTCCAATGATGGCAGATGCAGAGGTGATCAGTTGCGTTGATAAGATACTGCGAGTGTTTGAAATAGGCGAATTCGTGATTAAGGTGAATGACAGGAGAATTCTTACGTCGATTCTTGAGATGATTGGAGTTGCAGAAGAGGATTATTCAAGCATTTGCTCTACGATTGACAAGCTTGACAAGATGAGTGTGGATGAGCTCAGGAAGGAGTTTATGCAGAAGGGCCTATCTGAATGCCAGGTTTTGAGGATTGAAGAATACATGAGGCAGGCGGGGAATAGCAATGTGCTTGAGTATCTGGAGAATGACGCAGTTGGAGAGATTGCGAGATGCAGGGAGGCGATATGCAGTATGAAGGAGTTGTTCAGGCTCTGCAAGATTCTTGGATGCGATGAATGCCTTGCTGTGGATATTTCGCTTGCAAGAGGGCTTGACTACTATACAGGGATGATTATTGAGGCAGGGTATATTGGAAAGCAGGTTGGGTCTGTGATCGGAGGAGGGCGGTACGACAACCTTACGGAAAACCTGGGGGTGAAGGGGATGGCGATTGCATGCGTAGGGTTTTCAGTGGGAGTGTCGAGGATTTTTTCAATGCTATGCGAGCAGTACTGCAAGGAGTCAGCAACGGTGGTGTATGTAGGAGCATCTGGAGGATTGTTTCTTGATGAAAGATTGAGCATTATCAGGATGCTATGGGATGCAGGGATTCCGTCCGAGACGTTCTATACGAAGCGGTCTTCGTTTGACGACCAGGTTGCATATGCAAGGAAGCGGGGAGTGCCAATCGTTGTGGTTGTGGGAGAGTCTGAGATTGCATCCAAGTCTGTTCAGATGATTAATCTTGCTACAAATGAAAAGAGGACTATTTTAATTGAAGATGCTGTTGGATATATCAAGGAAGTAGTATAATAAACCAGTATTAATGCAGAGCTATTACTGTACATGGGCCTGGCTGATATGCTGAGCTCCTTTTATTATGTATACTGTTTCCCCAACGATCTTTCTTATCTTGATGACTTTGGTTTGGTATCCTCTAGCTTCCATGGACGAAATGACTTCTTGTGGCTTGTTTGCTTTTATTACAAGCAAATAGACTGTTGGGATGCAAACAGAGTCTATGAATCTGTCGATTACAGATCTGCCGAGTGCCCCGCCTCCAATCACAGGATCATCACAGTCTGGAACGTACGGAGGATTGAACACAACAGCATCAAAAGCACTCTGATTGATGCAAGATAACAGGTCGGCCCTTACCAAATTGCCTCCGCTGTGGTTTAGAAGTGCCTTGATGTTTGTGTCTGTTGATATTACGGTGTTTTGCTTCTTCAGCATCTCGGCGACTACACCAGTGGATGTTCCTAGATCAAGCACGACCATTTCCCGCAATGTCTCAGCTTCAATGGCATCAAGAAGTGTGTATGTGTCTTCTCCAGGCTCATACCAATACCAATTCATATGGAAATGGGCTCATGAACCTTGGCAATGTCATTTCACACATATGAGCATGATCGGCAATCGCTGAGAAAGCCTTGCATTTATATTGGCTTGGCATCTAGCAGCAGATGATACATGCAGCATAATACCTGTACTGTGCAGACAGTAGAATTCTCAGATATTGTTTCCTTGAATCATATATGCATTCGAAAGTTAGTGAATGATCAGCAGGAATGCCTCTTCAATCCGTTGCTGGCACATGTAAAAGCTTATTCAATCGTTTACAGCAAGAATATTCAGGCATTATTGGGATGTCTTTATCTGTATTGAAGGATCAATCGCCAAATGGACACAAATTACAAATTACTGAAGCTCTGGAATGAATCGGATAACTAGAAATGCGAATTCAATTCAAAGGCCCTGGATGATACTATCAGTCGAGGAGTCTACACCAGAATGCATACAATTTACGCTACGAAACACAACTGTGTCGTATGCAAATGCACTGAGAAGAGTGCTGATATCCGAGGTGCCCACTGTTGCAATAGATCTAGTTGAAATAGAAAGAAACAACACAGTGCTTCCAGATGAGGTTCTGGCACATAGACTAGGCTTGATACCGATATATTCAAAGAGAGAGCTCAAGTACAAGAGCGAATGCGATTGCTCAGGGTTTTGCGATCAATGCTCAATCACATTTGAAATAGATGTTGTTCATCTTGACGATACGCTCAGGGTTGTAAGCACAAGAGACATCTTCTGTGCTTCGGAGGATGTAAACATTCGAAGCGGGCCGGTTATTGCAAAGCTTGCAAAGGACCAGGGGCTGAAGGTCAAATGCATTGCACGCAAGGGCATAGGCAAGACACATGCAAAGTGGTCACCTGTCTCTGCAGTTGGATTTGAGTATGATAAGAACAATGCTCGAAGAGAAACAAACTATTGGTTTGAGCAAGATGTGGAGGAAGAATGGCCCGGAGTGAAGCAAGATGAGGCGAATCCAATGCAGAAGATCGACGAGATTCGTATGCGGGTGGAGGTTGTTGAAGGAGGATTGAGCCCTGTGGCAATTGTAATCAAGGCACTGGAGATCCTCAGGGAAAAAGCAATGAGTGTGGTATCATCGATCGAAGAAATAAACTGAAGCATTTTATTGATTGTGTATATAAGAATTATCCAACTGCATATTTGTATTATTGCACTAGATAAGCATGCATCCGTACTTCACTACATTTGGAGCTGCCTTGCACTGCCATTAAATTGAGTATTCAGCTACAGATGCATTGCTTTGTACAATCAGACTTTTCGTGCTGCTAACTACTAATTGGATCTCACGCAGTGATTTTCACACCACCTAGTCAGGCCCTCATATTTAGCACTGGCCTTTCTTAACTTTATCAACATACTCCTGGGCCCTAAGCTTAACCTCCTCAACATTTCCACTATTTTCTTTCTCATACTCCAGCCACATCTTGTAAAAGTCTTTCATGTCCTTTACCTTCCATTTCTTCTCCACCACTCTTCTGTAAAGACTCCTTAGATACACTCCAGACTCATTCTTGATATATGCAATCCATACATCCTTCCTATCTGTAATAAGCCTCTCCACAATCATCCTTGGATTCCCACAGTACTTATATATCAGGCCAATCGATGCTGGCAGGAACTCCAAATGGCTTTCTACAAGCGCAATTCCCCTATTCTCGTTTTCCTTGAGCAGCTTCTCCAAATACATTCCAAACGACCTTCTTGTTGCATCTTCCTCAAAATACAGCTTCAAAACATCCTCTTCGTCTGTATTCAATGCCACAACCTCCAGAAACTTCGGGCTGCATATCTTAGAAAGCCTAGAAACAGTCTTCATCCATCCCTCATCATTAGCAAACACAAGGTAATTCACATATGCAATGCATAGCTTATCCTTTTCGTCTCCCTCCATCCTTGCAACATGTTCGTCAAATATCTGCCTTGGCGCATCATGCTCATCAATCTCAATCTTATACTGCATATGCTTGATAACAGGCATCGCTAAGCCCGGATGTGCTTTGATCTCCATCACAATGTCGTCCTCGTTCATCACACTCTTTCTCTTCCTTTCGGCCCCCAATGTCTTTGAATCCTCAACTACTACCTCTGCAACATCCTGATCCAATACATCTTCAATGTCAAATGGTACTGACAAATCAATTCGTGATCTGATATATCCATTCCTATCTCTCATCTCTCGTTTTTTCTGCTCTTTGTGCTTCTTAAAACTTTCTTCATTACCATCCTGCTTATTGTTCAAACATTTGTCTCTACTGCTTGCGTCCTCCTTCTTCTCAATCTTCATCACAAACACATTGCTTTCTACATCGCAGACTATCCCACGAACCACATCTCCGTATCTTCTTCGCTTTCCTTCCTCAACAACCACATATCCCTCTTTCCCCTCATACTCAACGCAAATCTTCTTCTTCTCATACCGCTTGACTTTTGCTTCAATCAGGTCGCCAGCCTTCAGCTCAACATATTCATCAAACAAGTAGCTTCCTAGATTGACTTCCTTGACCACACACTTCACCACATCTCCAACTGCATGCCTGCCATTGCCTCTCATCAGCCCTTTCACATTCCGGTCCTTCACCAGATATCTTCCACCGCACAACTCTCCGCTCACAGTCATGCTTACCACTCCACTCACCGGATCTCCAACCTGCACAAAATGAAGATGCCGGCCCTTTTTGAATAATAATACTTCTATACTCGTATCTTCACGATTATTCTGTGGCACCAAATATCCTTCTCCGTACTTCGTCTCCACAAAGCACCTTCTGTTTCCATTCTCGTCATCCTTCCACTTCATCTCACCCCGTGTCCTAAATCCCGGATGCAACGCATTAGACTTGTATATCTCTGCTTCTCTCAGATCGTCTGTTTCCCTCAGTATTTTGAACGTGTACAGCACGCCCTCCGACACATCGTCTCGTGTTATTGTCATCTTTCCGTCCACAGAAAACAGAATGCACACATTCTCCTCTCTTGAAGCCAAGTAGCTGTTGAATATTGGCGCAACATAGAATATCTCAACACCGTCTCTGTATCTCGCCGGATGCATCCCTGCACTGACATTCAGCTTCTCGATCTTGTATGTCTCCATAGGTGTAATGAACTTGCATCCATGTATCTTTCCATATAGATACGTCAATTTCTGTTCAAACAGCCTCATCGCAAGGGAAGCCACCCACGAAATAAATCTTAATGTGTCCGCGCTGCAATTGCACATACGGCCCTTCGCACAAACTGCACAGCAAGCCCACAAACACACATTCTATTTGCAACAAACTGCCCGTAGTTCCTCTTACTGAGTGCGATTGCGCCAAACACGGCTCCTACTGCATATCCAGACGCAAAAAACAGGCCTGCTGTTCTGAGAATGCCTTTTCTGAAAGATGGCATGTATAAACACTCTACCTTTGGCTCAAGCATATCAGTATGGGCATGTGCAAGCTCGGCTGATCATTAGAACAGCAGCTGAGAAATGCAGATTCAGATGGCACATGACGAAAGGATGATATGCATGCAATAATGAGCATTCCTTCAATAAACAAGACTTAACAGAATGCAGATTTATTATGCTATTTACAACTGGCAAGTTTTAGTATGTAGATGCACACAAGCATGCTGTCTGCCACGAATTATGATTGAGCTGATTGCATATACCATGCATTATGCATTATGCCTTAGATTCTTGCTGCTGCTGCTGTTGCTGCTGCTGTTGGCCCTCCTCTTCCTTCTCATCGTCGTTGTCTCTAAACCTCAACAGGTAGCTTTCGACAAAGATGATTGCAAAGATGATGATGAATGCAGACCCGCCCACAAATACACCCAGGGCAGTGCTATCGCTCGAGCTCACCCCATGCCATCCCTCAAATGCATTAAGAGAGCTCCACAGTCCAATAAGTATGCACACAGAAATGCTGTACACCTCGGCCCTTGATATTGACTTCAGCAGCCTGCTGTTGTTTCTATGCCCAAGGAACAGGAAGAAGGCAAAGAAGATGAACAGCAGCACCCATGCAGTCCACATGTATATGTAGCTGATCCTTGTGATCAGGATTGTAAGGTAGCTTGCACCATATGCACATATTAATGCAAGGCATACGTCTCTGAATATCCTGACAGATGATACGAATGCAGCAATTGCACTGACTGCCAATACAGACAGATCGAGATACCACTGCACATTGATGCTTGACAGCATCAGATGAACAAGCGTGAAATAGGTGCCCAGCAGAACAACAGTGCACATCTGCAGCCTTTGAAGGGACTTTCCAGGAATGCTGATGAACACCACGGCAGCTACCAGCGCCATCGAGTACAATGTGTTCCACACCGGATCGTCAGATGGCAATGCATAGTATGGCGTTGGATAAGCTAGGTCGCCTTCGAAGTTTGGGTCGGTCACCTCTTGAGTATTTGATGCTTGGCACAGTGCAAAGGACGCAAGCAAAATCAGAAGAGCTGAGTTCATCTGAGAAGCAAGAAATGCAATATTTATACTTTTTTGTAACGAAAGTGTGAGTCATGAAACATTCAGCCAACGAATGAGATGGAAGACGATCAGTTTCGGGTGTAACAGAAACGTGCCAATACATTGTAAGAGAGAGTTTGATTCAACATTTAATTACACAGTATTTGACTGTTTCAGTACGAATACATGCTGCTGTAACTTTTGGTGCTCTGATACGGGACATAGGTAGTGCCTGTATACATGCTACTGGTGCTGGTGGATGTGCTGTCGTACGGGTTGAATGCATGGCCGTTTGATGTGAATGAATATGGCTGGCTGACTGTCTGGTTGAATGCAGCCTCAGGACCTGATGAATAATAGTAGCTATTTGACTGTGCCGATGGAGAGGATGATGAATAATAGCTGTCAGATACCGATGATGTCTGTGTGCTTGATGAACTCTTATTGACTCCGTTGCTTGAGCTGGTAAGAGAATCTGATCGTATTGCTGATAGTGCTAAAAGGATTCCGAAGGTTATGTTCATTAGTATAGTGTGTGCATGCATCTAAATTAAATATCTTTATTAAAACGATTGTTTCGACGATTTCCAATCATCCAATACGGCTTTTATCATGTGTGCCATGGATTCGCTGTGTGCATGTAAGGGTTGTCTCACTACAGATCAACGAATCTTCGTTGCTGGGCATGCCATGAAAGCTTACTGCTTGAGCAGCGCAGATACCATGCAGTGCCATAGCCCTTGTAAATACAGGAATGCATACAAACAAGAGTCAGGTATTTGCACAAATGCTTGGACTGTATGGAACGGATTTTAGAAGAATGGTGGGGGCAGAGGGGCTTGAGGATTCCACGTTAGATGAATTCAGGCATATGTATTTAGATGTTCTAGACATGTGCTATGCGAAGAACACGGTGTGCAACCAGAAGAAGATGGACTGGCTGCAGATCAGGGATGTGTATGAGCTTGAAAACAGATATTGCTTTGATGTGCTTGTAGCAGGGAATGGGATGAACGTGTGCAGAAGGGATTTTGAGCAAGGAGGAGAGTTGGGAATGCTCCTGAAGGATTATGAATTCAGGCTACTGGAGAAGCTGAGCATCGTTAGAAAGATCTATAAGAAGATGCATGATCAAGGATTGACATGCGACGATCTTGGTATGAATGCAGCAATGCCTGATGGATGTGCATCGCTAAGAAGTATGATGAGCACATCTGCAATCAGTAAGAGAGCCTCAACAGATGAAATAGCTGAGGAAGGAGCCACTAAGACCCGGGGAATAGCGATAATTGTTAAGAATGCCCAGCATAACAGGCCTTTGGAGTCTGTAGAGGATGAGAAAAGCAGTGGAGAGCATCACACTGGCACTATGAATTCTGGCCCAGTGCCTTACCGATCGACTGACGGCGGCTTGGAAAAGCATTTAGACACGCCTAAAGGTAAGAGTGAAACGAATGAATGGGTCAGGGGAGATTATTCCGGCATACTCAGGCTTTCGCGACGGTATTGAATGTGAATAGCTATTAATGCGAATGGATTGAATGAGAGAATCTGTAGTAACGGGGTTATTAAATTTTGCAGCAAACCCTTGGAAAATCTTAAGTGGAGGATCTGTATGGGCTAACACGAGTCAATTTTCCCACAACGACTGAGATGATAAGAGCGCCTTACCTGATTGGAAATGCGTGTCAGACATCTTTGACATTTTATTGTAATGTGTTTTTCTCAAGATCGAGTGCTGTTTGTGTGGCCGGACTGTTTTTATGTTTGAATGACCCCATGGCCAGCCCAGCATTGAATGAATGAGCGGTTTGACAGGGAGGATCAATTTGGAATCAAGAAGGGATCGCAGAGCCATACAAGCTCGATTCCAACAGGCTGCCGGGAGGAGCACAAGAGAGTTGTGTGTGTGCCACATCCAACTATTCCAGGAAAGGCAATAAGGTATCGGATATGCTACACAAAGAATGGAGACGTTGGAGAGGCAGACGCCTTGAGGATCGAGGTATCGTATGGGCTTGAGAATCTGGCAAGTTGGATCAGAAAGATCCTGGAGTTCCACAAATTCAAAAGACTGCTGGTCTATGTGAAGTACGGAGATCTTCTGAAGCTCAGCGATGAAGTGGAAAGGATTGGTAAAGATCTATTTACATACAATTACAAGTTTAAGTTCAGTTTTATTCCTGATAACTATGAAGATTCAGAGTATGTGCTGCTATATGAGATAGAAGGCATAAAGAAAGGAGAGCATTATGGATGAGCATGTAGCATAAGTATTTCTTCAGAAGTGTGTATAATGGATTGTAAATGATATGTGTAGGCAATGCAAGCCAGATGCTGAAAGGTGTAACAATATTTTTAATTAGTAAATCTATTATGCTGTGAAGTGCAGTTTATATTTGCCTTTGTAGGAAGTTCATGGCTAGAAAAGTACATTACTGGGTTTATGGCCAACAGAGACATCCACAGCACCTTGGCTCTTTTGATCCTTTGTTCTGGATGTCTATTTGTTGCCGAAGCATGCTGATTTTTGGATTTGCCTGTGTGTTTCCAAACTCGTATGAGATTGTGTACCACCATATTGCGAGGAGAATGTTGCCCGTGCCGTCGTTTTCTGCGAACTCTGCAACCGAGTATGCTGCCTGAGGATGGCCTTTGATGGCGGCCTTCAGTGCCCAGAAGAGCGATTCATTCAGGTCTGACTGGACTACGCCATCAATCCCTGTGAACAGGATTCTTGAATATGACATCTGTGCATCTATTTGGCCCAGCTCGGATGCCTTCTTATACCAGGAAAATGCAAGGGCAAGGCTCTGCTCCTGCATCAGCTCACCTGCTTCGTAGCATTTTGCCACTCTATACTGGCAGTTTGGGCAGGAAAACTCTGCGCCCTTGAGATACAACCGGAATGCATACTCCTCATCAGGCTGGATCTCGCCAAATGTCATGTCTGATTCGTATATCTGCGCTAGGTCATAGTATGGATATGGATATTCGTGATTTGCCTTCCTGACTGCAAGCTTCAAGTAGAACAGCCCGCTCTGGATATCTTTCTTACTGCCCATATCGCCATGGATAAGAACAGATCCGTATGTGTGCATCCCAGCAATGTACCCAAGCTTTGCAGAGCATCTATAGAAATCAAGTGCATGTTTCCGGTTTTTTGGCTTTCCTATGCCCTTTTCAAGACACTGGCCCATCCTGAATGTTCCGATCGGATGGTTCTGCCTAGCAGCAGACGAATAGTATCCCACTGCTTTAGGACCGTTTTTGCAGAGCCCAAACAATCCGAACTCGTATCCCAGGCCTATGAATGTTTGTGCCTCTGAGAGTGTGGAGCTGTATGGATGCTGGCTATCGCTGTCGTTTACTGCTCTTATCAGGAACGAAAGGCATTCGGAGTTGAAGCTGTCCATGGACTTTTGTGCATCTCTGAGCCTGTCCAGGGGATTTTCTCCAATGACAAACAGGCACTTGTATGAATCGTTGTCATCTTCTATGAACTTCATGTACTCACGCAGGAGATCGAAGACCTCTGTGCTTGACTCAGATTGAAATGCCTTTTCGAAGTCATGCTTGAGTGTTTTGTTAAGTCTTCCGAAAAACGACTTCATCGCAGGGAATTGCTAAAGGAGAATCTTAACACATGCCTTGTACTAATCGTATCTCTCCTGATCTGCTTTTACTAATCCGTCATATGTGCAGCCAATTGATTCTGGTTATGCAGCATTATGTCTTTGAGACAAAGCTGGTTGATTCAATGCAGATAATCTTTAACAGAAACAAGCAAAATGGTGTGCTGGCTGCATCATGCATGCTGGTAGTTGATTTTCAAATTATTTGCATTTGAAGCATATGCTCTTTATGCTCTAAAAGACGGTTGGATCAGTGTTTTCAAATGCAATTGGTTTGCAGATGCTGAAACGGTTGATGAAAGCAAATATAACTGCCCAAGCCTGTATGCAGCTATGGAGGAAAATAGTGAAGCGACACATCCTCCTGTGTATGAGTTTTCATACTCTCCAGAGCTGAACTTGCTGATGGATCACTTAGATGAAATCGCGTTTGAATGCGATGGTAAGGACCTGTTTGCCCTTGCATCTAACAAGATACAGCAGGATCGAAGAGATGTTGTGTTCAATCCTTATCCGGTTGGCAAGGTATCGAAGGGAAGGCTTGATGTGAAGTATGGGCTTCTGAACGAGTACCTGTATGAAAGCCAAGACTATGCGCCTCAAAAGCTGCTGAAGGCACGCAGAACAATCTGTGGGTTTGAAATATACAGTCTTGGCCAAGATGTAGAGGAGTATGTAGGATGCCTCAAATCGAATCTTTTGGGCACAAGATATAATTTAGAGCAAAATGACGAAAATGTGGTAGAAATCAGGTATGTGACGTCGGTATTCAAGCGTAGGGGGCCAAGGGAGTTTTCTGTGTTGTTTATGGGGATGTCTGGATCTACTGATAGGCCAATAGTGATGAAAAACAAAGAGCCTTACTACAATGTGGAAACCAACAGCTATTCTTTGAACTTCAATGGACGAGTGACAACACCATCGGTAAAGAATTTTCAGCTGGTGCATCCGCTTGAACCCACATATGTGACATTGACTTTTGGGAAGGTTTCTCGCTACAAATACATTCTTGACTATGCATATCCGTGGACAGGCATACAAGCATTTGCAATAGCACTTACTGCACTGGACTACAAGATTGGATGCGATTGAGGTGCAGAACGAGGAGGAATGGCTGCATGCTGCTTGGCTAGTAATGCAGTGCATAGGCATGGCCTGTGCAAAGATAGATTTTTGTTGATTAAAATATTTTGAGATGATGCCTGGATAATTGCAGAGATGGAGAGGATTAGTATTGATGAGATAGCAAGGAAGGCAAGCTTTGTTGTTAGGGAGCGCAGTGCTGCGCATGGAATGCAGATGCCGAAAGAGTTCTCAAGGGTATGCAGTGTGCATGGGCATCGTGCAGTAGTTTATGGGACCACACTGTTTATAGATGATGTAAAGGCCGAGGAGGATGTTGTATACTTGAGCAAGGATGGGGAAAGAGTAGTTGCTACTAAGAAGAAAGAAGTGATTGTGTATGACTTTTTGAAGAGAGAGGAGATGCGAATAGATACTGTGAAAGAGGTCAAGAGGTGTGAGGTGTGGAACGAATGGATTGGGATGCTGACTGAGGAAGGAATTCTTTATGTATACAAAAATGGGGAGTTTGCCTGTGAGTATGATGATGTCAAAGATTTTGTTCTTCCGGATGTAGTTGTTCGTTCTGACAGGAAGCTTATGGGGCATGAGGAAGTGCAGAGAGTATTTAGAGATCACGATGGCCAGGTGATTGTTGTCTGTGTGGACAAGCTTGCGTGTGGAAAGAATGAGGTTGCGAACGGAATATCCACGGGAGATATTGAGTATGACAGAGAATGGAACGAGTGCCATTACTACCACTGTGATTTCCATGGGGTGAATATTGTATCATCAAGCAAGTCATCGAAGATTCTGCTTCTTGGCACGGATTTGTGTGAAGTTGACATGGACGAGGAGATCAGACTTCTTGGGCTGAGAACTAACGAGATGCTTGACGTGAAGTATCTTGCAGGAATTGATTATTCAGCAGGATGGGTGGACATGGTTGATGAGGATGGTGTTTTGAGTACGTTTGAGGTGGTAGGAATTGATTGTGGTAAGATGGATGGATGCACTGTGCCTGCGGATGGAGTGCATGCGATGGAAAAGTTTGTAGAAAGAAAATACAAGCTTTGTAAAGAGACAGGGATGCAAAAAGCAGATGCAAGTGATGCTATTATCAGTGGGAGTTTGGCTAATAACGGGGTGAATAGTGCTTGTATGGAGGCTGATGCTGGGAACGATGGGATGATTTCAATAAGTGATATGATGAGTGCAGTTTGTGATATTAAAGATACGGTGCAGGAACATGGAGCTTTCACAGGTGATAATGCAGTGGAAGTAAACATGAAGGTGAAATCTGAGAGCAAGAATGAGTGCCAGACAAAGTCTACTGGGGATTCAAAAATAGATCGCTTGCTTGAGAGTTTATCTGCACAGGTGGATATGGTTATTGAAGATTTTAGGAATATATGTGTTGAGAAGAGGATATTTAAGATGTACAAGTACAATGCAAACGATCTGTCGCTGTTTACGGAACAGGTCTATAAGAACATTATGAGATTGGAGGAGTACAAGTCTATGCAGCAACAGATATCGGAGAAGCTCTCACAAATGCAAGGCAGTCTTGAGGTTTACGAGGGGATGGATGAGGAGAACATAAAAAGTGCAGTGAAGTACATTGACAGTGTGATAGACTCGATGGGTGCCAGAGAAGGAAGGAAGATCGTTCACTATGCAAAGCCACTGCTGCACACAATAAGTAATGCAAAGGCAATGCGACTTGAGTTAGATGTTAATGCAATAAAGATCGGAAAAGGATTGAACGATGTTGAATATGCAGAATCAAGAATGCAAGAAATGCCAATGAGCATATCTGTCAATAGGCAGATTGATGCAGAGCAGAGCATGAAGTACACTGCTCACCAGAATGCATCTGAGCCAGCTCACATGCCGAAGGAATGTATAAACACTGTAGATGAAGCCAAGCCAGATACACAAGCCAATTGCTTGAATCAAAGGCTAAAAGAAGATGGGAATGCTCATGGACAAGCTGATGCAGCCAACCAAGGATTGAAGAATGGCATTTCAACAGCATATGAACCGCCTGGAATGCAGAAACCACTTGCGAATGCTATGATACACCAGCATACAAACATATTTGGCCAACCAGTATCACAGCAGCAAGAAACCGTGCAGTTTGGAATGATTGGGAACGCAATGCCGTCTAGTATCTTTGAGTCGTTAGCAAGCAATGCAACTTCGATTCCAGTATCATCGATCAAGAATGAAGAAGAGCCCAATGAAGATGTTCCGAATGCGTTTCTGAGGTTTGCAAATACTAGAAACTTATTCTAAATTTAGTCAGTGCTGTGCTAGTGCTATTGCACAGGTATAGCCCATAGCTTATATGTATTCCGTGAGAAGCAATAATTGCATGCACTATGCTAAGGTAAATAAATTATCCGTTTTAATTATTCTCAGACTTACTACTTTCCTTTATAGGCTTTCCTGCCTTGATTATTTCGTCAACCAATAGGAGACTTGAGGCAACAACAGTTGCATTCGAAATCACTGCGGATACAACAGAAAAGTTATCAATAACAGACACACATGGTGCACCCCTAAGTATCTTAACGAGCTCGCCCTGTACATCCACTCCAGAATTCTTAAGTAGAACCTTCATCATACTCAAAAACACACTTTCCATTATTTTATACCCAGCGACATCCTTCTCAGCAACCACTTCCAGCTTTGACCTGACATGCAAAACAAGCGATCTATATAGCGAAAGCCCCCCATCAATATAGGTCTTCTCCTTCATCGACACATGCAGACTCTTCAGAGCACCTTTAATTCCAGATTCCATCCTGCTCATCTCATGCTGGCTGTTTCCCCGGATCAAGATCGTGCATGATCCCTTGAATGGCGTTCCTTCAATAAACGTAAATACCTCCTCCCCTATCTTTTTGCTACTGACCTTTCTACAGTATCCAAGCACCTTCTCATTCATTTGCCCAATCTGTGTAATCATGCTTCCTCCACACATACGCACCAGCCTTTCAAGATTCCTTCTTTTTGCGCGTCTCAGTGCCAAAATCCCCGCATCTGCAAACACCTCGAGCGAATAGGGGTCGATGCCTTTCTCAGTCACAACCAGCAAGCTCTTTCCATGCACATCCCTCATTCTCCTTCCAAAATCTGCAATCGCCCTTGACTTTTGTAAAATAAACTCCCTTTCCTTCTCAGCAAGCTCGTCTCTCTGCTTCGACGAGCTGTAGCAAAATTCCGCATTGATCTCGGGCTTCTCATACTCAAGTGACATGTTCGTTACTAGTATGCACACATCCTCAAGACTGCTCGGCATCCCGTAGTGCCTGCCTCCGTGATCAAGCACAAGGCCATCAACATACACAGTCTCAGAAACATCCCCCTCTTGCATCTTTATCACCTCAACCATGTTCACATCAAAATACGGCGACTGTGACACATTCTCAACAGCCACCGCAAGAATATGCGCCAGCTTGCGCGCTTCCTCCTCATCGACCTTCGTCCGTATTGTGTCATATGCCATCCTTCTTAGCGTGTCCTCCTCATAAGGCTTCTCGACACTTTTAATATACCCCATCACATCATTCAGGCACAGCTGCAGTGAATTGCATATCCTTGATATCGCAACCCCATCACAGAACTGCCGGAACGCCGCGCTAAATATCTCGCTGCACATCACAATCAGTGAAGACGACCCGTCACCAAATGTACTGTACATCGACGTTGCTGCTCTTGTTATGATAACGGATGTAGGATGCGTAAACTGTATCTCCTTGCACAGCATGTTTCCTTCCTTTACAATCCTAAGTGTCTGCCCTGGTGAAATCAAGGCCTTGTAGCTTCCAAAAGGCCCTATGCATGTGGAAAACAGTCCAGACAACGTTATCGCCGTGCTGTTGTTGATTCTTATTGCCTGCCCTGATTGCGTAACCTGTGCCTCAGAGTGTGTAGAGTTCATGGGGTAAAATTTTCACTCTGGCCATATCAATGCTTCCTCCAGATGTGTAATCACGCACCATTACTCATCAGAACTCCAGCGAAAACCCAAGCCCATGAGTACATCCTGACCTCCCGATCTCTAGGTTTGCATTCAATGCGAGCCCGTCTGTCACTCTTTCCTCAAGTGCAATTCCTAGCGCCATGTTGCTGTTGACACTTGCTCTAACCTGTGCCTTTGACGTCACAAGCCTGCATCCCAGTGCTCCACTGATCGAGTCACCACGAGGCATGTGGATTTCTGCCCCTGCATCAAACATCTTGCTGAATCTGTGATAATAGCTCATGCTCAGCGCAGTAAATTGCTGCAGCCCCACAGAAAATATTCCTTTATTGCCTTCATATCTTCCACATGTAGAAACACCGACTTCATCGTTTGTTTTGATAACCTCCACTCCAACACACAGCGATCCAAACTGCTGCAGTACATTTGCAACACAAATCATCTGTGATCCTTTTATTGCCGGGCTTATCAGCTTCAGTCCAATGCTGCTTGCTTTGCTCTTTATGTCTACCTGTGCTTGGCTAAACACTTCTCGGCTTCCGCTCACAATGGTATGGATCTTCCCAATGACTCCTCCGCTTGTATGGACTGCTCTAAGCCGCATGCTCCCCTCATTGTCCATTCCAAATTGTACCAGAGAATTCTTCAAGCTCAATGCTCCAAACACCTGGCTCATGTGCACTTTTCCATCAAAAAAATCAATCCTGGACACTTGAAGGCGCGGGCTCAGCAGCTTCGATACCTCTGTCTTTATGCCTCCACACACTTGCAGTGTGGATATCTCACTAGCCTCCGAATTATACGAATCAAAGCTCACCTTCGACTCGTTCCCACTAAAAATATTGCGGATTCCTGCAACCACGCCAGAGACCCACATCATCCCCCGTATTTTTGCTACTTATCAACCCGTTCAAAAAGCTAATCAACACAGCAGTTTATTCTAAATCCCGTAATTCCGGCGGCAGTACTCCTCAGCCTTAAGATAGATCTCCCCGCTATTTGAAAATTCCTTCAAATCCTCCAGAAGCATCCTCTTCACGTCCGGATGGTTGCTTCCCTCTCCTCTGATCTTCTCCTCCAAAAATCCCACCACCTCAGAATATCCAAACCCTGCACTCACAAGGGTCTTTCCAATCTTACTCCCAGGCACCATTCTAGAGCACAGAAGATCTCCAACAAGGCGGCAGTCCATTGCCGGCCCTGATGCTTTAACACTTCCAAGAAACCTTTCTGCAGATGCAAAGTCTCCTCCCATCCCTTCCTCCCATAGCTCCTTGATCACCGTCTTGTCGGTATAGTTTGATATTCCCACTATCCTGAGCGCAAGGTCCGGATGCTTATATGCATAGTCGTTGAACAGCTCATCTGCAGACAACAAGCGATTAGTAATCGCAGGGTCAATCCTTCCTCTCCTCAGAACCTCTGCTTGAATGTCCGCAAGCTCCAACCTCATCTTCACATCATTAAACACAGAAGTGTTCACAGACACACTCAATGAAGCACGCAACAAATCAACCTTCGATTCAAATGGAATCGGCTTGTTATCTGCAAGATCAAGCAACGAGCTCACTCCCTTCATCTTCTCGTTCCTATACACACAATATTTCCAGTGCAGCTCATATATCTGAGGATCGCTCGATGCCATCGACTTCTCCTTCAAAAACCTTTCCAAGAACGGCACTGATATCCTAATTACATCACTCAGCACCATCTTTCCAGGCTTACTGCAGCAGCTGCATTCTCGCCCAAACTTATCCGCCTTCAAAACCTCAAGTAATGCCTCAAACAATGCATACAGAAAATCCTCCCGAGGATCCTCCAATGCAAGATTCAATGCTCCGCTGCACCGGACACTCTTCTTCAACACCTCTACGCCATACTCAAAATCAAAGCTGAAATTCTCCTTGATAAGCGCCGTGCTTCCATGGTAGAACTTAAACTCGTTGTACTTCTCAACAAGACTCTCGTTGTACTGGACATTCTTAAGATTGTTTAGTGACTCAAACAGTAGCTCCCTGGATGGCCTTTTGTTCAGCATCTCCAGCCCTCGTTGGTAATACACCTCCTCAATAGGCAAGAAAAGCGGGCATCTCGTGCTAAGCGTTTTTATAAGCGGCTCAACACTCTGATTCACCTTGAACAAATCAAGAATCGCCTTAAGACTCCTCTTCTTAAACTCCCCACTATCCTCAAAAATAACATGCCCCAACGACTTCCCATCAAGATTCACCGAATACTCATACAATACATTCATATAGAAACATGTCTGCAGAAACTCATCAATAAAATCACAAGCACTCCTCAGGTGCTTTGCCTTCAGCTTTCCTCGAATGCTTTTCATCTTGATCTGCACTTTCTCAAGATACACTCCAAGGTCTCCTCTCACCACCTCCTCAAAACTCGTCTCAAGAACAGGTCGTATCAGCCTGTACAGATACACAAACAGCGCAGAAAGCTGTGCATCCTCATTCTTCAAGCAAAGATACTCCAGCCTTCCAACATCCTCATTGTTCCCAAGCAGCTCATAATACAGCACAAGTATCTCTCTTTCTCCATAGCTCTTGTACACACTGAAAATGTCCTCAGATCGGCAGCTCAGCAAAAACTTCCCCAGCTGCTGAACCTCATACACCAGCATCTTTCTTCCTCCAATCAGAAACACAATGTTCCCATCTATCTCCCCAGTATCCACCTCATCCTTCAGCACTAGCACCTCATAGCTCTCTGAGCTCTTTAGCCTATCAAAATTACACACCTGATCGTCATTTCTCGAAATAAGCGTAACTATACTACCATCGTATCTTCCATTCCTAATCATGCACAGCCTCTCCTCAGACATGCACAGCCTCATTCCCTTGATCTCCGTCATGTCTCCAATGTTCGGGCTTCGCTTCGTCATCACTACCTTCCCGTCGTAGAAATCCCTACTGCCATCCTTCTGCACTGCATAGAAAAACACCCTTTCATCGCTCTCATCAATAACCTGCACTCCAACATACTCCTTACTCATTGAAATCTCTTCCACCTTATACATTCCGCCATCAATATTATACACCGTCACATCTCTTCCAAGGCTCACAAGAAACCTCTTCCCAACACTCATCGACCGCACTGCTGGCTTCTTCCTCCGCAACACACTCGGAATAAAGCTCGACAGAATCGATGCCCCAGGATCATATACATGCATGATCTTAAAAGACCATGTGTCCATACTCTTGTATATCACCTGGTATACCCCTCCGTTCTCGCATCCAATAAACACATCGCCGCTCATGATTGCAACACATGTTGTCTTACTTGGTGTTGATGCAGCAAAATCTGTGTTCACCAAGCACTGTGTGTCCTTCTCAACCCCATACATCATTACCTGCTCCTCTGTTGCCACAAACAGGCAGTGTGAGACCTTCTCGTTAAAAACACCGCTACGTGGAACAAAAAGCTTTGCTTCCAGCACTTCAGATGAAAAGCTGCCAATCTCCTCGGTTTCTCCGCTCTCGTATCGCCATATAACAAAGTTATTTCCCTCAGTCATCCACAAAGCACTCATCCCCAGCAGTACTCCAATTCGCTTATACTCAACACCAGGAATCGCCATTTCCCTCTTCTTGATCAGCATCTTCTGCACAGCATATGTCTGGTCAGAACCGGTGTAGATATCGCGTGTGCTTGGCAGCTTGCGCTCCTCATACTGCCTTGCCTCTACAAGATTACGATGCCTTGCTTCCATTTTAAGGGCCATGCCCACTGTAAAATTAAGTATTGCGTTCGCGTATTTGCCGTCTGATACATGCATTCTACAGTTCATACACAGGCATGCTCTCAGCTCATATCCATAAGCACATTCTGTATGCCAATCCATTGTTCTCATAGTATGGAATCGGCTGCTCCTGAGCTAAAAACCCAAACGATTCGTAAAGGCGGATTGCATTCAGGTTTGTAACACTGACATGGAGATCTATCTGTATACGCTGCATGCAAGCACTGCTTGTACCGGGCATGCTTCCAATGAATAGCTCTTCTTTGACCGTCTGTAAGTAGAGAGATATTAGTTTCTTTCCAATGCCTATTCCTCTGAAGCACTGATCCACACACAAAGAGTATATGTGGCCAGCCATTTCGTCTGCACATGCAACAGCCTCGATGTATCCGACAATGCATCCACCTGACTCGGCAACAAAAGAAGTATTGCGTGATTCATGCAACGTGGATAAAAATGTGCTCAGCAGAAAGTTCTCTGCCGAATTCCGGATATTCAGCGCCTGTACATCCAGCATGTCATCAAACCCCATTCCTCGGAAGACAACATGCACACCCTTGTCCATGGCATATATCCTCATGCCAATTTTGAATGCTCTTAGATATGCACTGCAGTAGTAAAAAATGTTGCTGCCGCGCCCTCTTGATGAACAATCAAGTTGTGGTGCTTGGGCTTGGGGATGGCAAATGCAGCATCCCGGAAATTACAGACGCAAACTCTGCCTGTGAGGATGGCATTTGTGTTGTGCAAATGAAGACCAGCCATCAGGTACACATGCTACTGAAGAAACTAGAAGACGTCGAAGGCGTGAGTGCATATTCACTGAGTGAGTTTTATGGAGCAATAGCAGCAAAAGACAAGGAATATGTACCACTGAAAAGGTTTGACAAGAACGAGTTTGTTGACTTCCAGTTTTCTGGTGGCGAGCAGTTTATTGTCCGCACCGACAGTGAATTTTCGGTATATGATCAGCAAAGCAAGGAGATGACGATTTTAAACAATTTCAAGATGGGAGGGAAGTGCAATGCAAGCGATGACGGTGTTTTTGTTGGTATTTTCCAGGCAAATGCTGTTGAAATACGTGCAGGGCAACGTCTTGAAGTATTAGGTGTGCTGCATACCGACGGCGATGTGAAGAGAATTGCATTTAGTCGGTGCAGTAGATACCTAGCTGTGCACACAGTAAAGGGAGTTGAGCTATGGGATGTGATGAAGAATATGTGCATGCTAAAGAAGGCGTGTGAATTGAGCAATGAGTATGGCGTGTATGGGAATGCGGTGTTTGACGAAGGGCTGATGTATCTTTCTCGAAGCACAGTAGTTTTTTCGCTTGAACTTGGAAGAGAAATTGAAGCAAGCGATAGGTACGCAGGCGTAAAGAGTGTGCAGCAAGAAAGGAACCAGATAGTGGCATTTAGCGAGGGAAGGGTGCAAAAGATAGAGTACAAGATGGATGAATACAGATTCACGAAGACACATGCAAACATTGACGAGATCAGGTTCTTTTTTGCAAAAAGCAGATGCTTTGCACTTATGGCCAAGAGCATACAAAAGGAACGCATATACTTTCTAGAGTCATATGGACGAGATGGAATAACACAAACACAGTTAACGGGAAATATTGAGCAGGTTGCTGTGTCTGATGGATTCTTTGTAGTGGCTAACTCTGAGAATGTGATTTTTTTCTATTCTCGAACAAAGTTTGGATTCAAGCTTATGAAGGAGGTCAGAAAGGAAGATTGCGTTATTCTTGCATTACAGGACAACATATGCTGTGTGTATGACACGGATTCAGGAAACATTGAGTTTTACGACAACAGCAATCTAAGAACCACATACACACACCATCTGTGCACCGAAATAGTGTGGTCATACAGCGGACTCTATGTGTGTTCATGCTCAACAGGCAGCTGCTCAAGCGGACTGGTACAGGTTTTCAACCGAAACGGAAAGCTGCTTTGGAAAAAGGTATTCAGTGGGCTTATTCTATTTGCCTGGAGGCCATTTACATGGATTAGTGAGGATGAGAAAGCAAAAGCGCTCAGTGAGTTTTCGGGGGAGATCTCAAGTGAGATCGACAGTGATGGGGAAGATGCAAGCAAGGAAGAGCTTCTTTTAAGGTGGAAGAATTATCTGCTGTCCAAAAGGCAAATGGCAGCAATGTCTAAGTAAATCAAAAGCATTATTTATGGTTTGTGTCTACGGTCTTTCACAGCAAGCATTTGATGTATTTACTGATTCATGCATTGAAGAAATCAAGTAGAACCAGTAATCTCATGGGTGCCAACATAAAATACATCATTGATACTCGTTTATAATGCCTGTGCTTTTGTAGTATTCATTGATCCTATCCATCGGATATTCAGATCCCACAACATACCTGAACAGGTCCACACATGGAATCCATTCTCCACTCGATGCTATTCCCTTTGGGTATCTTTGACTGAAGTGTGTCAGCAATAGGTTGTTTGAGTTGGACATTTTAAACACTCCGATGGCATCTGCAACTGTCGAATGATGTGTTTGAGCTGCCCGGTCTGCCTGATCCGATGTAAAAGTTGCCTCGTGTATCATGATATCTGAGTTGTGTGACATTAGTGCAAATAGATTTGAGGCTCTTGAATCTCCTGAATATGCTACTGCTACTTTTCCGTCCTTGATCCGAATGCCACAGGAATCAGAGCAGTGGTCAACGCCACAAATAGAGATTTCAAATTCAGTATCGAATTTCAACACATACTCATCTGTACAAAATGTACCGTGATGCTGCTGATCGTTCATCAAACCATCATACTTTTTCCTGAATCTCCTTTCCAATGCCTTTGCATGATTTGTTTCGATATACCTATAATTCTCAACTCCAAACTTCGATATAAACGGCTTTATGCTTGCAGGCCCAAATACATTCACCTTGTGATCCAAAGCTCTTAGAACAGATACTATTCCCAGCACATGGTCAGCATGGGAATGCGATATGAATATTGCCCTAAGCTTCCTCAGTACATCGATGCTTCCATACGCCCTGTGTATCTGAAAAAGTGCATCTTCGCCACAATCAAGTAGCATTGCCTTGCTTTCGGACTCATATAGAATCACCGACACATTTCTGTATTTTGAAGGAATGGCACAGCCTGTTCCAAGAAACAATATGCACTCAGAAAACAACCTAGGCTTGGATGCCACATGATCCATACCTGTTTCATTATTTTCTGCAGCACTGCTTGTTGCATCCTCGTCTTGAACTGTACTAATACACACTTGCTCATCATGGCAACGAGAAAAGCATCTCGACAATTTATTGTACACAAGAGTATCTCCACTCTGAAGTGGCAGTGTGTTTCCATTCTGAATGCAGATGTGCTTGCTGATCGCCGATGGAATGAGGAAGTCTCGATGTATTGCATTAAGATCCGCCTGAATGGCATATAATGACCTATATTCAACAAAGCAGTTGTCTTCTAGCAAAAAGTACTGTGCATGGAAAGAGGATGCCAAGGCATTGATTGCTTCTGGCTGGAAGCAAAATACATATCTGGGCTGCCTCTTACAAACTGCAAGCACAAGCTCATCATGGTTCTGAATGCAGTACACAATTGCAACCAGCCCAACACTCACATCCTCTTCCATGTATTCGGCTCCGTTGTATTCTTTGCCATCATACTGTATAATCTCCCTCCTTGTAAGCATCGAGTACATGTGCTTCGGAATCTCTTTTGGAATTCTGTCTGCCATGAGTCTTCCTCTGATTGGCTTGATGTCCAGGAAATACCAGTTTTGTATACTTCTGTGGTGCTTGTGATGCTCGATTCTGGCCTTCGTGTGAATGCATGTGTAATCGATGCATCTGCTGCAGAATGCACTGCTAACCATTTCCACGCTTACATACTCATCCGAGTAGCTGCTCATGTAGTTCATTTTCATGTCCATCAGGTCTGCAAATCTTGATGCAGACTCTGCAATTTCCCTGGTTGTGCTATCGCACACGATGTCTAGAGACACCCGCCCTATATCCCTCAGCGTCAAATACGTGCCTACCAATGGTGGGACCGACCTGTCTGTGCACAGAAACAGCGCCGAAACCTTGCTGAGGCTCACACCCGCCTCGATGCAGTATCTCTGCAGTCCTTCAAACAGATCAAACATGTACTTTCTATTGCCTATAGAAACCACCAATGACTTTCCACTTCTTGTTGCCAAGTACTTGAACTCAATCATCGACGATATGCAGGGGTGCTTGAGCCATGCATGACTGTGCATGCACTTGAAAAGTGTTTGATGCATGCTTGAAACATAGAGTGTATAATCAAAACGGAATGCATATGCAATGAACAGAGTAGCAATCATCATTGCAATAAACATCTGCGCAGCAATATGCATCAAGCACAGCAATAGCATTGCGAGTGCATCAATCCTGAACCTCGAAAGAATTGCACTAAAGCTTGACAGGCTTATACTCAAATTGATCAAAACAAGAAATGCAAGGAATCGGCGATCCCAAGTATCGCATAGTAAGCAGGTAGCAGATTGTGCCGGTAATACTTGCATGGACAGCATGCATTAACTACACTTGTTTGATATTGCCAGGCCATACTGAAGCGTTTATTCATTTCATTCCTGTTGATCCAAAGCCAAGGCATCCTCTTTCCGTTGCACATATCGAATCCACAACATTGACAACGGTTTCAACAGCCGGCACAAACACTATCTGTGCTATTCTACTTGACGCTTTGTACTCAAAGGACTCACTACCATTGTTTTTCAGCGTGATGACAAGCTCAGAGATGCATCCTGAGTGGATGCATGCATTATGCACATCGATCCAGCTATTCAGTGCTAAGCCAGACCTTCCAAACACCAGCCCCACTATTGATTGCGGAAGATGCCATATAAGTCCTGTCCTGACGGGCCTGGTTTCGTTTGGAAGCAGTACACCCTGCTCAACAGCATGTATGTCGTATCCAGCGGCTCCATCAGACTGCCTCCTTGGGACTATGGCTGACGGATGTGTGGTGCTCACTTTGAGTTCATGGGCTGCCATGCGATGGATGTGCAGTGGAATTTTGGTTTTGGTTTTGAGCAGCCCACGAATCTAATGAAGGACAAAGATGGAGGCAAGAAGCCCAGGATAACGAGCGAGCAGTTGAAGCACGAGGAGAGCATAGCACATGTTCCAATTGAAAACATGTTCTTCAAGGATCTTCCTCCGACGTTTGTGTCTGTAGTTGGGCCGCCAAGCAGTGGTAAGAGCACATTGGTAAGATCGGTGGTGAAGTATTTTACGCAGAAGATGGTGGATGAGATTGTTGGGCCGGTGACTGTCTCATGTGCAAAGATGCGAAGGATTACGATGTTTGAATCGAAGACGGACATCCACCAGTTTATTGATGTGTCGAAGATATCTGATGCGGTTGTATTTGTGATTGATGCATCTGTTGGGCTGGAGATGGAGACATTTGAGTTTCTGACGCTGCTGATTTCGCACGGGCTCTCGAAGATTATGTGTGTAGTGACGCATGTAGATAGAAAGACGAGTGCGAAGCATTTGAAGCTGATGAAGAAGAGAATATGGGCAGAGGTGTGTCCTGGGATCAAATTTTTCCATGTTGGAGGAGTGGCATCCGGATTGTACAGCGACATGGATGTGACTAGCTTGTGTAGGATGCTTGGTGTGATGAAGTGCAGGCCGATTGAGTGGAAATGCACGCATCCGCATGTGATTGTAGACAGGATAGACGATGAGTTTGTGTATGGATATGTAAGAGGAGGGATGATCCAGAGCGGAACAGATGTTTATGTTCCAGGGCTTGGAGACAACATGATGCAGGAAGTTGAGGCATTGATTGACCCGGTTCCTGTTTATGGAGAGAAGAGGCTTTCTGCAAGATCAAGGATATTGTATTCACCGATGTCTGGGATTGGCACGAATGACGAAGAGATGCCTCAGATGGAGGGTCTGCATGGAGGGTCTGATGATGAGGAGATCCAGCTGTTCAAGGGAGGAGAGGTGCTTGCTGAAGATGAAGCGGACGAGCAAGTGGAGGAAGAAAAGGCTGATTGTGTGAAAGAGTGTGCTGAAGAGCCTGAGGAGTCGGAAGAGATAGGATTTGAGGAACTGCTGGAAGCGATGTCTGGAAGGTTTCAAAAGGATGCGGTTACAGAGGAGGATCTTATTGAGAAGTTTAATGAGAAGTATGAGGAGAAGGAGAAGGAGCAAGGCAATTTTTTGCTGAAGGAAAAGCGAAGGCTTGAGAATGAGTATCATAAGAATGAAGAGATGATGGTTCCGGGAGTGGTGGTTCCAGGAAAGTATGTGAAGATCCGACTGATGCAGCATATGTGTAAGGATGTTGACAAGGGCAAGGCGATTATTCTTGGGAGTGTTCTTGTGTCTGAAAAGGAAAAGAGTGTGATACAAGGAAAGATAAAGAGATACAAATGGTATAAGAAGATTCTGAAGAGCAACGAGCCTGTTATATTTTCTGTTGGGTGGAGAAGGTTTCAGAGCATTCCTGTGTTTAGTATGAAGGATGCAACCAGGAACAGGATGATCAAGTATACACCGGAATCGATGCACTGCAATGTATCTTTCTATGGGCATGTGGTTCCAGCAGGTACGGGTTTTTGCGTGTATAGCGAGAAGGGAGATTTCAAGGTGTTGGCGTCTGGAACAGTGACTGATGTGAATGGAGAAGTTGAGCTAGTGAAGAAGCTGAAGCTGATTGGATATCCGAAGCGAATTATTCAGAACACGGTGTTTGTTGCTGGCATGTTTACGTCTGATCTTGAAGTTTTGAAGTTCCAAGGGGCGAATCTGAAGGCAGTAAGTGGGCTCCGAGGGCAAGTGAAGGGGCCTCATGGGAAGGACGGAGAGTACAGAGCCACGTTTGAGGGCACGATGCTGATGAGTGATATAGTGGCATTGAGGTGTTTTGTGCCTGTTGATATGCATAAGATCCTGATTCCTGTTGAGAATTTGATGGGAAGCTGGAAGGGGCTTAGAAGGCTGCATGAGATACGGCAAAGCCTGGGAATGAAGTATGAGAATGAAGAGAGTTCTGAGGAGAGCGAAAGCGAGAGTGAAAGTCGTGCTGAGGATGATGCAGGCCTTCCATCTGATATCGAGAACGAGCTACCGTTGAATATGAGAAAGATAGCAGTGGTTTCAAAAAGAATACTGCTACCGACAGCGCCAGATGGGAAGGATGAGTATGAGACTAGGGAGAGGATTGGAAAGGACAGGATGAGGAAGAGCAAAGAGCAAGAGAAGAGCAAGGCCATGCTTGAAATGAAGAAAAGGGAGGAAAGAGAAAAAATGGAGAAGGAGAAGGAAGAAAGAATCAAGAAGGTCATCCAGGAGAACTACAGAGAGTCACAGAGGAAGTTTAGAAAGCGAAGATAGAAGTAGCATGTCTTTTAATTAAATATGGTGTGTTTGACTTGTCAGTTTTTTATCTATTTTGTGAAAGAGTCGAGGCGATGCTCAAGATCGATTAATTTTTTAATGACCTCATCCTGGTCTGCAATATCTCTGTCGAGGTATTGATGGATTTTGTGGATGTCGTTGTTTTTGAAGCATTCATCCGATCCTGATGACATTTGGCACTCGCCGATTGAGCCTGCTGGAATAAGATCTTGGATGTTGATTTGCGGTAGACTTCTGAGTTCTGGAAAGTCAAGCGAAGAAGAGTCTGAGCTGCAATCCATTGAAGGATTATTTTTGTATGAATTTAAGTGACTGAGGGCCCTTGAATGGTGTTGTTGATGCTGAACGACAGGTTGACGCTTGGAGACAGGTTTAAGGGAACGGTGCGATATCTTGGAGGGATACGGACGAAGGAAGGCAAGTGGGTGGGCCTAGAGCTTGATGAGCCTGTGGGAGCGAATGATGGGAGTGTGAATGGCGTGAGATACTTTGACTGCAAGGATAAGCATGGGATATTTGTAAGATACGAGAGGATCAAGGAGGGGCTTGTATGCGAGGACAGGGGAAAGGCGATAGATGGATCAGAAATGCCGACTGTAAAGATTGGCGAATATGAATCGAAGATATCTGAGCTAGAAAAGACGATAGAGCAGCTCAGGAATGCAGAAAGGCAGGAGCTAGCTGAGCTTAGAAAGGAGTTGATATGTTTAGAAGAGCAAAAATTGCAGAAGAATGCAGACTATTCAATTGAAGAGCGACGAGATGCAAATGAAAAAGGATTGCGTGCGAGTAGATGGATGGGTAAGACGAATACGAATTGTGTGACTGACCAGGATGAAAGAAGAAGGGTTGTACATCTTGTAAGTAGGATTATTCATGGCGTGCTGGATGAGGAAATGGAGGCAGTGGAGTGCCTGTACAAGGAGTTTGAGTGTATTATGAAGAAGAATGGGATTGTGATGGACTGAAGTCGAAATAGATTAATGCAAGCAAGAAAGACATAAGCAGAGGGATACTTACTATGAATCAGCCTGTTGTGTAAGCCATGCAGGTATACAATAAAGTGAAGAGCACAGGATGTGTACCGTATTATAATACGATCGATACGACTAGACGGGATATATTGAGAGCATCATTGGTTTAATGGTATAATAGCCGGTTGCCATCTGGCTGACCCGGGTTCGATTCCCGGATGATGCATTTTGATTTCATGGAAATGCTAAAGTAATAAATTGTAGACTGGCCTCTGTTTCTAATAAATCAGTCGTGTGCTGACTACTATCAAGAGTTGAATTATTCATATTGCATATAATTTAATCTAAATGCACTGGGTGTTTCTCTCTGGATGACTCTTGAGCATCACAATTATCCAAATGAGCTTTCTTCTCTCTTCCTACCCCTCATGCGTACAACTTCGAGTTTTTTCAACACTTCTGCATCACCATGCATCAGGTATCCTTGGTAGAAGTCTTGTAGCGACTCAGCGCTGTGCAAACACCCAACTGCCTTTTCAAAAACATACAAGTCGACAGCCTTGTCTTCATCTTTTAATGAAACACTCGACAGTCCAAAGTCTATCACATAAGCTTGGTCTCCAAAAATGAAATTCGACGTCGTTAGATCTCCATGCACTATGTTTTCACAATGAAGCTTGCCTACAAGAATGCCTACCTCGTAGAATAAGCGTTTATGATCAACTGCACTGCTCAACTGCTCTTTCATTGTCTTTCCTATTATCCTTTGCATCACAATTGTGTTCTCACTGACCTTGATTAACTTTGGACATGCAATCCCAAGCTTGTTCAACTTTTTCATGATATTCGCCTCCCTCTTCGTTCTGCTACGGATTATCTTCCTATCCAACTCTTCAATTCGGTATTCTTTCTTCATTCTTTCTTTTATAACAACATCTCCATCAATATATACGCTTGACTCTGCGCCAAGAGAAAGAAACTGCATATCAGGGTGTTCTGCCAAAGTCCTTCTTTGATCAAATGCCACAGCCATGCATAAAGCAGACAAAAACTCTCATTGGCCTTGCACACATAAACATAGCGCATCATCTCAAACACTGACTCCTGATCTGCTGATGATCTCATCGATCGCCGACATCTCACACCCATCGCCAATCTTCTCAAGAAAGGCCACCTCTTTCTTAGATTTCATCACCACAATACAATGCCAATCACATGCATCAAACTCATCATCAGTGGGATCACTAAGAATACATCCTTCCACCGAACAGTACAAAAAGCATTTTGGCAGAAAATTCATGCTTACTCCAATAGCAGACAGTGCTGCATTCACTCCAGCAATCGCAATGCTGTAAACATTCCCGTCAATCGACAAAAACCTAAAATCAACATGCACCCGCATAACCTCCTTGCCAGCCTTAACACACATACCTTCAAGATCAACACACTTCTGCTTAACATATACCATGTTCAAAAACCATAAGAGCTTCTCATGCCTTCTACCAGCCATAGATGCAAAAAACCCTACCACTCCCTCTCTGGGCTTATCTACATAGGGCTTGGCTACATCAGATTGGAACACAACCTGTACACGTGTATTCCCCATCGACAAAAGCAACGAGCTTGTGCATCTTTCGATCTCTATTAGTCTTTGCTCATCTATTCTTCTGTAGTCAAGTCTCTCTCCATCAATTGCTAATTTTTTCACAATCATCAGGGCAACTGGATACTGCACTGAGATGAATATGCACTTACACATTGCACCAGCAATTATAATCCACTACAGCATCGCCGCATCATATTGTTTGTGCTTACAATGACGCTGTAATGTTTGTATCTATGGCTGCATCACCATAAACAAATGCAAATGATTTTCGTATTCATGGCCATCGCAATGTGTAGATTAGAAGTTGCCGCTGTACATTTCCGAACGCCCGATGGGCACATTCTCTTGCCGGAGCACATTCCATCGACACCAGTCCTGTTTATGGAGTTTGAGGCATTTTCAAGAAAGTTCAGGCTCATGCTTACAGACTCGTCGCATTACATCAATGGCATTACAATGAAGAAAAGCCTGTGCGACTTTTCAATATCATCCCAATCTGAAGACGACTGCTACGGCTCTTTGTCGTTCTGTGCAGAAATCAGTGGTAGATTTGTTTTGCACCAATACATATACACTATCAGATCAACAGCAGCCAACAGCATTCATATACACCAAGCAGAATACACAGCACATCATCCAAATGCAATCACTGAGCTGAAAACAGCCACATTACCGGCTAAGGCTACAAAGTACCCACAAAAGACATTGCAAATCTTCCTGATCAATGACTTTGAGCGTGTTCAAGAAGTCGGCCCTGGCATTAACCACAAAACGGTGCAAATGTTTAATATCTCAAAAAGCATACTTGAAAAAAACAAATGGAAAAGGTACAGCATAAACCTAAAATTGAACGGAATACTAAATGTGGTGCATTCTCCATTGGCTCAAAATCAACCAAATACACATTCGACTCAAACAATACTTGAAGATCGAACTGAAGGGCTCGAACAAATTGACAACATCAGAGCTTTACATACATTCAGTGGCATGTTTAGATCAGTCGACAATAAAAAAGATGTAGTGGAAGAGCTGCTAGACCAGGCAGGTCTGATTGTTCTTCTCCAACCATCTGGACGCATTGTCAGCGGATTAACTTTTGCTAACGGGTTTGGATCCTCCGATAGAAGATTCAGCATAGTCAGGATATCAGGCACAGATTCCTACTTCCACCAGGGGAGAATTCTGGCACATGAAATAGCACATTCAATCGGTGCAGATCATGAACTGTGTGGGATGTGCCTGATGAAACCGGAAGCAAATCCTGTTGGCAATGAGGATGATGTGTTTCTGAGCAGTGAAGCCATAGATGCTGTGGAGCACTTTCTGTATACAAGCAACATTCACACTGATGCAGCCAACACATGTGGAAATGGATTGATAAGTGATGATAAGGAATGTGACTCGGGCTTGTATGGTGGATCACTATGCTGCACAAATAAGTGCAAATTAAGGCCTGGGATGCAGTGCGATGGCTGAAATTGAAAACTCAGAAAGGCATGCACCTGCTACTAACAGTATCCTCAATCTTGCTTGAAATACTATATGGTTTATCAAATATTTATTAGTCGTAATATTCCATATCAAGTCTTTAAAGCAGATCTATGCCAAGGTGCCATATGCGCTAAATTAGACCCTCTGCTTCAACAGTAAGATATCCAATCGTCTTGAGCATGCTTTCCTCAAAGTCTGCCCACACACTTCCAAATGCTTTACCAAATGCAGATATATCACCAGGCTCTAAAAGATGCGATTTGTACTTCAAAATACTAAACAAGATCCTTTGAGTGATGTCAACTGCCGTGCTCATGTGTGGCATCATCAAACTCATTATCTTCAATACATCTTGTTTGCAAAGTCCCTTTATCCATTCTTCATCCATCAGCCTCTCCAGTACTTGCACCACGGATGCAGCAGATTCATCATTTACCACATTCGATGGTTGATGTAATCCTCTAATCAGTAAAAGATCCGAGCACAGGTTACATCTTTCCCTCTTCCATACCTCCTCCCGTTTATCGCTGCTTGCCTTGAACATCGTGAAGTCTACCACATCCTCCTCTGACCTGTTGCACTGCAAAAACAACATCTTGTTTGAAAACAGAATCAAATCGTTGTTTTCTGATGCAACAAGCAAGAAATCCATATCCGGAGAAAACCTGACAAACCTTGCATTCACATCCATCTCAAGCATATCAAGACGTATAGACGTCACTATATCATATACAGTCACCTTATTTCCACACAGAATTGCTATCCATCTCGAATCACTGGATATTCCATAATCAATCACCTCCTCATTCATTGCAAACACTCTAGAAATCCCATCCTCATATAAAACAATTCGATTCTGCATCCTTATCACCACAAAGTTCTCAACCAGTTTGATCGACCGGATCCCTGCACACTCATACTTCGACCTCATCTCACCATTCATCGAATAAAAATACAAGCCAGACACAGTGGCAACAACTATCTGCTCTAAATCCATTGCTATATCAACAAGATCCTCTCCCACACAAAATCTAGCATGCACCAGCTTTGACCTGAGATTTATCAGAAAAACCTTATCCTTTCCGAAACAACAGAAGTCCTTGTACACTGCAAGACATTTGATATCCTTCCTGAGAACAAGTCTAGACCTCTTCTCGTTAAACTCAAGAGCATGAAGCTGCTTGTTTCCAAAACACACAGCATTGTGGTTCACATCCATTATCTCGACTGCTCCCTTGAACTTGAACATGAAGCTCTGCTCATCTTTGTAAATGTTTGTGCTAAACACACTTCTTGGGCCAAAAAGAAGTACACTGTTTCTGCTAACAAATTCCATCCCAACAATCTCCCCGTTATAAACACTCCTTCGTTTGATCAACTCAAGAGTGTAGTTCTTTATCTCATAAATACTTATTGCATTCTCTGTGGACAACACCATAGACTTGTTGTCAAGAAATCGTGCACTTATTACTCGGCTATATCCCCTTACATCAGCATCTTCATCGGCATCATAGTTCCTCTTTCCTCCTGCTGTCAAGCCCTTCACACTCATCATCTTCCTCCTGTCATCTAAATCAAACACTGCCATTTCAGCATCGCTAACTGCTACTAATGAGTTTCCTCCAAAACTCAACTCATTCACCCTTCCATTCATCTTCAACGAGAAAAGCATCTTGTCAGACTTCAGGTTAAAAATATGGATCGTCCCATCTTCTAGCCCTATCCCCGCAACATCAATAACACTGCTTTGCTCTATCACGCTTATCATCGACTCAAACGCCTTATATGTATATATAACCTTCCTAGACATCACATTGAACAGAACCATCTGTCCTCCTTTCAACACCTTGATCACCTTGTTCACATACGTGTGTGGGTGAAAAAGCTTTACTATGCCTTCGTGCTCAATCTTGTACATCTCGTTCAGATCATCCGTCACAACCAGCTCGTTCTCCTTCAACAGCAACAGCATGCTTCCAAACCCAATAATCTGCTTCACAACCCGATTGCTGCCCTCCTCTGCAACCTTCACCCTCTTGTTGGACTTTCCACTGCCTTCGTGCAGTACAACACTCCTGATCACCTCTCCACGTACAGTAACATACACTTTATTGCCCGAGCACACATACACAATACCGTTATACTGATACCCACAGTCAACCCTACAGAGCATCGGCCCACAGAACAGCAGATTCAGCCTGCTTGCGTCATAAATCAAATACCCATTCTCTGTCATAGACACCACATGCACCGTGTCGTCAACCTGTTGTAGCATCAAAGCATGCTCAGATGTCATCCGATTCACCACACGGTACTTCTTGAACAGATCAGACTCGCCATGCCTCATCCTAAGGGCAAAATTTTAGTATTGCAAATCACATGCCCATGGATAGAGAAGACGGTGGATACATCCACAGCTCTCCACGCAAGGAGTTCCTGGGAATAAAGACACTCAGGTCGTTCACCATGAAGCAGATCAGCAGCTGCGATTTCGAAGAAGCATCATCAACACACCACATTGACTCGGCAGAGGTCACAAACATCCAGGCAATCGGGTGGGTTACCTCATCAAAAACATCTGCTACCGGATCTGTATTTACGCTGCAGGACGGCACCGGAAAAGTCGACTGCTCCTTCTGGCCAAACAGTTCATATGAAGAAGACCAGTCAAAACTTCTTCAGGATGGAGCGCTTCTCAAGGTAAATGGATCTCTTAGGACATTTAGCAGCAAGAGAAGCATATCTGTATCGAATCTTTCGGAAGTAACAAATCGAAACTTCATCATCTACCACTTCCTGAACTGCATCCACCAACATCTTTTCTATACAAGACAGCTCCACAGGGACGACGTAGTAAGAAGCGAAGGAATGAAAATGGAAAAAATCCAGGAGGACATTCTTGAGTGCTATAGGAAAAATCAAGACGAAAACGGGCTTCACATCAATGTGGTGATCAAAATGCTATCTTCCAAGTACTCTGAAGGCAGCATTAGAGAAAACATCGATGCTCTATTGAGAGATTGCCATCTATACAGCGTGGACGGGATGGAATATAGAACAACAATATAAAATGCTTATTTTACTATATTTCTTATGCTTATACATGCTAACAAGTTTTCAATACACAATATATCTGTATTGTTGTTTATTTTAAGCTAGCAGTCGTCCTGGATTCCGCTGAGATCCAATCCTTTTACATGCGTGTTGGTTATCCTAATTCTTCTTTTGTTTCTCTTGCTTCGGTTTATCTTTATCATCGACCTCTTCTTGATGTTTTCGGCTTTTTCGGTCTTGAGCCCTGCTGTATTCAGCTCTTGGATCAGATCATGATATGTGCCTATCCGCACCTGATTCCACAAGCTTTTTATCTGTGCATCTGTTGGTTCCTCAGCCAGTTCGTTCCAGAACACGATTTCAGAGCCATCCATATCGCACAAGACAATTACCTCCTTCCTTGCCTTCAGATCCTCAAGAAACGGAGAGGCATCGACCGGAGAATCCATCAGCTTGCTCATTTCAAGCCCCTCTTCTCCATTGAGATTCTTCACAACCTTTCTCATGTCATCGACACTTCTGATAGAATACAGAGGCTTAAACATCAACGAGTTCTGTGTGGCAACTATCCTCGGATTCTTCTTGATCAGCTGCAAAAGAGTGTGGTTGCTGTACAAATCGATGCGTGTCTTCTCTTTGATCTCATCGAATAGCAGTGCTCTGTCGTATTGCTTGAGCAGGCTTATGACAGAGTGTATATATGTGTTGGTGTGCCTCTCAAGCCCAATCGAATCGGTCCCGAAGTGATCCAAGCCCATGGCGTGGGTATTGCATTTGTGATTTTGTGATTCTGACCGCATCCAATGCACGCTCGCTTACCAGAAGTGTCGCATGAACGAAGCCCATATTGAAATGTCATGGGACGAGCATAAAGTAACAAGCATTGACCTGATAACAAACGACCCAGTTGTAAACGAGGAGTCGATCAAGGAGGAGTTCCTGAGGTTTGTGGAGACATTCAAGACACACAAACGAGAGTATTCGCATGTGCTGGCATCGAACATCAGCCAAGACGACTTTTCTCTGAGTGTGAAACTGGAGCACATCTACCAATACTCCGATATGCTGTCTCAGGAGCTGTACAGAAGGCCAGAGAAGGTTATTGAGTGGTTTGAAGAAGCGATTGCAGGAAAGTACATAGCAAACAGGATGAAGGGATTCCAGCTTCGTCTTGTATCTGGCGCCAGATGCACGCCGATCCGCGAGGTAAATGCGTCTAAGACAAACCGAGTAGTGAAAATCCAAGGGATTGTTGTTTCGGCATCTTCGGTCATCACCAAGCCAAGAACTGTGTATATTGTGTGTAAGAACTGCCTTACAAGCAAAGAGGTAAGTGATGTGATACCGAGGAGTTGCGAAAAGGCAGAGTGCCCAATAGATTCGTTTATGGTTGTTCCAGAAAAGAGCCAAGTTTTCGACATGCAGTATGTGAAGATTCAGGAGTTCTTTGAAGACATCCCAATAGGAGAGACGCCGAGACACTTCAGCCTGGTGCTCGAAAAAGGAATGGTGAACAGTCTTGTTCCTGGAGCAAAGGTTGTGGTTACTGGGATATACTGCATGAGGATGGTTAGAGAAAGCTCGTTTCCTGTTATTAAGGTAGTGGGGCTTGAGCACGAAAGCCAAAAAAACCCAAAGATGTTTACTGAGGAGGAGGAAGAGGCGTTCCGAAAGCTGAGCAAGGAGAATGCATATGAAAAGATATCGAGGTCGATTGCGCCATCGGTATACGGGCATGATGATGTGAAAATGGCACTTGCATGCATGCTTTTTGGAGGAACAAGGCGGGTTCTTGAGGATAAGGTTTCTCTAAGGGGAGACATAAATATCCTGCTGCTAGGAGATCCTGGCATGGCAAAGTCCCAGCTTCTGAAGTTCATGGAGCTTGTTGCTCCAATAAGCGTATACACAAGTGGAAAGGGAAGCTCGGCTGCGGGGCTTACAGCAAGTGTGATACGAGATAGCAGTGGAGAGTTTTATCTTGAAGGAGGTGCATTGGTGCTTGCAGATAATGGAATATGCTGCATTGATGAGTTTGACAAGATGAATGAGCAAGACAGAGTGGCAATCCATGAGGCGATGGAGCAGCAGACGATATCAATTGCAAAGGCTGGCATAACAACGATGCTGAACACCAGAACGAGTGTTCTGGCAGCAGCCAATCCTGTGTTTGGTAGATATGATGATTACAAAACACCCGAGGAGAACATAGAGTTTGGAGCGACTATACTGTCAAGGTTCGACTGTATTTTTATTCTGAAGGATAAGCACGGGCCGAATGACATTACGGTTGCAAAGCATGTTCTTTCTGTGCATCAGAACAAGGGGAAGGAGGATGCACCTGAGCTTGAAGGGCTTGGGTGTTTTGAAGATGACAGGCGTGATGAGACAAAGGACAATTCAGAAGCACTGCCTGTGCATATGATAAGGAGGTACGTCCAGTATGCAAAAAGCAAAGTGTTTCCTGTTCTTTGCGAGGAGGCTTCGAGGAGACTATCAAGGTATTATGTAAGTGCGCGAAAAGAAGCAAAGCAGCTCGAAGATAACGTTTTGAGAAGGAATTCTATTCCAATAACAGTAAGGCAGTTGGAAGCAATCATCAGAATAAGCGAATCTCTAGCAAAGATGGAGCTAAGCACAAGAGTTACTGAGAAGCATGTCGATGAAGCAATACGTCTTTTCCGGGCAAGCACCATGGATGCTGTTTCGCAAGGTCATATGCTGGAGGGAATGATGCGGCCAGATGTGATTGATGCGATTGAGGATATATGCAACAAGATAAACCAGTTTATACCAATAGGAGGATCTATACGATATAGTGATTTGGTTAGAAAGCTGAGTGGAAAGGACGAGTGGATGTGCAAGAAGGCAATTGAGTACATGTGCAAACAAGAAAAGCTGGTTCTTAGAGACATGGGCAAAATATTGATAAGACAGCCTTGATTAAAGTTGCATTGAAGTTATTTATCTACGGTATATTATGTGGAATCCGGATGGGGTTGGCACTGGCCCTATCATTTCTCCTCTCTTCAATGAAAATGCAGGCTTTTCGAACTCAGGCATCATTTCGTTTCCACAAACTATTCCAAGATCGCCTCCTCTTTTTGCAGAAGAGCACTGGGAGTATTTGAATGCATATTCCTTGAATGTGTCCCTGAAGTTGTGATCATTTATTCTGCCTTTTAGCTCCTGGTGTATCTTGCTTATTTGCTGCAAGGCTTCCTCAATGCTTGTCTCAACAGGCTTTCGAGAATCCTTGTGCTTTATCAGTATGTGGTATAATCTGAAGCCGTCTTTCGGGCGTACTTCGCTTTTTTCCTGTGTGGCTGTGTTGTAGAAGTACACGGTGTTTTTGTCTCTGTTGCTGAGCCTTATCCACATCAAGGGAGGACTGAGTACACGAATATTGCATGTTTATTTTGCATGCACGATATCCCTTGCTGCAATGATCATCCCAATCAGATGCTTTACATGTGGAAAGGAGATATCTAGCAAGTGGGAGTCATACCAAGATCTTCTTAAGATGAATAAGACAGAAGCCGAGGCGTTGGACGAGCTTGAAATGAAGCGGATATGCTGCCGAAGAATGTTTCTCGGACATGTGGAAATTGTAGACAAGCTACTTGAGTTTGATGTCATAAAAGACTTTTCATCAAAGGCATGAATGATAAGTTCTAGCAATGCATAGCGTACTTCATGTAATAAAAGCTAAGCAAGAATGAACCTGGCGATGCACACTCGGCAGCTTAACTCATTATTGTGTATGCTGGATGCATATACCACAATTGCTATGCCAGATCCACATCAACCATCTTCAGAGCTACTTTGATCCACTCAGGAACAACCTCAAACTTTTTCGACATGAAAGACCTAATAAACTCAGGATAACAGTCACCATATATAGCCTCTCTTATTCTTCTTGTAAGGTTTCTCATATAATGCAAGTTATGAGCTGTAAGCAGCATGCAGAAGTTTGTGGTTCCCTTGATTGACCATAGAAATGCTCTTGAGTATTTTGTGCATGTAAAGCATTCACAGCCATCATCAATCTTCCTCATGTCAAGCACAAGCTTTGACGAAAAGCAAACATCGCCTGTGTCTGAAAATCCCCTTCCAAATCTAGCTGTTCTTGTTGGATACACACAATCCGACATGTCGCTTCCGAGTGCAACAGATACAACAATGTCTTCAGGATAGCCCACTCCCATCAAATATCTTGGAATGCTTTCTGGGAGATGCCTTATACAGTAGTCGACAATCCTTGCAAACTCTGTCTTTTCTTCGCCACCACTCAATCCTCCAATTGCAACTCCTTTTGGCAATCTTTTGAGGATTTCGTTGATACTTTCCAGTCTTAAATCCTCATGCAAGCCGCCTTGGATTATTGGGAATAGTATTTGCTTGCTATGCTCATTGATTTCTATATGCGGGGTCCCTTCTCGCTTAGCTCTCTTTTTGCCTTGTATGTGAATGCCTACCCCTGAATTAACCGTCTCAATGCATCTATCAAGCCATCTGATCGATCTTCTCATCGATGCCTCAACCTTGTTTCTTTCATCGCATGGATTCACAACATCGTCGAGCTGCATTATTACATCGGCGCCTAGCTCTCTTTGGATTTTCATACTGTCCTCAGGCGTAAAGAGCTTCTCTGCAAAAAACACCCCGTCTTCAGACACACTCACATCACGAAGACTTCCTATTTGAAATCCACCCGAATCAGTCAGCATGCCCTTGCCATAAGACATAAACTCTTTGATATTTTTCTTCAAATTACGTAAGTGGTAGGTATTCGCCAATATCATGCTTTCCTTGATATCCACAGTGCGAACTCCTTTCAACGCACCGTATGTTCCTACAGGCATGAATATAGGCAGCTCTAGATTTACATCGTTCAGCTCAAGCTCAGAGATTCTTGCGTTTGTCACATTGCATTTCTTCTTTATTTTGAAATCTCCCAGCATAGGGTGTGGCTCAAGATACATCAATAACAGTAAGCTATGCAAACAGAACTGAATGTGTTTCCCAACACCTTTGTATTTGTTACGCCTAGTATACTATGCATTACACTGCCATCCTACCGTCTGCACCTTATATCATTTATGCTTCCTCATCTATTCAAGAACCCAAATACAGACGGCTTTTTGCTTCTCTTAGCCATGAGATTAGTTTTTGAAAGATTGCAATTGCAATTCCTGTTGTGGGTGTTGTATGCGCAGATGCACAATGGCTTGCTGATGTCTATATTCATGCGTGCCAAATCATTGCAAACCTCATCAAACCCTTCACAGTCATTCAGTGCGTTGCATGCTGCAAGCATGTTGTTTTGCACTTCTAACGTTGCCTTATCGAGATGATTCGAGAAAGTTCCCTTCATGGTATTTTTCTTCCAACCACCATACATCTGCCTGGCATATCTCATGCAAACAGAGCTAATCTCTGGTGTTCCACACTTAGTGCACAACGCACAGATTGCAGACAGCATGTATACAACCACGTCTTGGTATTTGCTCAAGCGATCTATCGCTCCATCCATTGCATTGAGAGCCGAAGCCAGACGATTCTGTGGAAGCTCGGAGATCCTATGCATGATGCTTTCAAGTAATGCACAAATCGATTCTGGCTCTCCCCTGCCAACTACACTTTCTACAAGCACTGCAAGCCTGTCTATCCATTTGCAATCATTCGTATCTCTCAGTGCATTCATGCACAAAACACAGACTTTTGAAGTGCTGATAATATTTGTGTTCGAGTGGGTCTCATATATCAGCCATCCATCCTCATAATGCTTGGATTTTACACAGAGTTCAAGCATTGAGTTGTCCATCGCGCTGATTTCATGCATTCTGTTTGCAGCCCAGACATCAAGACACTCGCTCCAATACACGCTTTTTTGCCGAGCAGACACCCATTCATCCAGCTCAATACCTGATGCAAGCATGTCCGCATGCTCTTCAAGATACTCATTTATTTGATTCTGTGTAAGTGTGCTATCCACGAATGCATATCCTTTGAAGTCGTTTATCAATGCAGCCGTGGACACATTTGAGTCTGAGCTCATGCTAAGCAGTAGCGCAAGCTTGAATATTGGATATGTTATACTGTGCTTCTTGAGCACTTTGAAGAATCTGATCGATTCGTTTCGTCTGAACAGCATGATCATCAACACCTCCAGATGATTGGTGCAGAGTGCAATGCCTGATTCGCCCAGCTTTTTGCAGTACCTGTATGTTATTGACTCTATTTCTTGCTCGCAATTGATTTTGATCGTCTTGTCAACGAAGTTTTCCTTGAATGTAGCAATAAGCTGATCCTTCAGGATCTCAGAATACATTTCGTTAGTGCTTTTTCTATACGCCAGAACACCGAGCACGTTTGCAACGCCCTTTTTTGCTATTTTATGCATTATGAACTTCTCGACACTGAAGAGCACAGACAAGTCTGTCTCGTGAACATGCATGATGTGGCTTATAAGACACGAAAGAGCACATCCGTATACCTTGAACATATCGTGGAGGTTGTGTATGGACACAGAATCCTGGCAAAAAGCGCATTCCACGTCGTTTGCTTTTGGAAAAGATGCCAGAAGACAAACCATCTCCATAAATGTTTTTCTTTCCAAAGGTTCAAAGAGACACTCACTGTATGAAATATCCTTCTCGATATCCATATCTATGTGCAGTATTTACCTGTGCTATTTATATCCTTGAAAACATTGGCTTGTCAGCAATCATCAATTGCATGACGTGCTTCAGGCTGTGAATCGCAAACAAATTGTTGACACCATTCATGACGATGCATCATGCCATCAATGCATGCAAATATAAGTTATACCAGAGATAATAAAAATCAGAGAATGATAGCATTATGTTTATTGGCCAGCCAGGATATTATCTAATTCTTCGATATCTTTATCAAGCTCTTCTAAAATTACAGTGGTTTTGCTTGATGCATCTGATGTATCGATATTGCTTGCTTTATTCTTTTTAGGCGACTTATTGACGCTATGGCCATCCTCAAGCTGATGCTTGCTCATGCATTTATCCGTCGGAATCTTGGAGGCATGGAATGGCGTTGGATCAGTTTGCTGTATTGCGCTTGAATCATGTATTAAGGCCGTCTCTTTTGCACTAAACTTGCCATGCTCATTACGGATCCTGGCCTCGCCATTCTCTTTTTCCATACTTATGCTCTTTTTTTCTTCTGCTGCTAACTGACACTCTATTTCTTCCCCACATTCCCACGAATTGCCTCCAGAAAAATTGTTAATGTGATTCATATCGCTTTGAATGCCTGTACAGATAGCACCATCAACCATATCCTCATAGTCCTTCAATGACGTGGTATCCGTAGATGCACTCCCAAAAGCCATTGTATTTGCTGTGTATTCATGCGGTACATCACTTCCGTGATCCAAGGCATCGCATACTTTGCTCTTGGGTATGCTTTCCATATTTTGTGCCGGCAGATTGCTCTTCCATGCGTCTTTTGATGGATCCACGTGCCTATACTCGCATTTGACCTTGGTACATCCACTTGGCTTGTCTTCCCAGTAGCACATCTCTTCACGACGATTCTTTTTGCAGTGATATTCAGAGTGGCGAAACGGACACTCATCTTCACATGCACCTCCGGCCTTCCAGTTTTTGCACGTAGCCATATTGCTCCTACAGATTTCGTTATGCCGATGTACACACTTTTCTCCAAACTTGCACTCCGAGTACAAAAAGAAATAGCAATCATCAACCATCACAGGGCATGAAAATCAGCCGATTTACAAGCACCAGCCTAACAGACAGCATGCCAAGAAAATTGTTTATTATGAATACGAATCTCCATTTCCCTTGCGTGCAGTATCCAGAGATGCTCATCATGCCGAGGAGTATTGCAGATTTCCAGGAGTAGCTTTCATTCTGCAAAAGCAGGCGGCCTGCTATCTTATCGCACACGACTTCCTGAACAAATGCCTAATAAAGTCTTGCCACAGCCCATAGTAGACTAGCACATTCATAAATATTATTGTGTAGAACATCTAGGGCCGTGCATAGTCGCAATCATATTGCATGTCAAAAGGAGAACTCTTTAATCGGCACATGTGCATTTTTATTATTCAGCGGATGAATGAAATCGCTAGCTTCGAAGTTGCCTTCCTGAGTACAGTATGGGTGAGAAAACAATCACTGCGCTTGAGCAGGGCTGGCAAAAGCACAAGTGAGCAAAAATAAGAATCCCCATAATGGAGGAGAAATCAAAACTCAAGTACCTTAGTGCACTGGAGAAAGAAAGGAGTGCCAGAGCAGATGTATGCAGTGGAAGGAAGTTTTTTATTACGTTTCCATATCCGTATATGAACGGGAAGCTGCATCTAGGACATTTGTTTTCAATATCAAAGGCAGATTTTTTTAGCTACTACAAGGAGCTTCAAGGATACAACGTGCTGTTTCCGTTTTCTTTCCATTGCACAGGCATGCCAATAAGTGCATCTGCAAAGAAGCTTGAGGATGAGCTTAATGGAAAGGCAGTAGATGTGTCTGTCAAGAAGATAATCGAAGGCTTTGAGTTTAAGGATCCAGAGCCGTTTACAGATCCGATGCATTGGATAAGGACGTTTCCTGGCCTTTGCGAGAGCTCTTTGCGGAAGTTCCATGCAAACATTGACTGGAGAAGGTCGTTTATAACCACAGACTTGAATAAGTACTATGACTCGTTTGTGAAGTGGCAATTCAACAGGCTGAACAGGCTGGGGTATCTGTCGTTTGGGAAGAGGCACTCAATATTTTGTCCTGTTGACGAGCAGCCATGCCAGGATCATGACCGTAGGAAAGGAGAGAACGTAAAGCCCGTGATGGCGATTTTGTGCAAGCTAAGGTTTGGCGGGGGCGTTCTTCTTTCAAGGATGAAGGAGGGATGTGTTCCAGGCAAGCTGATTGTTGGATGGAAGAAGGAGATGGTTGGTTTTGAATACAATGGTGTGAAATGCTTTGCAGAGAGAAATATTTTTGATAACATACGAATGCAGGCAGGTGTTGATGCAGCTGATGGAGATACAGGAAGGAGTGGCAGCGAGGTACCGAGGAATATTGATATTACAAATCTTTGCAAGCATATGTTTATGGTGTTTGGCAGAGAAGTGAAGTGTGAAGTCATTGAAAAGGATCTTGGATGTATTGTGAAGGGGATGCAGACTGATGCGGACGAGAAATGCATCGATACGATCAAAAGGGAGTTTGAGTTAATACAAAAGATGGAGGATAGCGATGGAAGGCTTGCAGAGACAGAAAATTTCATCAGATTCTATGAGCCCGAAGACGAGGTAATAAGTAGATCTGGAGGGAAGTGTGTGGTTGCACTAACGGATCAGTGGTATGTGAACTACCACGATGAAAAATGGAAGAAGGAAGTGTGGAAATGCATGGAGAGACTGGAATGTACCGAGGATACAAGGAAGATTCTTGAAGAGGCACATGGATGGATAGGCAGATGGGGATTCTCTAGGTCGTTTGGACTAGGCACAAGAATACCTTGGGATGAAAAATACCTGATTGACTCGCTTAGCGATAGCACGATCTACATGGCAATGTATACATTTAAGCACTTTCTTTACAGTGATCTGGAGGGGAAGGAGGAGATATTTCCAAGCATGCTGCTGTCGGACGATGTGTGGAATTACATTTTCTTGAAGAGAGAAATAACGCCTGAGCTTGCACTGCATGAAGAAGTGCTAAAGAAGTGCAGAGAGTCTTTTGAATACTTCTATCCAGTGGACCTACGTGTCAGTGGGAAGGATCTACTAAAGAACCACCTTGTGTTTTTTCTGTTCAACCATGTTGCGCTGTTTGATGAAGAATACTGGCCTCGGAGGATATTTACGAACGGGCATTTAATGCTGAATTCTGAAAAAATGAGCAAGAGCTCTGGAAACTTCCTGACGGTCGATGAGTCTCTGAAGAAGTTTGGGGTGAGCTCCACAAGAATGTGCCTTGCAGTATGTGGAGATGGAAATGAGGACGCAAACTTTGTGGAGTCGAATGCTAACTCTTTTGTTCTGAAGCTGCATTCGTATGTTAGGCAGATCGAGGAGCTGTGTTCAAACAGCACAGACAGGCTGTGCATCTCTAAGATCATCAGTGAGTATCCAGAGATGGGATTTGCAGACAGATTCCTGATACAGACCATTTCTGCAAATGTTTCATGCACTATCCGGGCACACGAAGAAATGATGTATCGCGACGTAGTGAAGTATGGATTCTATGAAATGATACATGCAAAGGAGATGTACCACATACTTGGAGGGAAGAGTGCTTCTCTTGTTATTCTGCTGTACAAATCAATCTCACAGCTGCTCTATCCGATAACGCCATCACTATCCAGGCATCTTATTGCAACCTACTTTGATTCTGACTTTTCGCTTCCTCCTGTGTTTGTATTGGACACGGATGAAATCGATGCAGTAGCGTATCTCAAAAGCACACTAAGAAAGCTGGCTTTACAAACGAAAAAGAAGAAGTATTCAAGTGTGGAGATTTTAGTGGGAGTGGAATACACAGAGTGGAAGAGAAGATGCATGGGCATAGTTGATCAGATTCTATGTGAATGCAAGCTTGCAGATATCAACATTTCTGATGAGATTAAAAAGCCAGACTCACTCCTGCTTTCCAAAGTCATAAGCTCATCAAAAGAGGTTCTTAAGGAGTTTGGGATCCCTGAACAGAGGGGAATATCATTCTCAATGGACTACCTTGCTCGTCCAGAGTGCTACACAACAAAGTTCAATGAGTACAAGGTCTTGGAGTCTTACAAGCACTATATTGCGGACAATGCAGGCATGGAGGTGTTTATTTGTGTTAGCTCCAGAGCAGACCCTGGGAATCCTCTATTTGAGTTCAAATAAAGTGTTTTATGCATTTTTATATCGCTTGTAGATTCGCAAGGCAAATGTTTCAGCTTGTGTTATTGGCACCCCAATGGCTATAGATCAGTTCTTCATAATAAACAAGTCTGGAGGAATGGTATTTAGGTATGAAAAAAGAGGCTGCACGGAGATAAACAATCTTTTAGTATTAACAAGTTCTTTATATTCAACATGCATGATCTCCTCAAAAATAACAGGTAGGCCAACATCAAAGCAAGTCATCTACTTCAAGAATAGAACAATATCGATATTTAAGACATTTTCAAGCACAATGTTTGTTTTTGTCGGCAAAAAGGTTTCTGATTTGGCTTTCAGCAGAGTTTATGCACATTACTGTGAGTACGTAACAAGAAATCCTTTCCATAATCCAGAAATGCCCATCCATTGCTCAAAGTTCAAGCCTCACCTTTTTTTCGACGAATAAGGCCCTATGCTTTATATTTGTTGCTATGCGGCTTAAGAAGCACAACGTTGTGCACGTTGTATGGAAGAAACAGTTTGCATTCAACTTAATGTAAAGATGCGGCCAAATAGATATCTTGTGCGAGTGTGCTTTATAAACCAAAGAAAAATGTATTTGGATCGAGCTCACCCTTATGATCCAGCTTTTCTTCAAAGCATCTGTATTTCTCGCTATCCATCTTGGCCATTATTGAGGCAAAATCAGATATCTTTTCTATTGAATGTGTATTCTCATATATTTCGCTAAGAACATCCAGATCCTCATTAACCTTCAGTGGCTTGTTCGATTTGAATACAAAAAAACTCCTTTCCTCGTTTGTTTCGCAATGAATCTCTGCTTTTTTGTTTGTGCTGATCACCATGAATGGTAGATAGAGCCTGTCAAGATGTGTATCTTCCGAAGACAAGTTTCTTTCCACAATGAACTTGAAGACTTTCTTCATTTCCTTCAGCTTCTTTATCTCCTCGCGCTTCTTTGCTACGTCGTCCTCCGTCCCAACCAAGAAGTATTTCTTTCCCTTCTTGTCAATCAGTCCCACAGCCTTCATAACGTTCAGAACGTCGTATATCCGTCTATTAAGGGTCTCTGTGTTTGGAAACACAATGTTCTTGCATATAAATTGGTATGTGCATGCCTTGTTTTCCTTGAGTAGCTGGAATACTGCTTGGGTAATGTACTTCAGGCCTTCTCTCCTGTTTTCAGAGCCATCCATCTCTGAGTTCGAGCATTTCATACCTTGGGATTAAAAATTGGTATGATTTGTTGCCATGCAGAAGCAGATAGATTAGTAGATCCGTTAGAGCTTCTGCTTTCGTACTTCATACTATATGTTAGATGATAATCATATGTTCGTTTCATTCCATATGTGCTCTCTATAGGTTTCTGCATACTCAATGTAGCATTTACAAAGTCAATATGAAACTTGCAATGCAAATCCAAGATCGATTGGAGACATCGAAACTCACGTGTTTGAGATAAAATTATAAATACTTCAAAAAGCTCATGCTCAACATGAAAGGTATCTCAAAGATCATTTCAGCTTCGATCATCATAATGAGGTTGGGCTCATCAAGGGCTGATCCTTGTGCTAGCAATCAGTTTGTTCAAATGCCTGTGGCAGTGCCATCTCAGGTTTTGACACCTGGAAGGCCAGCAGATGGGATATACAATTGCGGGATGGGCAGCACACCTCAAGTATTCTACCCAACCGCGAATGGATTGCCCACTGCTCCGGGAGCATTGCAGCCTGGCACTACAACGCCCACTACATGTGAGGTTTCTGTTGTGAAGAATTGCGAGGGCAACGAAGAAAAGCCAAAGGAGCCAGAAACAGTGATAGTGACTCCACCTCCAGAGACCAAAATTCCGGAGATAATCACTGTGCAGACAATAACCACTCAGGTTCCGCAGATGCAGACACCTGTAGTTGTGCAGCCTCCGGTTAATCAGCAGCCGAATGCGCCTGTTGTTGCATCACCTGTTCCGATTCAACAAATTCCAACGAATGGAGTGCCAGGAGTTGTTGGTGTTCCTATAGTTGGGCCAAATGGACAGCCAGGAGTTGTTGGTGTTCCTGCAATAGTACCTGATTGCAATTCTCTGACGGCTCCGGGTATGCCAGTAAATACGCTTCCAGGAGTATCAGCATGTGGCAATATGTCGACAATTACAGGCATGCCATCCTTTCCGGGTATGCCAGTAAATACGCTTCCCGGAGTATCAGGATATGGTAGTATGCCATCCGTCCCGGGTATGCCAGTAAGTACGCTTCCCGGAGTATCAGCATGTGGTAATATGTCGACAATTACAGGCATGCCAATGGTTCCAGAAGGAAGCATACCAGCAGTAAACATGCAGGGATTCAGTGGAGTGCCGACTGTGAATATTTCTGGCGCAGCAGGATGTTTTAACATGTCTACAACAACTTTACCAAATCCTGCAATTGGTAGTTCGTATGACTCAGATCTTCACATGCTTGGAGGGCCTTGTGATCTTGGCGAGGTTGGTAAATCAGGAGATGTTGCAAGTCTAGGGAATGCCGGATGCACTGTTGAAGTAAATCCAAGCCAATACACTCCTGCATCGCCTCCTCCAGTTGAGATAGGGCCATGTGCGCCTGAGACTGCAAGAGTCACATACGGTGGATTGCGACTTCCTGCCTCAACTTCATTTGTGAACCAAATCAAGAACTGTTCTACATCCGAGAATGCATGCGGTGATGTGTCACAATGTGGTGAGGCATCAAGCTGTCAATCTAGCTGCCAACAGACAAGCTGCTCAAGCTGAATAAAATGAGTTAATTATCAAATTCGACAGTATGTATATATTTTAAGCGCCAAGCCTTCGTTGCTGTCGAGTATACTAAGTGTATTATTTACATATCGCTAAGCGGCCATGCTTTTACGTCAACAGAGCATAAACACGTTCGCCAGTTATCAAAGTGGTTTGCAAGAGTTATCATCTTATGATTGATGCTCGTAAGATGGAAATTCATTTTCGTTGGTAGATGTTCTGTGATGATAACAGTAGTCAATCATTCATCTAGTATCTCCGCTTACATAGAGTCAAATAGACTTACAAAAGACAAGGATAAATATTTATATGCAAACTATAAATTGTTTGAATGCTGCTTTATTTACAGGTGATACTTGCTGATTATGCTTGCCTATATGGAATATGAAATCAAAATGCATCGATTTAAGTAATACACTTAATGCACTGAATAACTGGAAGAAACATCGTAGTTTCTATTTTGGTATACTAATAAAATCCACATCACAGATGCAGCTCGGTCATGTATTTATGTTCTCATACATGTTACAGAATGTATCGAGCGCTCCAATCACCTATGCATATCTGTAACGAAGCCAAAATGTGGCTGTGAGTGCAGCAGACTCAAACACGGATATGCAATGCGATTTGTTTGTTCTGAAACACAGCCGGCAGAATAAAATATAAAAACACACGATCGCCCGTTATTAAAGATGCTGTTGAGTTTCGCAGTTGTTGCCTTCGTAGGATCGTGCATTGCCACAGAAACAGCAATGGCAAAGCCAGTGACTTATCCTGCTATGGGTACACTTCCTTTGCAAACACAGCAAGAAATCATAATGCAAGCTTCAAAGAAGGGTAGTCAGTGTGCAATCATTGGTGCAAACAGTAGCGAGTGTGCAAGGAAATTGCAGAAGGAGCAGGCGGAAAAAGAGATTAAGGCCCAGACAGCTGCTACCACTGAATACCTTCGAACTTTGAATGCAAAAGCAGAAAGCCAATGCATTCACAACACACCAAATGGTTCGGATGTATGTGTTGAGCGTGAATTCATGAAACAGGCAGCTACAAAAGACAGATACACGATCTCCTCATATAAAAACGTTGTTATGCTGTATGACAACGACCTTCCTATTGCATTGGCCGTTAACGATCTTTTGAAAACAGTTCCTGTGAAGAAGCAGGAGAAGAAGCCTGATCCGTTGTCTGACAAGAAGGAGACCAGGAAAGTCAAACTCAACCAGTTTGGACAAGTTGTTGGATTGTCTGGCCCACCAAGTAAAGCTAAGGATAACTGTGTGTGCCCTAAGAAGTCTGACAAGCCAGGAAATGTCACATTCGAAATGAGTACAAGGAGCTGTGCAGATGCCTGTGCTTCTAAGAATATAATGTACGACGCAATGGTTCAGAACAATTCTCCGCAGGATGGGACTGAGTCTTCTAAGCCCAAGGAAGAAGACACCAGTCAAAACGCCACAGACAATAATGACTCCGGAAGCACCGAGCAGATCAGTGAAAACTAATACTCAATGAGAGGATTTGTAGGCCTTAGAGTCATTTTTAATAAAAATCACCCGGATTTTAAGTAATTTTATACAGCTATGTTGTCTGCGGTTAGACGTCTGTTTCATCTTGCTTGTTGTCTATCTTGCACTTATTAGATAGCGGATTCCTGAGTATCTATGGCAGTCCGTACTTCTTGCACATGCCAGAAGTTACTTGTTTCATTACTACTCAATTGAATAGTCTATCCGTATTTCTTTTCCTTTGATTGTTTGCCCCACAAGCTTCTTTTTTGTTGTTATAGCATCATCTAATGTCTCAAACTGAAGGAATCCATATCCCTTCGACACTTTTCTGTATTTGTCGTATACAATCACCACTTTATACTTCTGGACTTCACATACTTTTTCCTTGAGAAACTCTGTGACGTCCTCCTCCGTAACATATGCACCTAATCCAAATAGGCCGATTGCCTTTGAAGGCGCACCGTTTCTCTTTGCACGCAGTGCATTTCTGTCGCTTCTGTGCTGTAAATGCCCTTGAATAGTTTCGTATCTTGGCTCAGTACATTTTTGCATATCAGGATGTTGTTGTTCGGGCACAAATCTTTGTCTGTAGCTGCCTCCAGTGAATTGATTGTGTGAAAACGAGTGGCTATCCACTTTTCTCCTTCTTGGATCTTCATAATCTCCGATATGCTTGCTAATGCTTGGATGTTTGTACCCTCCATCGTTTGTGCCCCTATTGTGGTATGCATTGTTCCATGGTGTTTGTGTATTTCTTCTTGGATCCCCTCCTCTGTTGTGCCTTGGATTACTCTCCATTAGCAGGGTGGTGCATCAAGCGTGTTTTGGCTTCAATGCGCATGACTTGGGTAATAACACTCAAGTGATACGTGCCCATCAGAGAGGATGGACGAGATAAACTGCATTTTGAAAAGTGTGAATGGTATCGTCATGCAGGGCGAGTATGAAAGGGCGATTCTGCAGCTGCCTACAGACACAAGATATCTCAAGATCGCACTTGATAATATTGATGATCTTTTTGGCTGCAGCATGGATGGAGGAATATGCTGGCTGCTTGGCTTGCTTAGAAATCCATTTATGCTTGAAGTACGCCAAGATGTAGTTGAAAAGATTGCAAATATTCTATTAAAAGCAGCGGATGTCATAAAGACGAGAAAAATTGCGTTGAGATGCCTTGCCATGCTCGTTTATAAAACAAGTGCAAGCCATTATGTAGATGCAGATGATACTGAGTGTAGTATACATGGAATCAAAATATCAAAAGAGACGTACTATATGTTTCTGAAGTATCTTTCAGTGCTTGGAATGAAGATCGAGGTGAATGGCATTGGAAAAGATGATTCAGTCTGTGTTAAAATGTCAAAGATAAAGATAATGGCTGGGAATCCATGTGGTGAGGTTCTCAAAGCATTTTTTGAGCTGCTGAATGAAAGCGATACTCGGCTGGGATGGGTGCTGTGCAAGTCATTTGTCAAGGTCTGTATGCATGCAGATATGCCTACGGTGATTTCTGAGTTAAAGAAACGCTGCAAGGTGCTATTTGCAAATGAAAGCAGCTGGATAAATGCAATGACGATTCTTGGGATGCTTGCACTACATGGCGAAGATGTTAGAGATGTGCTGGATATTGTGGTTGAGGCTGGTGTGTATAGTAATCCGTTTGTTCATAGTGCAGAGATGGTACGCGAGGCATCACTGTTTTTGGTTTGGGCGACTGCTAGAGGAGGAGGTTCGGTATTTGAAAGGCCGCTTGCTTGCTTTTCAGCAGCACGTGCCCTGCTTGACGAGTCTTTGGCATGCAGGAGAGCAGCAGCATCTGTTGTTTTGGAGTATGTGGGGAAATTCCCTTCTTTGATCGATAAGGAAATTTTATCCTTGATAAACTTCCATTCTGTAAAGAGACTTTCGAACTGCTCTGATTCAATTGGAAAGGTAATGCAGCTATTAGGAAGTCAAGACATATTTGAAAGCTGTGTTTTAAGAAACATATTCCATTCAAGTATTGAGGTAAAGGAGCAGGCTGGATATTGCATTTCAAAGTTTTTTGATGCAACGAACGCAGTATGCAGCATCATGAAAGCCAATATGGCAACTCCTTCTGACTATATAGGTGTGCTTGTTGTTGTGAGAGAGTTTTTCAGGCAAGGCAGGAGTGATGATGTAAAGGATATTGTGGAATTGGTCTGCAAGCTGAGAGTAGATAACAGCTTTTTAAAGTTTAAAGAGTTTGAAGCGTTTGCAAGTGTGTACATAGAAGTAATAGAGCATTTTTACGGCATAGTACATGTTGATGGCAGTGAAGATACAGAACCTATTTGCGAAAACATATACATGTTTCTTATGAAGAGTGTTTATGTAATTGGTGCATCAAGGATAGCTTGGCAGCTTATGAAGTGCAATAAAAGATTTGCAGATCGGATATTCAAGGCAATCAATAGATGCAATGAGGGATTTATATTGGCAAATGCAAGAAATCAAATACACATTGATAAAGTGGAAAAGCAATACCAGGAGTTGTTGAGGCATGAATCGATTGACATAAAGGTGCATGTAATGAAGGCGATATGCTTTGGCGAGTCTTTTGAGAAGTATAAGGAGTATGTGCTTAATGGCCTTGAGGATTATACCATTGATTTCAGAGGAGATGTGGGTGCAAGCTTACGCATGCAAAGCCTTATGGTGTCATTTATGGCTCTGAAGAATGATATACCAACAAGATATTTTGTAAGGTATATTGTGGGCAAATCGAAAGCATTGAGGGATGGGTGTGTGATGATATGCAAAGAATGCAAATTTTTTGGATCTGGATTTGAATACATCCGTCAAAAGCCACTGCATGCTGACTGTGTTCAGATGGCTGCTTATGGCGCTTTGGCTGGAATAAGACCATTTCTTGATGAATTTTACAAGGTGTTTACAAATCTTTCGATTGAATCGGACAAAGGGAATGATGCGATACTATACATGTCCTCAATATCAGCATCATGCTGCCTAGATGAAATCCATTACAGAGAGTTTGTGCATGGAATAATTGAAGCGTTTGGATCTGTAGATGCATCAATGTGCAGAATTATTCTAGAGCATGCATTTGAAATACGAGAGAGGCTTCTTCCATATATAAATGAAATACTTAGAGATAGCATGCACGCTAAAGCTGATAAAGCTGGCGGTTCAGATAATATGGCACAAAATGTACAGAATGATGTGTTCCGCAGAATAAAATGGGCCGCTGTTGAGATGGCTATTGACTTTATTCAGCTTGAGATAGCCTACGGCAAGTTTATTTATATGAAGAATTGCGAAATGATCTTAAATCTGTCTTTATTTGCAATTAATACTTTTACTCCAGTCGGTTTGAAGAGTGCAATTAGTCAGATTTTGGAGATTCATAAAAATATATCGCAATAAATATGTTGATGAAGCCACATACTTGCTAGAGTAAAACAATAGACTAAGCAATTCATTTTAATATAAAATATCAAGCCTTACATGCTTCATAGCATTCCTCTAAGCTGTGGCTTTGCCTTACCTTTTGTTGTGATTCCTTCGACAGCATTCCCCACACATCTTGCACCCCCGCACTTTGAGCATTTTAGGAAATAGAGTCTCTTTTCTCTTACAATTTCAGTGTCTTCAACATTTTCACAGATCTTGCATACCACAAAATGCTCAATGTACCTTCTAATAACCTCCTGGATTTCTGATCTAATAAACATCCCTTTTATAAGCAATCTGCCATCTTTGTTCACCGATCCGGTTGCCATCAACTCATTCGATATGAAACTTACCAAGTGGTCAACTGATCTGTTCAATATGTTTGCTATCTCCACTATGTTTATCGATGTCTTTCTTGCCTCTCGTTTCACATCTAATGGCAGTTTTATTCTTGTGGACTCGACTTGATCCTTGTCTTTCTTCAAAACAGCCATTGCGCACTTAAGTAAGGTTTCGTACTCCAGCTCGTTTGGTATTTGCTCTACATGCTGGGAGACATTTGTTTGCTGCTGTGTAGACTTCATCGTTCTCAGCCTCGATTGTCTTTTTCTTGCAAATTCTTTAAGACTGGCATCTAGCTCACTAAACTCATCATCACTTGTCCCAGACATACCCTCCCAATTACACAGAATAAAATATTTTTCTTCTTGCAACTCTCAGCAAGCAATACTTCATTTGCACCTGAGCTCCCTGTGCAAACACACTTGCTATACACTTTTCACACATTATTATTAGATAAACTTCTTAAGGCTATTCAAAGCAAAACTTCTGTACATCTTCTCCACTCAGAAGGCTGCTTCCTGTTGCAATGCATTCTTGTGCCATTTCTCTGTAGAATCTTCTTGCAATTGCCAAAGCCATATCCACACTGAGATTACAGTTTCCACCTTCAATGCGCTTCTGGATCCACTTCGGGAGTTTCCCTTTTTTATCATTCCTCTCAAATCGCTCGTCTGCAAGCACCATGAGACCATAATCGTTCTTATTCCTTAAGACACGCCCAAGACATTGAGCTGCATGCCTCATTGCATCAAACGTCAGAAACTCATACTCCTTGACACCATACTCTAGCCTTAGAAACTCTAGCCTTTTCTTCAGGCGCACACTTTCTGTGTATTGAAACGGAATCCCTATCATGACAACACACCTGCCATATCCATCCTCAAAGTCAACACCCTCAGACACCTTTCCTCGGGCAACACTGAACAGAATCGCTCCTCTTCCATTCTCACACGCTTTTTTGTAGTTTGCAAGAGCCATCTCGGTCTCTCTGTAGTCGGGCGTCTCAACAAACACGAGCTTATTGTTGCTGAGCTCGTTGACTATGTTTGTTTCTGCCCAGAGACTTACTATCTCCTCCATGTACATGTACGACGGAAAAAAGCATACCATTCCGTCGGGAACAACCTTGGAAAGCTCTACAACAAGATGCCCATAGTTCCTTACCACAGAAGGATCTGATCTAAGGGAAAACGAAGTGGTCATTGAATCGCCATGGCTGGGATCTGCGCCGTCTCCATCGTCATTAAACGATCTCAAAGTCATTTGATCATTTCCCTTTGTTATTATCAGAGGTGATATTGAGTTTCTATCAAGCGTTGCGCCTATCTCCACTGTTCTTGATGGCGCAAAGTTCAGTATCTTTGGATATATATCGATTGGACTGAGTGTTCCGCTTGTTATTATCACATTCCTGAACTTCGAAAAAATAGGCGCCATTGCAATTGATGAGTCCAGGCATGCCAATCGAAGCGTTGGATTGAAAACGGTGGATGCCTGCGAGTCAAACGGTTCAAACACTACTACAAACCCCTTTGAATACATAGAAACCATTGTCGACAGCTCAGCAACCGTCTTGAGATGTGAGGTATCTTCATCATCAACACCAAGTGCCTGGCAAAGAATACCTAGGCGCTGGGAGCAAAACCTCAGTGCCTTCTTCTCCACAAAAGCCAGCTCCTTGATGCTTTTACAAAAAGACTCTGTTGACTCTGTTGTAAGATGCATCGTCTTAAGCTTTGTTTTCAGAAACTCTGTTATTCGCTTCATGACAGACATGAAGTGGAACGAGTTTCTAAGGTTCCCGGGAATATACTCATACTCACCTTCTCCAGAAGCATAGAAGTATGGAATGGTGCCTGCAATTGGCTCAGACAGCTTTTCTCGTTTTTTCCCATTAAATGTGTTAAGGTGCATGCCATCCGCCACTTCGCCCTTTTTCATCAGCAGATCTTCAAGGCTCTTTGTTGCTCTCGATGCACCCTCCAGCACATTACGCTTGATTTCAATAGACAATGACTCTATGCAATGGCTATCTATGTTATGCGCTTCATCAAATATCACCACACAATCAGGGCCAAGCTCTTTCGAGACAATCGAGTATATTCGTGGATCTATAAGGTAGTTGTATGTGTATACTATGCAATCACATGCAGGAATCGATCTTCTAACAAGGTAGTAAGGGCATATTCCTCGCTTCTCTCCCATTTCCTTTAGCTGGCTAAAGTCATAAACAGCAGCGGGAATTTCGTGGAAGCCTTCAAGGTTTTCATAAAAATCGCATTTGGAATCAATCAGCTTGTTTATGAATGTTCGGCATGCAAGGTCTATGTTGAAACTTTTTGTAGCAGCTTTGTTTATGCAAAGATTCCGTCTTCCTGTTAATCCTAGCCCCAGGAAGCTCACAGGCCGGTATGTTTTTATGTATTCAATTACTCTATCCAGCTCTTTCAATGTCTTTTCAACCTCTGGAACTGTTCTGGAACAATATATCACCTTAAAACAGACATTCTGCTCCTTCATGTGTATCTGATAGCTTATTGTCATGCTGAGAAGAGCCACTGTTTTGCCCGTGCCTGATGGCATTTCTATCAAGCAGTGGCCCTTGTTGTCAAGACATCTCTTGATTTCCCTCATGTACTTGAGCTGTTCTGGATACACAGATTCATATGGAAAATACACGGGAATCTCATCTATTGTGATTTTCATGAGGGTTCAATTCAGACGTAGTTACATGCATATGTATAACAGATGCTTCATCGTATTATTCAAATCTTAGAGCTTCCTGAAGCACACCTTTGCATAAAGAATCAGCACCACAACCTCCAGAAACAGCATAAGCATGGCATCTTACTAATTCCCAGCAGTTTATTAAAACGATCAAATGTAGATGTGTATTTATTTGCCAGATTTGTGCTCTACACTATACAGCCTTGTCAGATAGCACAAGTCCAAGAACCAGTCCTAGAATGCCAATCCCTGCTGGAATGATTTCCAGAAAAACAAGCTTGTAGAACAGCGATGGGTCCTTCGAGTCCATCATTGTGATTATTGCACAGATAATGCCGCTTGCGAGTGAGGAGCAATATGAACACACGCCAGCTATGAAACCAGACGTGAATAGTATGAACTGGCCTCCATACGACTTGACCTCATTCATTCGTATGAGTAGAAGATTCGACATGACCAGGCAGAAAAAGAAGTTTGCCTCGCAGATAACAATTCCAAGGAGGGCTCGTGTTCCTACTCTTGGTGTCTTTATAGATGCACCTATCATGTATCTGCCTATTGATTGATATCCCTTTGCGGTGCCTATTGATGAAAGAGCAATGCACATTACGATTCCAAAGCAAGAGAGGAATGGAGAGGTTCCTTCAAGAATGCTGTAGTTTAGGTAGTGTAGGGGAATGTATGCTCCAATTAGAAAAAATATTATCATCCACATCTTGTGGGGCAACGATGCTTGATTTGTTTTTCAGGATGCTGACGGAAACACAAAATTCAGACGAGGCATACAGTGCAGTTGTGAACGAGATAAACAAAAGAAGGCTCGGCCTTGTAGAAGATCCAAGAGGATATGATGAGTCCAAGAGGATCTTTGAGAGGGTGGTGAAGGTTTCTGAAGAGCTGAAGAGGATGAGAATGGTGTTTGGAAGCAATGCATGAAGAGCATTGGGCAGGACTTTTACTATGTTTATATGCACAGCTGCCGATGATGTGTATAAAACTGCGGGCAGAAAGGGTGTTGCAGTGAGTGTTGATGCAGAGGCGTGTAAACAGAAGAGAATAAATGTGTTTCGAGTAGAATGGTTATATTGGATGAAAAAATAGCCCTACTAAATGCCTATTTCATCGCTGCTCAAGAATGCATTGACTCCTGATGAGCAGCGGCTAATACCTGTGGTATTGGTAAGCAAGATGGACGAAGAGATGTGCCTGTATGAGGCTGAGTGCTTGAAGAAGACAATCGACTTTGAGAAGAAGATTGATAGATGTGAAGAGGTGATTGCGGAGATGGCAAGGAGGAATGCAAAGTATGAGATGGAGCTTGCGGAGGCGAAGAGACTGCTGAGCACGGCTGAAATGCAAAGTGAGATGTGTTTTCAAGAAAATAGGTGTTTAAAGGATGAGATTCACGGCTACAAGGATAGGATTGGAGGCGGTAATGAATGCTTTGCAAAAGCAAATGGAATGGAAAGTGAAGTGGAGAAGCTAGCAAAAGAGTTTGAGGAGCGAACAGAAGAGATGAATAGGAAAAGTGCAGAGCTTGAAAGGAGCAATAAACGGCTTGCAGATAGGATTTTAGAGCAAAATAAGCAAATGAAGTATTTAGTAAGCAGCTCAGGGGTACCTGGGGCAAGTAGAGATAATCTAGAATTAATAAAGCTAGTTCAGAAGCTGACCAAGAGGAACGAGGAGTTGGAGAGATGGAGTGAAATGTCTACAGACCGATCTAGAGTGCATGAAGGAGTAGATATGAAAGATGAATATAGAATGGTTTGTGAGAAGCTCAGCGAGATGAACAGACAGGGGTGTATGCTTGAGATTGAATACAACAAGGTATTTAGAGAAAAGGGAGAGATTGAGTCACGAATTGCCTTTGAAATAAATGAGAAGAAGATGATGCAAAGACATATGGAGGAGATGAAGGAGGAGATGATGTGCTTGAGGATTGAACTAGGGAATGCGAAGGCAAAGAATGTGATACTAGGAGATGCATCTTTGAAGCTGGGCGAAATGAACAGTGAGATAGTTCGATGCAACCTGATAATGAAGGAAGATAGGAATCGTATCAGGGAGTTGAAGATGCAGGTAGCAGAGTGTGAGGAGCGATACAACAAGTATATTTTGGAGGAGAGAACGACGGTAACAGCGATTATTGGACGAGAGATAGAGGGGATGAAGAAAGGCCTTGCCGAGTATTCTGGACTATTATATGGGGTTGAGTTAGAGCTTAAGAATGCGGTTGATGAGCAAGCTAGGCTGAAGAAGATGATTTTTTTACAGGATGAGGAAGTTTCTGAAGCCAAGAAGATTGTGGAGGGGTATATTGATAGAGAAAGAAGGCTTGATTGGATGATAGAGATGCACAAGAAGAATGAGAGTAAAATGAGAGAGGCTGTTTTAGCGATTGGCGAGGATGTTAGAAGTGTAATGGAGTGTGTTAAGGATGTGCTGGCTGATGTGTCTGATATATGCTGTGATATAATGTGCAGGATTATGAAAGGAGAGGAGATGAAGAAAGGGAAGATCAAGAAAATGATTGATGAAGCAGAAATGGTCGAGAAGGAACTGATTGAAAAGGAAGCAAGCTTGTATTCGTTGATAGAGGGGCGTGGTGATGATGCGATTGGATTTCTTGGCAAAGAAAGAAATATTCTGAAGCAAGAGAATGTGTTTTTGAGGAATAAGGTTGAAGGGCTTGAAGATACGTTTGATCTTATGGAGAAGGTGGTGGTACTAGAGAAGGAGAATGAGGGAATGAGAATGCAGATTGAGTCAATGAGAAATCAAGAGGCGAATGAAGGAGTAGCCGTAGCGATGTACAGGATGGAACAGAACAATTTTATATTGAAGGCAGAGCTAGACAAAACCAATGAAGAGCTCAAGCACAGTAGTGATGCAATAGGGAAGTACAAGGTTGTTGTTGAGAAGCTAAAGAAGATCAAGGATGCATATATCAAGCTCAAGGCGGAGAGTTCTGAAAAGAAGCATGCAGATGAATGTATAAATGGAATGCATGAGCATAGTGGAGCCGAAAAATTGAGTGGAGTTGCAAATCGAAAAGAAATATATTTTGGAGAGGGATGTGTGAGTGAATGCAAAGAAGCAGGTATTGAAAGCAAGGCCGATGAGGCAATCACTGATCATCATAATTTAGGTCATGAAGCAGCTGCGGAAAAGGAATTGCCTCATGTAAGAGGCAGAAGGCCTGAAAGGACTAATCATGGGGACGAACCAAAGCACGGCCATTATAGACGATCTTATGCAGATAAGAAAAGAGGATGGAATACATCAAATGAATTTAAGAAAGCTAGAGATAAGAGAAATTAAAAGGCTTGATATCTAAGTGACAGAAGTTTGTATAGCAAAATGTTTAATTAAACTTTTCTAACTGTGTAGCATTGGTTAGAAAAAGATGGAAACAAGCTTTCCAAATCCAATGAGTATGCATGAGAAAGCAATAAACGGAGAAAGTCTCTCTCCAACAACAGAAAACTTGCGAAGCACGGCGTAAATGCCCTTTTTATCTTTTGAAACCAAAGAAGGAAAGTGCTGTTTTGCATATGTTATTGTGCAAACCGCAAGCACAAGCACTCTTACCAATGCATCTATGTTGAAGAGTGCAGACATACAAGGGCTGTTTGTTTGTATTTGAATTTGTGATTTGCTACTTGTCCATAGGATTGATGCTTTGATTATTAATCATAAATTAATGCACGTGCTGCTTTTATATTATTGTGTTGCTTTATTTAATGCTGTTTGTATTTATTCTGATTTACTTTGTATCGCATAATGAGCTTAATGACGTTTTCTGATCCTTTTCTATCCATGATGTCAGGCAGATGCTTTTCTATTTTCTTGGTGAATTCTTTCTTTGATTTATTGCAATCCATTCCTTCGTAGTATCCTTTCAGAATTTCCATTCCGCCCTTTGACCTGATCCAGTTGGCACAGAATCTTTTCTTGAATGCAGAATTAACACTGTAATTATGATTATCAGCAAGTTTCATAAGCTCACAAAGCATCGGTGCATACTTCTGCTTGAAATTGCCCTCCACTCCTCCAAATGTATTGAAAAGAATATCATCTGTTCTATTCTCGAGATAAAAAGCATTTACTACCTGATCTAGGTTTGAGTATGACTTTTGTTTTGCGAGTGCTTGTACAAGTTTCATTACTATGTTTGAGTTTTTGTCGAACTCATCGAGTTGAAGCCTACGGAAGAAGTGATCTGCTTTTTTTGGATAATGCAAAATAAGCTCTCCAATAAAGTAATTTCCATATTTGTCTCTACAAAGATCCATTTCTTTTCCTGCTACTGCTTCAAAAAACATTTTTAGTGTCTTTTTATTGGCAGCCTGAACTATCTTTTCAAAAAAGTACGATGTGTTTGGATTGCATATGCTTTCCAAGCTAAAGTGATGCCTTGAAACCTCATATATGACTGTTTGACTTCTATAGCAGTGCAGATACATCAGAAGTGTTGCAAAGCTATCTTCTTTGGAGATGCTTGGTATCAGTTCAAGAACGGTTTCTTTGTGTTTTTCCACATATCCTGGCATTAGTGGATCAAATCGCTGCTCGATTCTTCCGTTTACAATTTTCTTGCCGCTAGCAATCTGGAAAAGCTTCCTGACAACGTGTGTAGCATTTGTATTGAAGAAGTTTGCTTTAAATGCATCCTTGGTATCTATAAGACTGAAAAGTGCTCCAACATCAACTTGCAGCATTTTGACGTAGATGCTTCTGAACACAACATCACAAATCACTTCGATAAATCTTGATCCAAGCTTTTTCTTCGACAATTCATTTACATCCAACTTCTTCAGAAGATCAGCCACCTGATGCACATTGCTTTTCTTCACAATGCTTTCCATTTGATGAGTAGTCTGTGTATTTGACACCAGCTCTTTTTCGAATCCGTTTATTTCCTGATACACATTGTTCAGAACCTCTGGATCTGTGACGGTTTCCAAGTCAATGCTCTTGACATACTCAAGCACACTTTGCATTTGTGGGCTGTGATTTGAAGCAGCATTGACTTGCAAAAGAATGAAAAGCACGAACCCTGAATGAAGATAGAAGTTGAGGACATCGATCAGATAATGCAGCAAATAGCAAGTATGGCACCGCCAATGCACAAAGATGACCACAAGCTGTTAAATACTCTGAAAAATGCAATAGAGAAAAACGTCACTGTGTCCAATTCACATCTACAGGAATTGACTACTAAGAATGAGCAAAAGGAGGCCAGAATGATGTCTCTTGCGTTTTTGAGAAAAGACTTGCCACTTGAGGCCACAGAAGAATTCAAATGCCATATTGATTTTGTTAAAGAGCAAATAGAATCCAAACGAGAAGCATCAGCAGCTAAGCATGGAGCACCTAAGCATAGAGCCAGTGCTGAGATGAAGGATCCGATAGAAAATGAAATTAAAATAGCGAACGAAAGCATTGCAGCAATAAAAGGCAAGCTTCAGAGGGCTAAGGAAGTGGCAGAGGAAGCATTCAGCAGATCATCAGGTAAGCTTCTTAAACCGTTTGAATATGCTGAGAAGTTCTTCCGATGCATTTGATGTTAATGAATGTCTTGGGCAATGCCAATTGATGTATACTTTGATGAGGTGTGGGTGTGAATAAAATAAGGACTGTATTTTAATATTTTATATTTGAGTTGTGACGTATCCTTATGGCAGTTGACATATTAGTCGAGGGTTTGGAAATGAAGCCTGAAGATATTGAGGATATAATGTATTATGAGAGTGCAGGGATCTTGGTAATCAAGGCCAATGGAAAGGAGTATAAATATGCAATTGAGAAGAGAGACGAGACATATATAATCAATTACAATGATGGGCCTGTACTTACAAACAACTTGGCAACAGAAATCAAGGAATGATTGCGGAAGTGCAAGCAATAGGATGTAAAACAGCTAGTATTGATTTTAACCCTCGTTAATGAGTCGTACATTTAATAGTCGTAAGAAAATGGAAGGTAGGCAAAGGAAATTGGAAGCGGAGGCTGAAAAGCAGAGGAAAGAAGAGGAGTTGAAGGAAAAGGAACTTGAGAAGTATTGGGCGATTGGCGCAAAGATTCCTGGAAGAAAAGAGCGAGAGGAAGAAAAAAGAATAATGCAGGAAAAGCGGAAACGCGAACTTAAGGAACTTTACGAGAAGGAAATGAATGCCTGATTAAATGTGTATTTTTATTTATTTCTAAACGATCTCAAATGAACACTTTGGCGTGATACAGTCAAAAAGATCTGAGGCATAGTCATACACATTGTTGTTTTGTTTACATGCTATGTTCTCGATAGCCAGTCCAAGAAGTTCCTCGATCAACGATATGTGGTTTTTCAGAAGAGCCTTGTTGTAATTGCTTGCTGCGGATTCAAGCCTATTTGTTAGGTGGTCGATAAAACCTGCTGTTGCATAATATTTCCAGTCGGGTTTGCAGGCAAGCAGATGCTTCTGCGCTTCATTAACTTTTCCAAGAAACAGATTGCAATACACTCTTAGCAAATCCAGGATGCTGTTGCTTTGTGAATTCAGATATTCCAATGCTTCTGCGTAGTATTCATAGTATATGAGAAGCGCAATGTATCTTTCTTGGGCCTGTATCACGGGATTTATCTTCAAAGCCTGTTTGTAGAAAACAGATGCCCTCTCAAAGTTATTCATCCTGTGATACTCAATAGCAAGGTAGAGAGATGGCTTATATGAGCCTATCATTTTTTTGTATGCAACTTTCAGGCAAGAAATGCTACTCTCGCATTCTTTCATTCCTGAATACGCCATCCCAAGGTACATCCATCCTCTTCCATATTCATTGTTGATTTGTACTGCTTTATAGAAGCACCTTCTTGCTTCCTGGTAGTTCTGTGCCATCAGAAAAAAAAGCCCTAGAGATATGAATGAAAACTCAGAGCCTGGATACTTTTTCACCATACATGTGCCTAGGCTAAACAGCAGCGTGTCTTTTCCACTCTTATAGTATCTCCTTGCCTCTTTTAGTCCATACCATGGAGAATAGAAAGCAAGTGAATACAGGTCTGGCTCAAAGCAGGGATAGAATACTGCCATATACACTTCACGCATAAACACATCCTTACAGTCTTCAACAAGAGAAACCAATTCCTTTTTATCAACAATGCCTTCGTTTTTCATCCTTATAAGTGCCTCCATGTTGTAGTTATCATGCCTGTATGCTTCCAATAGTATTTCTTTGCGCCTAACATCTTCTTTGGTCAGACCTTCAAACAGCAAACGAACGCTTTTTTTCAATATGTGCTCTGTGCTGTACATCATCAGTGCATTCTCTACACTTTCATATATTTCGCCACATTCTGTACCATCAATCTCACTCTCTACTATTCCTTTTCCAACCAGGCCACACTCTGTATTCTTCTTTCTAGTTGCATACCTGCATTTGTAGTAGATTATCTTGACATCGCTGCATCTCATTAGTGTATCATTCAACTCAATCATTTCTATGCATCTTTCGTAGCAAGACATTGCACATAACGATCTCAATAGCATGATAAGTGCAAAATCACTCTTGTCCCGTGCATATATATACTCAGACAATGCTAGTGCTGAATAGTGCATTTCGTCATTCAGGTATGCATTCACAAGCGGGTATAACTTGCTTTCCATGCCAAGGGCTTGGCACACACCCTCATATTTGAAATATAGTACATACTACTCATACCTGTTTGCCACATCTCATCAAAACTATTTATTCGAAAATTTTTCTTTGAACACTCCAGACGGTAGCCTCAGTCTTACGTTACTCCATGAATCCTGGATTGCAATTGCCTCTTCCTTCATCCCCATGCATCCATATATTATCGATCCAAGCGGATACTTCTCCTCCCTCATCTCTTCGTCAAGTATCTGTATTGAGTTGTTATTTGTAAATGCTATTTTGCCATCCAGGCACGAGACAGATGTTATCAAAGCATAGCTCTCAAATGTCTTGATCTGAGAAGAAAAGTGGTCTTCAAATGCCACTCTATAAACAACATACTTCTTTTTTGCATCAAGGCAGTTAAGCATAGTAAAAACAATAAATGTCTCTTCATCACACTCGCATGCTCCAATCATATCTCCATCGACATTCAGTGTCCACGCATCTTTTGCATCGTTGACAGAGTACACTTTTTTAGAATGGCTCAGGATTATCACATCCCTAACTAGATGCACATATTCCTTGTAGTTATCAAACCCAATCCTTCTGACAACTTCGTTTGAATTCATGTTTATCAAAACAACCTCGTATTTATAGTTTTGCAGTATCATAAGCTCGTTTGTCATTATAAGTCTATTTGCAGGTTCGTATCTGTCTCTCCTTATGCTTGCTCGTGTCTTTGACGCAATATTTAGATCCAGAACCCTGGTTTCGTTTGCATTCGAGTACGCAAGATGTGTGAAGTCAGGTGAAACACTTGAGCACAGTGCATTTCCATCAACAGTAATTCTAAGAGGATGTCTGTACTGTTGTCTCCTGTACCCAATCCTCTCTACCGAAGATTCAGAAAGCTTGAATGTTCCTTTGCTGCTGTTAGCCATGTTCAGCTTGCTATATCCTCTTCTAACCCTGCCAGTGCTGTTACTTCCACTGCTGCCTCTCTCATCAAACGAATAGAATTCAATCGACGATCTGCAATTGATGTAGAATTCCTTGCCTATGCTGGAAACACCAAGCTCAACTGCCTTGTGGAACACTTTGTTATCCAAATACTTGTTGGAAACGGGCCATACAATGCTTAGTATTGTGTCCTTTCCAGATGTGACTATTCGTCCGTTGTCCACCACAATGTTCTTGACTTCTGCATAGTGCGTATCTATTTGGTATGACTTGATAAACTTCATCCCAGTCCTTGAAAATGCTATCACCCGAGAGTCTGCTCCACAAAAATGAAGCTTATCATTAACGTATGCACATACATTAAGCGGGCTTTGCCTTACTGCCGATGTCTGCAGAGCAATGCCAAGATCTACATCGAAGTATGAAAAACTTCCATCGTCACTCACACATGCATATGAATTTCCAGACACATGGCATATCATATTTATTCTCTTGCGGGACGTGTGCATCTCACACATCACTTTTCTGTCTTTCAGTGCCCTAATGCGTCCTTCTGCATCTCCTAGTATCAGTATTTCGTTCTCTGCAGCAAGCATTGCGGTTGTTTCGGTTGTGCCATGGTAGAAAACATTCGATTCGTAGTCTTTCCATTCATACACTGTTCGGCCAATTGAATAATACACAGGGCCCCATCTGCAATCAGGCGATGCTTGCCTGACATCAATTGCAAGAGGAAGCCCATTGATATCTAAGCATGTTGTCTCAAGCGTGTGAGTATTGAAAAAAGCAAGCTTCTCGCATTTAGTTCCGCACACTACAACATATTGATCGATGAACTTGCTGGAAACAACCTTGTATTCAAACCCCATTGTGACATATGTTCCGAGTGTTCGGGAGTCTACCAACTCCACTGTTCTGTTTTTCCTGAATATCACAATTGTACTGTTGTTTGAGGCCATTGCTACTATTGAAGATGGCTTTTTCTCGATATTCTTGAAGAGATTCAACTTCATTATGAGGGATCGGAAAGTATTTTTATGAACGGTTGTGGCGTCGGCTGATTAGGCATGGCTTGCTTGTGTATTGGATACCAGAGGTGGCTATGTGTGCATTTGATAGTTATATTGTGTGAGTCTCGACCCATTGGATGAGTATGGATTGCGGAACAATATGTCCGATCTGTTTTTCGGAGTATACGTCTGCAGGAAGCCATAGGATTGCTGCTCTTGGATGTGGACATTTGTTTGGAAGCCAGTGTATCCAGAAGTGGGCTGGGAAAAAGGCCAAGATTCAATGCCCGCTATGCACCACAACAACATCTTCAAAGCAGATCAGAGCAATATATGCATCAAAGGTTGTAGCAGTGGACAATTCAAATGAGCAGATACTATACGAAAAATTGCAGAACGAGGAAAAGGAAAAAATGGGGTACATGGAGAGCAATGCAAGCCTTTTGGCACAGATAGAGCAACTCAAGTGCGATCTCATGATTGCTAAGAGCAAGATTCTCAAAGGACCATGCACTAATCTGCATATAAACAGAGAATTTGCCATTAGGACAGGCCTGAATCCTCTTGGCACATTGATAGAGTACGATGATCCAGGATGTATTCTGATCCTTACATACAAACAGGGCAATGCAGTGGGTATACGTAAGCTTGGATGCCATGACTTTAGTAAAAAGGAGATTGTTGTGCTTGGAGAGGGCCCAGAAATACGAGCAATTGCAATGAGTCCTTTTGCAGATGGAGTCGGCCTGGTTGCAGTAGGCATGACTTTGAATGCTATTAACATATACAATGGAAATGTTATTTCGACATGCAATATTCAATGTGCAATATCAAGTGTATGCTTTGATGAGGAAGACAAGAGCATGGTATATTGCGGAGATGATAGTGGATGCATACATTTTGTCAATATCTCACAGGCATTGGTGCTCAAAAGCATCAAGATATGCAAGACATCCATTCATTCAATATGCAGGAAGGGGATGGATGTTTTTGCATGTACATTTCACAATGCATACAGGGTTCTTTTTTCTGGAGAATGCATTCCTTATATTTTAGATATGGAGCCTTATTCTATCTGTACAAGCATGCATGGATGCACCGGCCATGCTCTTTTTACACTTCGTGATGCAGACTTTGGAATAAGACATTTTCTGTGCTCTAGAAAGGAAGTTTACTTCAGGACAGGTGTTAAGCAAATAAGACGGCACAGAGACAGGATACACGGTGATTATCTGTATGTGTCTGATGACAGCCACAATTCTATTAGAGTGGTTGATATGCATTCACTTGATGTAGTGTATACATATACCTTCAAGGAGCAGATTTTGGACTTCTGTGTTACTAGCCATCTGATGATTGTTCTAACAAGGGCATTAATTCATGTGTTCTCTAGCAATCACTCTTCGAAATTGAAAGGTCAGGCTCGGTCGATTGATGATTGTAATGAGGAATAGCAATCTAAATGTGATATGTGCACGCCCTTAATGACCGATGGAAATAATGTAAACAACATACGATGCTTGTGTGCAGACATGGTTCAGAAGGCCAACAGCGGGCATCCTGGTGCGCCTTTGGGCTTAGCACCCTTGGCGTATGTCTTGTATACAGAAATACTGAGTTTTGATCCTGACGATGATGGATGGATTGGCAGGGATATTTTTATCTTGTCGAATGGCCATGCATGTGCCTTACAGTATGTGATGAATTATCTGATAGGGCGCCTAACTATTGATGACTTGAGGTCATTTAGGCAGCTTGGCAGCAGAACGCCGGGGCATCCTGAGCGAGGGCTTCCAGGAATAGAGTGCACAACTGGGCCGCTGGGACAAGGGCTGGCGAATGCTGTTGGATATGCAATTTCTCTGAAAAAGCTGAGCAGTCACACCGGGAATAAGCCCAAAGTTTACTGTGTGTTTGGAGACGGGTGCTATCAGGAAGGAATAGGGCAGGAGTCGTTTTCTTTGGCTGCAAGTCTGCGACTAGACAACCTGGTGCTGATTTATGATTTCAACGGAGTGACGATAGATGGGCCTACGTCTCTTTCGATGAATGAAAGCGTATCCAAAAGATTTGAGAGCCTTGGGTTTGTAGTTGAGGTTGTTTCTGGCGAGGACACGGATGGGATTAAGAGAGCATTGAAAGATGTAGGCCATGATATGCCAAAGGTGATTCTTCTTGAAACAGTGATTGGATATGGAAGTGAGATGGAAGGAGACTGCAAGGTTCATGGCAGCCCGTTGGGAATAGAAGGTGTTGCAAAGCTCAAAGAGCGTCTTGGAATGCCGCCTGCTGATTTTTTTGTTTCATCGCCTTTGCTAGACAGATTTCATGAGCTTATTAAGAAAAAACGAGCTGAAGTTATTGAGTGGAGCAATACATCTGAGGTGGTCGGCAAGCTTTGTGATAGAGTGATGGCGGTAAGCAATGAGCAATCGATGTATAGATCGGTGTATGTGAGAAGTGGTGCACATAAGGCAACTAGAAAGCACTTCTCAGAAGCTCTGCATGATCTAAAAGAGAATGCACATTTGGTTGGCGGGTCTGCAGATTTGCAATCGTCAGTCTTAACAAGGATAGGAAGCAGTGACTTTTCGCAGACCAATAGAGCTGGAAATTACATCAACTTTGGAGTCAGGGAGCACAGCATGTGTGGAGTTATGAACGGAATTTCATCCCATGGATATTTCCTTCCATATTCAGGAACTTTCCTAAATTTTATTTCGTATGGTTTTCCTGCAGTCAGGCTTGCTTGCATGGGCAAGCTCAATCTTTTCTATGTGCTGACGCATGATTCGATAGGGCTTGGAGAAGATGGGCCCACTCATCAACCGATTGAAGTGCTTGCCACTCTCAGAGCAACGCCGGGGCTCATCACAATGAGGCCATGCGATGGCATAGAATGCAGAGCATCGCTAAAGATTTGCTTGACACGGCCAGGGCCAAAGGCTGTGGTGCTGTCCAGGCAAAATGTGCCAGAAATTGCAGACACAAGCTTTGAGAAGGCAGAATTGGGGGCATACTTCCTTGTTGAGACAGATAAACCTGACCTGATACTGCTTTCAACAGGATCCGAGGTTTCGATCTGTTATGAGGTTATGAAAATGTTATCGCACATCCGGATCTCGATTGTCTCGTTTTTTTCATGGGAGTTGTTTGAGCAGCAGAGCAACGATTATAAACGATACATACTCAAGGATGTTCCAAGGATCAGTATTGAAGCCATGAGCACGTTTGGATGGGCGAAGTATGCAGATATGCAGATTGGTCTTGACTGCTATGGCACGAGTGGGGAATACACAAGTGTATATAAGCATTTTGGATTGGATTGCAAGGCGATCTGTAAGACGATCGTTGAGTTTTTGAATAAATAATGTGTTGTTAGTGTGCGAGGGCATGAATTCATCTGCATGTGAAACGAGGCAATATGTGAGGAAAATACTTGAGTGTCTAGAAAGCGGAACAAATGTGATTTCATCTTTGCACCACTTCAGAGACATGATGCTTGTGAACTATGACAATAGATTGGCTGTTCTAGTGCTACAAAAGATTCATGGGCTTCTTCATAGCTCATGCAATATTCAATATATTGAGATACTTATTGATGTAGTGCGCACAGAAGATACATTTGATGAAGTATTCAAAATGATCCTGAGCTTCAGTGACAGAGTAGGCTTTGCAGAGCTTGTATTCAAGCTCCGAGATATAAATGAGCTAATGATATTCAAATACATGAAAGAGCTGAAGAAAATTTATTTGCTTCATGAGTTTGTTAAAGACATGGATAGGAGATATGATGCTATTTTAAACTCGATAGACATAAGCCAAGAATGACCTCAGATGTTGATATTGAAGTTTTTTTTGTAGAACTCTACAAGCTTCAGGGAAACACGATCTTTTCTATGTGCTAATTCATTAAGCATTACATTTTTGTTTTCAAATTGATTATTTTCCATACGCATGTTAGCATCCATATATATTCCCTGGGTATCTGCACAATCATTTATGCTGCTTCAATGGTACGCTGTCATGCCATATTACATTCTTGATCATCTATCATCTGACTCTTGATCCTCAAATCCAAATCCACGGCTAAGAAGATATGCAATGTTGTCCAATCTGCTTCTTAAGCCGGCCTTTGACACTGCCTCTTTGAAGTCATCCACTTCTGCTTTAGCATCTGAATTATGGATATCAAGAAAGATGGCAAGTTCCTTAAGCTCGTTTTCAATCTCATCATCCGCCTGAATAATTTTATGAAGGCTGTCCTTGATCGCGGCAAAGTTTTCTACGTTTACACCACCTTTATATATATGCATCATGGATGTAATTTTCTTAGCTTCGTCGATTGTGATTCTCTTGATTGCTTCAAGCGTTTTTTGAACTCTTAATGAAGTCTCCTCAAACACTTCCAGTGTTACTTCACATAGCATAATCAGGGCATGGGACTCAATTAATCTACACAGAGATCATATACGCTTGACTTTAATTAGATGATTTATCATCGGCTGCTTCACTCATATTTAGTATCACTATCATCGGTTACTTCACTCATATTTAGTATCACTATCATCTTAACACACACCATGGCTACAGTACCTATTCCCACAAACAGAATAAACAGATTAATCAGCCAGCTATCGGTCTTGAAGTCTAGATCACGAGGGGACGAAAAGCATTCCTTGATTGTCTTAAGGATCATAAGAAGACCTACAGGATATAGAACAAAACACATGATTTGATCGTAGTCTATCAAATTATTAATGTAGGCATGCCATAGAAGAAAAGCGATCAGAATCAACAGCACAGTAATGTCAGTGACCAAGTCAAACGCATCAGTATACACATATCTGATTGATTCAAATCGAAAATCATATACTGAGTAAAGAAAACAAAGCACGATTGCAGGCAGAAGGCTGCATTGGAACATTCCACAGCATTCACTGTAGTCGTTTTTAGTGCACTGAATCACTATTTGAGCCACAATAAAAGCAAGCGCAAGAATATGTGGAATTATATAAATGGCATATGAAAAAAAACCACATTTGTTGTGCACTTTCATCAACCTCCAGTTATTAGGCAAATAAAACACAGACATGGTAGCAGGATAAATGGCTGCAGCTGAAAGCATAGTCAACTTTAAGCCAAAGTTAGTATTAGAATTTGCTTCTATGAATGCTTTTTCAAACGTTATCGAGCAAAATATAAGCCCGAGAGAGAGAATAATCATTGCACACCTGGCTCCTTTTGGAAAATATCTTGGTTCATAGCATTCATGATCTGTATCGATTACATTTTCTGGCTTTATAAGTCTAAATATACTATCCATCGGGGCTAAATGGTCATGCAATATGTGATATAAATGAGCATTCTTGCACGTTTGGCATATAGCAATAAGACGTATTTATACTTATTCTTGTGTAATCCTAGTATATGCAATATAAACACATTTATCTAGTTTCAGTAGCACTGCAGAAAGATATATGACTCATAATGAGCTAAGTGAATGACTTTCTAAAGCATTATGGCAAGCTAGTAACAATAATGGCTTTAGCCCATAATTCAGTAGCAGTTAATTATTAGGAAACATTGCATATATAGAATATGATAAGATTAACTATTACAACAATATACAAAATAAAATAGCTACAGATAGATATACCCATAAAATAGATAATATGTATGAGTCGAAAAAGTCCATCTTAAATAAAGAAAAAAGTAAGAATAGTTTCAAAAGAATGATTAAAAATATTACTACTTTAGGTGGTAATAAAAGTCAAACAGAAATAATTAAGAAAAAAATAATTAAAATAGCAGAAATAGACAAAAAATTATCTGCTACTATAATCGATGGCTTGGAAAAAAATAAAAAGAAGATACTCGATATGATGAAAAAAAGATACAAGGAATTCGATATTGTTTATAGTTATGATAGTAATATTCTTAATTCATTCTTTAAAGACATGGAAAATGATAAGAATATAGTTAATTATAGTTATATTGTGAACAATATTAAAGAAGGAGGCAATTATAAATTCCGTTATTGCTACTCGAATGAGATTGTTTTATTATTAGAGCTTGACAAAGGAAGAAATAATCTCATAAAAACAATTAATAACAACACTTCCAGTTTTTGTTTAGATCATGTTAAAGGCGGTATACAAAATTTACATGATAATGACAGCAATCTGTACACATATGATGCTATACATAGAAAGCCTAATATAGTTGAAAATCCAGTAACATTAAGCGCATCCGATAAAAATGAACTATTAAACAAAGAAGATGATGGTAAACCATTTATGGAAAATGGTACTACTATATCGATCAAGAAAAAAATAGTGGAATCGAGCAATTCTTTAACAGTACAGCAAGCAATAGAAGGATTAGGAAGTGAATCACGAATATTGCTTGATGTACTTGGATGTTTTGTGTGTGTGACAATGCTACTGATGGGAATCGCATATGCAGGAGGAGTGGATGCAAGCAAGATTAGCGGAGTAGAGACATGCGTTCTTATGGTATCAACAATTATACCGATTGTAGCAGCAGCGCTTGCATTGAACAGTATGCGAGAGATGTATAGAGAGAAGAATGCGAAGGTGTCGGCTGTTGTGCTACTACCGATTGCAGGTGCAGCATTTATGATGATAGCGAATATGTATATGTTTTATCTGAAGATGGGCAATATGGAGTTGTATGATGTGCTGATGCATCTTGGAATTACATTGCTTACGGTGATGGCCGTGAATGTGTATGATGAGGTAGCTATGGGTGTGGTGAATGTGTTAAGTGTGGTGATGATTGCAGGATGTGCGATACGTGTGGTATGCTCAAATAGAAGTGGAGAAGAAGAAAGTAGTAGTAGATTGGTGAAGCGGAAGAATGCAATAGAAATAGGATTGGTAGTGACACCGATGGTGGTCTATGCAGTGATGCAGGTGTTTAGAAGAGTAAAGAGTAGGAAAGAAGGAATAAAGCAAGAAGCGAGAAGCGATCAGAAAATGAAAGTTATAAGAATAGTGATTTCGTTTGCAGGAGTGATTGGAATGCAGATTGCATGGATGGTTTCTAGTATACTGATTATGAATGGAGTAATTGGAGGTGTATATGAGAGCAGAACATGATGGATAGATGGCAATAGCAAAATAGAATGAAATAAAATGTGTTTACTTAATAAAAAGATAATGATAGAATGATACTGATGGCATGCGTGCATCACCAGTGCATGCATGAATTTTGCAGAAGTATCAAACTATTCAGGTTGGTATCATTTAGGGCATTTGCAACATCAAATCTCCATTCTCAACCATAATATTTGGTTCACTGACTTCAATCGCAGGTATCGTCTTGCTTCTATCTTCAATCTTTTGAATCTCTTGATCTATCATGTCCTCACAGATCAATATCACCATAAACAGTGCCAATAGCACTAATCGATTCTTGATGCTATAATCATTTTCCACCCGAATATTCAACACATTGCTTTCATAACAGTTTATCAGTACTCCAAAATATGGTAATTCTTCGATAACCTTTTTAACCTTTTTATCACCTTCTTTATCGCTCAACTCGTAATTCTCATTAATCAGCTTTTTGCATATGTTTTCCACAACAGTAAAAAGTATCATATTCAATTTATCAGGCGTCATTTCATTCAGATCCTCATCGATAAACTTGTTTT